TTTGACGAGGTCGGCTGTGTTAAGATTAAGAGATCCTTTATTCATCCTACTGCGGGGAAATTTCAGTGTTGCATCACAAGTTACAGAACAGTAGGAATGAGGAGCACACAGCACAAGATAAATGAACAATAGCTCTATACTAATTGAAACAAAATTGAAACTCTAACTCGGGCATTAAAGAACAGTATTATCTTGAACATAATAACAACAATAATTGTTTCTTTTTGATGCTCGAGTTTTTATTTCATTTAATTTTAGTTAGTATAGAGTTATTGTTCATTTATCTTCTGCTGTGTGCTCCTCATTTCTACTGCTCTGTAACTTGTGATGCAACACTGACATTTCCCCGCTGATGTACAATTTAACTGAATGTATTGTTCTATTGGATGTAACACCACTGACAAATCTAAAATGATACAAAAATATAATAGTCATCTGAAAATCATCCTCAACCCCCACTTTGGGAACCACCTTATAATGATACCATTGACAAAAAAAATGCATTTGTTTTATATAGTGGTTTTTTTTGGACACTCAAAGACGCTTCACATGTGATTATTTCTTCACTCCATTATGATAAACTACCACTGTAGCCACAGTTGCCCTGGGGCACACTGACAGAAGAGAGGCAACCAGTCTGTGCCATTGGCCCCTCCGACCACCACCAACCATTCACACACACACACCAGACTTATTATAGGCAATGGGGGTGAAGTGTCTTGCCTAAAGACATAACAACAGTTTGATGTGGCCGCCCCACAGTGGCTCCGTGTCTTCCCAGAGGTCTCCCATCACAGCACTAACCAGGCCCTGCACAGTTGCAGAGGTCTAACAGGATCTGGCTTACACATGCAAGTAGTGCCACAGACATCATTCTAATGTATCTAATACAATTAAAATCTAAATGCTGAGCTAAAGTGATGTGAGTCATGTTTTTAGTCCCTGTTTTCAGTGGCGCTTGCATTTGTGTCGTTAGTGACGTCCATGAAACGTGATCACGTCAAAGGCCCTGCTCCACCACTGAATACTGCATTTTATGTTGCGCTTTTTGGAAACTCCAAAGACACATCACATGGCATTATTCATTCAGTCCGGTCACAATAGTGGTGAAGTACAACAGCAGCCACAGCCTCAGGGTAGAGGGCTGGAAGTAACACATCTCATCTGTACCATTGAACCCTTCAGCCAATCATTCATGCTCATTCTAGGCAACAAGGCAGTTTGTAATCCGCAACCGCCAGCTGTGGCACTTTATGTTCCCAGATTTCTTCCATCACAGAACTTACCAGGCCCCGTCTTTCCTATCCTGCAAATACAGTATTCAGGATCTCACATTGCTGAAGACTGCAGCGTCTGCTCAGTTCAATGTGAGATCCTGAATATCCAGCAGAAGAAATTCTTTGAGAGAGCAGCTCCTCACCAAGTGCACCACAGGAGAGCCCCGGACCCCAGCAGAGTGAAGCCGCCTCACCGCTAAAGGCACCGGGGCTCTGTGGGAGATCTATCACTATGTCAAAAATGACAAGTTCAGTTTTAACATAATTTGCACCAAAAGTCTCCATAACATAATAGTCACCACTGAGCGACATGGATAGCACTCACCAAGACATCCCTGGTTTTGAATCCTAGTCGGAACATGGCCTTTCTGAGTGGCCTCACAGCGCCACCAACAGGCCTGGCATAGTTCCACAGAATTTGCAGGCATTTTCACCTCATTCATTTACTGAGCTGATTCCCTGTTTACAGAAATAATTTCTGACTCTGTGTAGATACAGCCTTAAAACCATTTTTGTGGCTTTAAAGTTAGGTCCCCAAGGTTCTAAAATAAAACTTTTAAATACTCATTTACTGCCAAAAATACAGTATTTTACACTGATGCATATGACAGTGGTTCAGTTGGTAGAGCATCGGTCTTTGAGCCTGAAGGTTGTGGGTTCAATTCCACCACGAGACCTTCTCCACTGCTGTTGTTGGGCAAGACACTTAAACCCCACTTTTCCTGAAGCACCCATTGAAAGATCAAGGCTGTGTTATCACTTACAGAGCAGCTGTCCTCCTGTGAAGGGCTGGTGCTCTGAGACTTGGGTCTTGACTGCCACCCCCCTGACCCAGAAATGAGGGGAAGATTAAGAAGAAAGATTAAGTAAGGGTAAGAAAACGGATGGATGGATGAGCTGATCAACCCAAGATTTTACACATCATTGTTGCTCAAAAGACAAAGGATGCTTCTCCCAAATGTGATGTACGGCATCACATCAGAATTTCAGAATCCACCCCGGCATCGACAGACATGGGGATATGCACAAACATATGCCATCCCCGTTGCCGCGGACTGAATACAAAATTGCAATCCAAGGCCACACATTGCCAACAGCTACTAATAACTGTCAAGAGAAAAGCACATTCTATTTCCAGTAACTTGTTTAAAAACCTTCCAATTCTATTTCACTCCGCATTCAATGATTATTCCCAGTAATTTGTTCAAAACCTTCCAATTCTACACTGGCATTCAATGAGGTTACACTTCTACCCACACCAAACACACACATGGTGAACTCATTATTTTTTTTACCAAGTAGCTAGTCAGCAGCAAATGGCTCTCTGTGAGTTCATAAACAGATTGCAAAGTCTTGAAAGATAAACACTGCAGACTTTTGGTAAATTGGTAAAGATGTCATGAGTATGGTTATGCGACCCTGGGATCACCACCTGTCCCCAGTCCCTCCACACTCAATTTGTTCATCTGTTTTGTCAGACTGTGCCCATCTGCCTCTTGGCCCACTCCATCTTTACTAATGAAGCGTGCTAGTGACACAAACGCCAAGCTAATTCTGCCCTGGCTGTGGCACTCAGAGCCATTATATGCATAAAAAGTACAAATTTAAATAGTACGGTGCTTCAAAAGATAACAAATAAACTGTGCAGAAACCAGCAGGCCCGAGTGAAAACGTTAGCACCATTAGCAGTTTGTGCAACAACCATGCAAACATTTTCTGTTTGTGACAGTGGAATCCTAGCAGTGGTTGTTTTTTTATTTGTTTGTTGATTTTATGATCATGTTTTTATGTAAATGTTTGGTCTTTTTTATTCACCGTGTAATGTTTCCACCCGGACACATATCTATGGGATGCGACAGCTGTATCAAACTGTTTTGGTAAAGAAGGAAGTGAAGAAGAAGCTCTCGATCTGCTTTCCCACCCTCACCTCTGGTCATGAGCGTTGGGTAAAAACCAAAGGGACAAGCGGTCGACATGCGTTTCCTCCGCAGAGTGGCTGGCTGGTCCCTTAGAGATACAAGAGCTCGGAGTGGAGCCGCTGCTTCTCAGAGGAGCCAGTTGAGGTGAGGCATCTGTCTGGCATGCCTCTTGTTCCAGGAATGTCCCACCCAGGGCACGTCTTTCGGCTGGTCTGAGAACGCCTTGAGATTCCCCGGGATGAGCTGAGGTAAGGGTGTGTGAGCTGAGGGAAGTGAGTGTCTCTGCTTAGACTGCTGCCCCTGCAACCCAGCAACAGATAAAGTGGAAGAAAATGGATGGATGGATACGAACAATGATATACAGTACACACATATATTTTGGACACCCACCTGGACACAGGGGGAAACATACTTCATGCCTCACTGCAAGAAGGTACCGAGGTTTCCTCCGGGTTCTCCCATCACTTTAGGTATGAATGTAAATGAGTGAGTGAATGGGTGGTCTCGATTGGGGGCTGATGCGCCAGTGTGTTCGGCGACTCGCTTCCGAATGATTGGAACAATATCTGACTCTGAACATTGTAAAGCGCTTTGGGTGACCATGGTCTGTAAAATGCGCTATATAAACAAACATTACTTACTTACTTACTAAAAATAAGGTTTGGCATGTGCCTTCTGTACACTACTCCCACAAAAGCCCACAACAATTGTAAAGCGCTTTGTGACTCTGGTCTGTGAAAGTCTCTACATACATAAAGATTACTTACTTACTTGCCCAGCCTATATAGATCAAACCAACGTTCTTCTTGCCGTGCCCCTCTCACCCACCATTGGCAGATTGCTGCATGTTTCTATACCAACAGAAACTCACAGGCAACCACATAATAGAAAATTCAAATACGAGACATTATTCACCCTTGTGATGAGTACAGTAATGGCTTGGGGGTAATTTTCATGCTACGTAACCGAGGCATATATGGGCTTTTCAAGATCTTCTCTTGCACCACGCCACATTGTAATGAGACAGAGGCTCTGGCTGCTGATGTTCCTCAAAGTAGTCCTGTAAGAATGTGAATAATACTACAGTACTACGCTGATGCAATGCTGATGATACTGTGGCAAGACACCAAACTCAAAATCAGATCGGATTTACTGATTATTCATTCCCTGCACAGTGTGGACCCACGTTGAAAACGGTCAAACAGAATTGTTGGTAAGATTAGTTAATGGACAGAGACAGAAGTTGACGTTGCTATAATGTGCACATACGGACGCGCTCTGTGAAAGGGGAAATGAGGAGAATAAATTTGTTTCTGAAGTAGTTAAAATCCAAATGTTGTTTATCATATACAGTGTTATAAGCAAGATGTGGTTTGGATTAAAGCCCTGCATCTGTCAGCAAAAGTGAAGTGAAAGGCCTGGCTGGGATTATGGCCCATTACAACAGTGTTTCTTCACACTGCAGAAGCAAAAACGTACTGTATATATACTTTCCAACTTAAAGGAACGTAAACCATTGCATACTTTTGCACACACCTCCCAGCTCAATAATGCAACGCAGTGAGTTTATGTGCACCAGGCAAGGGCAGAGATCATGTGGAATAAGACATTAAGGATACTTGTTTTAAGTGCTCTTCCATGTCATGAGAGCCACGAACAGTGAGATAAAACTCAATCAGAAATACTTGAAGAATCTGAACTAAATGTGCACACAATAGCTGTAAAGTGAGATTAAAGTTAGTGATGATAAATGTACATAATCGTATACTATCCATGACTATATGATTATAAATACAGGAGCCCCATGATTGTGGACTTCAGGAGGAGCACTGTCCCCCCGCCCCCACCCTCCGTGATGGACTCCCCCATCACCTCTGAGGAGTCCTTCCGTTTCCTGGGCACCACCATCACCCAGGACCTCAAGTGGGAGCCGACCATCAGCTCCCTCATCAAGAAGGCCCAGCAGAGGATGTACTTCCTGCGGCAGCTCAGGAAAGCCAAGCTGCAGTTCTACACGGCCATCATCGAGTCCATCCTCACCTCCTCCATCACCTCCTCCATCACCTCCTCATCACTTCCTCCATCACCTCCTCCATCACCTCCTCCATCACCTCCTCCATCACCTCCTCATCACTTCCTCCATCACCTCCTCCATCACCTCCTCCATCACCTCCTCCATCACCTCCTCATCACTTCCTCCATCACCTCATCCATCACCTCCTCCATCACCTCCTCCATCACCGTGTGGTTCTGGAGCCACAGTCAGGGACAAACAGAGACTACAGCGCATTGTGCGCTCTGCAGAGGAAGTGATCGGCCGCAGCCTTCCATCGCTGCAGGACCTGTACGTCGCCCGAGCTCGAGGCCGGGCTGGTCGTATCACAGCCGACCCCTCCCACCCTGCACATGGACTATTCCAACCACTCCCCTCTCACCCTGCACATGGACTATTCCAACCACTCCCCTCTCACCTGCACATGGACTATTCCAACCACTCCCCTCTCACCCTGCACATGGACTATTCCAACCACTCCCCTCTCACCCTGCACTTGGACTATTCCAACCACTCCCCTCTCACCCTGCACTTGGACTATTCCAACCACTCCCCTCAGGCAGGAGACTGCGGTCCATCAGGACTAGAACCTCCCGCCACAAGAACAGTTTCTTCCCCTCTGCTGTTGGACTCTTGAACACTTCTTAACCTCCCCGCCCTCTAGAAGTCCCCAACTGCTCTTTATAAAGTCACTTTACTGCCTCACTGTACTGCTTACATTGTCACCTCGCATTGTGTGCACCATGTGCACTGTATATTGTATATAGTAATTGTAACTCTATTTTAATTTAAATTTTAAATGTATTCCTTAGAAGTGATTTTTATTCTTTATTTGTTATTATCTCTTTCTGACTGTTGCACTGAGCCAAAGCAATTTCCAAGTCTGTGACTTCCTGTTACTTACGTGGCAATAAAAATGATTCTGATTCTGACTATAATGCTATTATAACCACCAATCCAATGTTCTACCATCGTGGCTTTAGGTCTTTCCAGGTATAAAAATTATGGTCAATATGCAAAGGTGGCAAAAATCTAAATATAGATTCTAGTGTTATTTCAAGTAAAAGCTGTTGTAGAATTGTGGCATACTGGTGAAGAATACGACATTAAAACAAAACATGTATATTGTAACTTAGACACATGGTTAACCACAGCAAACTAAATCACATACATTAAAAGCATGATTAACCACTTCAAAACCATGTTTATGCTGTGTGAGTAAAAGTATAAAGTAGTCAGAAATATAAGCGATACCGTAGACAGAGACAGACAGAACAGACAGACACTGTATTTACCCCTAGAGAAAATTCAGGTGACCATCAGCAGCCGATACAGACAACACAGGCAATAGACACACAAAATCATAATTATTCAAATCAAATCTAATAAATATAACCAAGGACCAAACCCACTCATACACAGCGATAAGTACCCGCCTGAATTATTCAATGCCTCCCATCTCAGTAATCACCAGACTTCAACTTCTGATATCTGATGACAAAAGGCAACACAGAGAAATGACCAGTAATAATAGTAAAGAAACACATTTAAAAAGACACTTTAGTCTCTCGGAGTTGTTTTCTGTTGAATTGATTAGGAATGCTCTGTCCTGGTTTGCACTTTGTTGAAGTAAATTTCACTGGAGGCCAATGACATGGACTAAAGTGCATAGGCTTCAGGGTTGGTCTAAGGTCTGAGGGACAAGCCGGCGGTCATAAATCTGAGCAGCCGTAACCGTGGTGATTTGCAGGTCCAGAGACACCGTAAACACGAGCAGCGAAAGAGGCAGAGGAGGGTAATGAAGGAGTACGAGTCCGTCTGCCCCATATGGAAATGCAAAAGTGTGGCTTTGCTCAAGGGCATCGCTGGCCGGAGAAGCGAGCGCTCTTTCGCGATTGGGCGAGGCTCAGAGGGGGTCATTAATCTCCGCCGCTCCATTGGCTGTGACGGCGGAGGGGAGGGGTCCTTGCAGCTGCTCAGTTAGCCGCTGTCAGCTATTTAATCTGGAACATTCTTCAACATTAGATGGAGCGCACGGAAGCACTGAGGCCCAACTGGATCCACTGCAGCCGCGCCGCTGTCCGTGGTGCTGTCCTCATGAGCTTTATTGCACCGCACGGACTTTTGGTGAAGCAAAAGGACAGGGGCAGATTAAAATGAATGGTGCTTTTCTTTTTGAACTAAAACATCATGTCAGAGAGTTGTTTAAGAATTATAAGCACTTAATTAATATACTGCAGCAGGAAATAGTACAAGTGATAGTTAATTTACTTATAGTTAATATACCTAATTTTGATGAATGACTTACAGCCAATTACAGTCAATTATACTATTTACTTATGAACGATATATACCAACTTTTGAACAATATTTGAGTTATAATATAGTAAGTATTTATTTAATATACACCAAAAGACAAAAGCAATAATGGGGTGCTAAAATAATCAACAATACACAGATTGAAAACGTGTTGGACGAAGCAGACACTTATTTGGTTCCAATCCCTCTCATACAACACTACACATGTTGTATGCGTGCATGCGTGCGTGCGTGCGTGCGTCTGTGTGTGCGTGCGTGTGTGTGTGCATGTGTATAGAGCTGTGTGAAAGGGGCAGCCAGGATGACACCATTTGCAGCCACAAGTTGGAGTGTGATTGATCAGGCCACAGTCCTGATGTGAAATCGATGAGGAGAGGAATGCGGTGATGGTATGTGTGGCCAGTCCACCGCATCGATCCCCAGCGGCACGACACGACCAGAGGCGGCTGGACGCTCAGTATCTGATGAAACTCTGCTCCCCGAGATGTGGACGCCGCATGAGAGTGGCCAAGACAAGGGGAGCTTTATTCATCTGCTACACACAATACACAATTTATTCTTGTATAGCCCTAGGTCACAACAGAAGTCATCTCAGAGGACTTAACAAAACCATTGAAATCACCAACACAGGTCAGAGAATCAACAGTTAAAACACATGAAGAATATAAAGCACACACAGAAGAAAATGTCCATACATGTTGTAGAATGCTAAAGTGTCCTGATCATCACCAATCCTTTCTGTTGGACACTAACTGTCCAACAAGACCCTCCTGCATCGACAAGGAAAAACTCTTAAAAAACCCAGTGGGAAAAAGTGAGAAACCTTGGGGAGAACTAGGGAAACCCACAGGGAGGGAGACCCATATGAGAAAGGGATCCGCTCCTCCGGACGGACAGACTAATGATCTAGGACCTAAGCTAGCTACAGAACGTGGACCAGTGGACGCTGAACGTGGACAGGTCCGGTGCAGGACCGAAGCACTCCCAGGCGGGTCGGGCGGGGCAGTCCGCAGGTGTAGATGGAAGAGGCCAGGCTCAGAGATCCCGTCATCGTACCATGAAACAGACAATGGGACAACGGGTGAATAGCAATGAACAAACTACAGTCAGAATCCTAAAAGTGCTAAACAGATAAAGTAGATAAAGTAGGAAGGAGGAGAGGATAGTGCTCAAGTTACCATACTTCTCCCAGCAAACTGACTCCCTATGCAGCTTGACTAACACTCTGAGGAGTTTAACCTTCCCTGAGTCTTACCTTCCTAGCCATATGCTAAACTAAAGAGGACTGTTTTAAACCTAGCCTTGAATAAAGAATAACATACAGCATAATATATAACATAATATACAACATAACACAATACATTATTGAATAATATATAACATAATACATAAAATAATACAGCATATATATATAATATATACACTACATATTATATATTACCTAATTATATGCTAAATTAAAGTAGAGTGCTTTAAGCCTGGCCTTGAATGTGGAGACCGTATCTGCTTCCTTAACATAAATGGGAAGCTGATTCCACAGTAAAGGAGCTTGGTAGCTAAATGCTCTGCCACCAACAGTGATTTTTGAGACCTTAGGGACCACCAGACGTCTGGCGTTTTGTGAGCGCAACGCTCGACCTGGTTGATACGACACTAACGTGTCTTGGAGATAAGAGGGAGCCAAGCCATTTATGGCTTTATATGTTAAGAGAAGGATTTTAAACTTTATTCTGTACTCCACAGGGAGCCAGTGGAGTGATTTTAACACCGGAGTTATGTGCTCCCTCCTTTTGGTACCTGTTAAGATCCTAGCTGCTGTATTCTGAACGAGCTGGAAGCTCTTCAAAGAGGCTTTAGGGCACGCTGCCAGTAAAGCGTTACAGTAGTCAAGCCTTGAGGTGACAAACGCGTGAATGAGTTTTTCCGCGTCACTTTTAGGAAGGAAATTCCTAATTTTAGCGATGTTCCGTAGGTGGAAGTACGCCGTTTTAGTTGCTTGGCTTATATAAGCCTTGAAGGAGAGCTCTTGGTCAAAAATGACTCCAAGATTCCTCACAGTGTTACTGGGTATTATACTGACATTATCGAGAGTAATTATCTGGTTAGTGAGGGAGTCACGCAGGCGCTTCGGACCGAGTAGGATCACTTCTGTCTTCTCCGGGTTGAGAAGTAGGAAGTTAAGAGTCATCCACATCTGCTGATATGTATTTTTAATCCTTGTTTGATTGAGCTGGATGTCCACCTGTGACCTGGCAATCACACCGTCAAAACTCTGGGAGATTGGGTCCAGACGAGAACTGAGTCAATGTTAGCGTTGAAAAAGATCATATTTGAAGTCTACTGTGTAAAAGAAAGTAAACATGATCAAAACTGCTCAATGTACAATGTGTTATTTTAGACAGAACGTGAATAATCCATAGTGTAAAATGTGTTTGGTGGTTTTATACTTTATTTTATACTTACTTAAAAATAAAAAGATCCACCTAAAGCTACATCCAAAGTTAATAACACAATGTATTTATGTTTATGTTGTGTGTTTATGCTTATATGCTTTATAGCCTGACCTCTGGGAGTGGATCCTCTCTCAATATAAAAGATGAGGTTTCTCACTTTCTCCCACTGTTTTTTTAAAAGATGTTGCTTGCCGAAACCGGAGAGTCTAAACCTTAAAAGTAGTCAAGTTATCATGTGTTTTCAAATAGTAATGGAATTGACCAGATGCCTATGGTCTCCAAGCATTGATACAAAATATTTTGGAGCGGACCGATAAAAATCAACCAATGGGATTTGTTCATCAACAACGAACCAATGGGATGCGTGCACCTGAGTTATCGGATTTTCTAAAACCTAAAACGACTGAGCAGAAAATGCCAGTTTCTCGCTTGCCGCCCATGCTCCCTGTTGTGACAAAGAAAAGAAAATGCTGGATGTTTGGTTTGGTGGAGAGGCGAGGGGAGGGGGGAGTGGTTTGGAGTTGGTGCTACGGCTAAGCTAACAAAATCGCTTACTGCATCTTTAAGGATATTTACAGACATTGGAAATCCTGCTCCCTGTGGACCAATGGTTCCTATTTGTTTATTATTGCATTTCTGTGTTCTAACTGTTTGATTCTCTGATCTGCTTTGAGGAATCGACCACTTTGTAAAGTTTTCTGAGCCGACAGTTAGCCTTCTGTTGTGATTTAGGGCAATACACAAGCTCAACAGGGTCTTCTTTCCCGGCTGATTCTGCCAAGCCCGTTCCCTTGGCTATGGTTTCGCAAGGGGGTATATAGGCTTCCTCCGCAGAGTGGCTGGGCGCTCCCTTAGAGATAGGGTGAGGGGCTCAGTCACACGGGAGGAGCTCGGAGTAGAGCCGCTGCTTCTCCACGTCGAGAGGAACCAGTTGAGGTGGCTCAGGCATCTGTTCCGGATGCCTCCTGGACACCTCCCAGGGGAGGTGTTCCGGGCACGTCCCACCGGGAGGAGGCCCCGGGGAAGACCCAGGACACGCTGGAGGGACTATGTCTCTCAGCTGGCCTGGGAACGCCTAGGGGTCGGACGAGCTGGAGGAAGTGTGTGTGGATAGGGAAGTCTGGGTGTCTCTGCTTAGACTGCTGCCCCCGCGACCCGGCAACGGATGAAGCGGAAGAAGATGGATGGATGGATAATCGTAACAAGAGCTTCAAAGGAAGCTTCGCGTGATTAATGGTTGCGAGTGCAAAAGGCGGTTCTTGCCTGCATCTGCATTTCTGATTTTGGACTGAAGTACACGGTGAGCGGCCTTTATATCAGGCGGAGCCATCTGTTGAGCATCTGAACACTTCTGCACTGACAGCATTCTGCCACTTTGTCAACAACTCTCCCAAACTGCTGACTCTGAAGAGAAAGAGACAGAGCTCTCACCACAAACGCAGTGAAAGACGAACTCTAACCCTGCTGACAGTAAACATGCACATTTTTACAAGATTGGGGAAAACAAAATCAATACAAGATTAGAAAAGGAACATTATCTATAAACTTTTTTATGAATGGCATACTACAACTTTTGAATGCGCTGGAAACAGTTGTTGTTTGGTGTTTTACAATTTTTTTCTACCTGTAAATGTCACTGCAGTAGTGTTCATGGTTCAACACTGATCCAGACCAGAGCAGAGAGGATTCACGGACCGAACCGAGTCGATCAAGAAGAAATCCACTGAAGGATTGCTAATTTTTAGAAAAATGCTAATAAAGCATTGAGCCTTTTTCTCACTTTACTGGACCAGAGAAAATGGTCCAAACCAAGCGGCTACACTACCGCTGCTGCTGTGACCTAAAGTGCTGTTGCATTTATCTATCTACAGAACAAGCCATTAGTGACAGCAAAGAGATCAACATGGACTATGAAACCTGCAAAAAGGTCCTGGGTACAATACAATGTACAATAGTTCTGAATATAACCATCCATTCTGAGTGAATGGATGGTTGTTGTTGGGGTGTGTCCACCGGGGCTTGTCGGGATGTTATTGTCAAAACAAAGACATGTTTTTCAGTTTTACATGCATGGAATAATACATCGTACCACTGTTGCAATATGATGGTTATGAGGGTAAAATCCGTGACAAGTCAAGTTTAGCTCAAAGAACTTTAAGCTGTGAATTGCTCTTAACAATTGGAAAAGGTCAGCCCTCGTACACAAAGACACAAGCGCCCACTACAGCAAAACACTCTTCTCTCAACCTTCAAACTATTCAGTCTGCTGCTGAATCATCTCCCACGCCGCACTAGTGCTCACCATTCAAGCGGAGGGAAAAACACACAAATTGAATGTCCATTTCTGAAGAGGCGTATTCTTGTTTGATATGTAAATGTTTCCATCCATTTACTTTGCAACACAAAGTAAAAATGCACAGAGGTGTTTGGGCTGACAGACAGGTAATGAAAGAATGTGTCAAGACTGTAATCTCCTGAGCTGGCCAAAGATCAAGGATTAGAAAGGTGTGCGTTATTCTGTGCTTTCTATATCTTCTGGGTCAGAATCAGATTATAATGTGTTGGAAAAGGACTGGGGGAAATGACATATTTGAATGTGTTATAGAAATATTTTAGTAAAGCAATCTGAATTATCACCAAATAGTTATGAGTGTAAGTTATTAACTAATAGTCAACTCTGGATTCAGATACAGGCCATAATGCTCTGTTGGCTCAGGTCAGTGATAGATGGAGACGTGCTGCATCATGTCTTTGACCTCATCTGGTAATAAGGTTTGTAAGTTTGCATCAGTTTGGAGCAAGGCAAAGCAAGACACTTTGTTCATGTGAATTGTATTTCAGCTGGAGGGAAGGCACCAATACAACTCTATGTGAAGGAAGTCATGTTTTAAAGAAATGTTTAAAATGACTTATTTGAGAATTAGCACTTCTCAGCAAGAAGGTCCTTGGTTCGAAGTTTGTTTCATGAGGAGTGGCTCAGAAATCACAGAGACTAAGAAGTTTTCTAAGAGGAGAAATCTCCATAGTTTCCATAGTTACCAACATATTTAGCTGCCCTCCACCACAATATCACAATGTCACATTCACACAACCTGTAATTACAGTATTCACCAAGGAAAAAATCTTGTCCTTGTTGAACCTGAAGTCAGCATCGATGACATTTTGGATGAGGATTGGTTTGTATTGCTTTGCCTGAAATGGTTCACAGTTTGGCATTTAACATGGGCCTAAATCTCCATGGAGACGAGGATGCCATGAAGAAAATAAACTGCTCCGGAAGAGAACAAGTTTAATGTACAGTAGTTATTGTGAAATACTGTATAAAGTAATCAAATCTAAGTATATCATAGAATCCATGTCACTATAGTAGTAGTAGTAGTAGTAGTAGTTTATTCGGTCAAGCATGAGAAACAAAGTTAGTTAACTGTCAACAAAACAACAGAATTACAATATGCGACCGAAGGGTTCAGGCTGAAGTTAAACTTATTTCGCCTGACCCAGTACAAGGAAACGGATCGTTTCCATAGCAACACAAAATATACAAGCTGAAACAATACAAGCTGAAACAGTATCAGCAACGTCCTGTAACGATGAGTAACAAAAGGAGACAAAGGTTTAGCCTAAAGCCAAGTTACAAATGTTCAGACCATTGTTCGCTATTTATCAACAATTTTGTATTTAATCCCCCTTTTAAACAATTTCAATGTTTTTGCTGTTTTTAAATTGAGAACATTGAGATTGTTCCATAACGTGACTCCACTCACTGAGACACATCTACTTTTTATGTTTGTTCTTTCCCAGTCCTTTTTTAAATAACCAGTTCCCCGAAGGCTGTACAGACTTTCTCTTGGTTTAAAATGTTTCTGGAAACAAGGTGGACTAAGGTTGTTATGTGCCTTGTACATGACAATCAATATATTGTAGTCAACAATGTCGTGCACTTTAAAGGTATTTAATGAGATGAACATCGGATTTGTTGATGCATAAAAATCTGCTTGATTGACTATGATCCTTTCTCTGTCACTTTAAGTCACTAATGACCTGCACTATAGGACTGAAGAACCAGCACTGCTATTACCACTTTTTATTGTACATAATATATCCTGCACAGACTATATTTTTAACCTTAACATGTTGCACACTTCATGTCTTTTTGCACAATCTGAGTGATTCAATCTATGCCAATTGTGAGATCAATAAAGTTCATCTTACCTTATCTTACATGCATGTATCTTTAAATCCACTTTTTAAATAAAAACAAAAGGACAACCCTCTCTCAGCTCTTAGTATTAAAACATAAGATGTGTTCTAACATTTGTGCTCTCTATTGGGGCGGACAAAATGTAATGAAACAAAAGAGTATGGTTCTTCAGCTCTAACCGTAAACCGAACTTTTGTAATGTGCCTTCGTCAGGAACATAACAATACTCGAGTGAGAACAGAATCCTGGATCTAAAATAAAAAGTGTGTTTCAGGTGAATGTCTTGGCAGGTGATTGAGGTGTTTTGGAACAGGCCTGCAGGACAAATGTGAGGTCTAAATTTGGCTCTTTCATCTTGTCATTACCGTAATGCTCAGCAGAGGAGCAGAAGTGGCGGACCAATCACATCGGGATTTTAAAATGTCCTCTTCTTGGCCGTGGTGACGATGACTCCATTCAATGATAAAGGCCCGGCTCTGGTCCAAGTGGTGTCGGCTCGAGCCTCTGAAGGCAGCGATTGATTCCTGCTGACGAATATTCACAAAATGCTGCACATCAGACAAAGGAATATGCACTCAGGAATCATAAGAGATGACCAGCTTACAAAACCAGACAATTATTGACTCCAAGAATAAACAAATGCTCTCTCCCACTCTCGACGAGGGCAAAAGTCCAACACAATCAGGCGCCCAGTGGTGGGGGGCATTGTTTGCTCAGGTGGAGATGGAAGACCGGGTCCAGACCAGGACCAGGGGCCAGACCAGTCCCAGATCTGTGACGTCATCGGACCCTTTGATAGAAACTGCTGGGAGGAGATTGGCAGTCAGTCAGCCGAGGGCCAGGAGAGGGACATATATAGTTTTAGGAGCACTTTTTGTTGAATATTCTGTATCTGATTGTAAAGATAATTAAATGCAGATGTTAAACGTGAAGATCTCTTGTCTCGCTCTTGCATCGACTTTGGATACGTCAGTCAAAGGGAATTATTGACTTCACTGCTTAGAAACGAGGACACAGATGTTGCATCAGGCTGGTAGGAAGTGTTTGGGTCACAGCGGAGCAGCAGCGATTAAAAGTGGAAATATATTCTCATAGAAAACTCATGAATTTGATGTATCTTTATTTTTATAGGGAGGGCTCATGAGCACTCCATTCTACATTATAATATAATAATAGTTTTATAAAATCCTAAATGGTTGTAGGATGCTGCTGTATACCTTGTATACGTTCTCTTTGTGTTAAAGCTATAGACACCGCTGTTAACCCTGGACTGAGAGGTCAAATGCTTGCATTGGTTGAGGATTCCCCCGTCCCGTCGCCTGAGGAAGGTTATTGAAATGTGTGGCCTTTTTTTAATAGCGGCCAAAAGAGGGGACTGTTGTATTAAATATAGGCTAAAAGGCGATGTGAATTAGATTGACCTGAAATTGAACTCTGTCTGTCTCCAAGCAAAAAGAAAGACCTTGTATTGCCCCACTCCTCTGGTCCCATTTTGTCCAAAGTGCATGGGTGAGTTAATGATAGTTAATCTGGGGGGATTCTGCTAATCCTTTCAAGTTGTGAAAGAAGGAGATGGAGTCCAGAATCTGGAGGAGAAGCCTTGAGATCCCTCTGCCTTATCTCAAAGGAACTAATAAATCTATAGAATTAGGGAGGGGTAGTGCGTGAATGATTTCTGTTTAGGTCTGGCGAGACGGAGAAGACCTGATGGAGGCCGGACCCTGGACCAAGAGCTGACTGATACGACACGCCCCTTCTTCCCCTTGCACATTTACTTAATGAATAGCTTGAATGTGTGTGTTAGTTTTTTCAGTCCGGATCAGGGTTTAGCTGTGTGACTTGGTGGAGCGCCCAACCAATGTTACACCTTATATAGAGGATAGGGATTAGATACTTTTTGGTCCGGACAGCTGTTTTAGATTCTTTTTGTATTAGGGAAATAAACCTTTTTGAATTTAACTTTCTGAATCATGGTCATCTTTATAAGGGATTTTGAACACGTCATTTTTTAATATAATACCAATCAAGAAGCTGCAGGGTTTTTAAACTGGATTTGAACATTGTCAGAGAAGAAGTCTGTCATGTTTAGTTTAGTTCATGTTTAGGGCGGCACGGTGGCTGAGTGGATAGCACTCTCGCCTCTCAGCAAGAAGGTCCTGGGTTCGAATCCCGGTCGGACCAGGGCCTTTCTGAGTGGAGTTTGCATGTTCTCCCCGTGTCTGCGTAGGTTTCCTCCGGGTACTCCGGTTTCCCCTACCACTAAAAATATGTCCAATAGTTCTAGCATGCGCCTCCTGTACTGGCCCCTCCCATCTCTGTGTGGAGTGAGAGACAATTGCCCAAAATTAACAATTGTAAACCGCTTTGAGACTCAGATCTGCAGTGAAAAGGCGGTATATAAATAAAAACTTACTTACTTACTTACTTACTTTAGTCCTGACTCTGTGCCCCAGCAGGAGGCCAGTCCCTGTGCTTCTCAGAGGCTGAGTTGGTTCATATGGCACTAACATGTCACTTGTAATTTGATGCAAGACCATGGAGATACTTGTACACAAGCAGAGCTGAATTAAATGCAGTAGTTGTGTAATACTTTACAAACAAGACAGCAATGTTGTTGTTTAACACACTACTTTGAAATAACAGTAACAAGTGATACATAATGTTTTATAATTTTGAAGTCACTTGCGCCACACTGGTCCCCTGTGGAACACCAAAGGGCAGAACGAGAAAAATGTAATTAAAGCTTCATATAAATACAATAAAAGAAATCATATATGCTGAAAATGCCTCTTTAATAATGAGATACAAACGCCTTTGCGGTAAAACGGTTGTTGCACATGACACCATTTGTGTCTTCACCTTGTTCAGAGCTCCCTGCAGAGCGCGCATCACTTCCCGCTCAAACGCTCCAGCACAGAACATCCCAGTGCGTTGTGTGATGCCAGTGTGAGCCTGCAGTGGGCCTGTTCTGATCCCAGCAGGAGGCCCGAGCCGCAAGAGCACCGGGCCGGTCCTGGAGGGCTCTCGTCAAACACCACCTTTTCAACACAGCAACAAGTTATTCACACAAAAGCATGTCGCCCGCAGGGTTGGAGGAGCGGCTTTTAACACGACCACGTTTCACTGGTACAGCTGTGACAGACTGTTGAAGGCCCGACAGCTGTTTGGTCTTATTACCCCCGATGAATTAAGGAGAACGAAATCCACAAAATGTCATCTTTAAATGTTCTGGTTCTTATACTTTTCAATGTATATTAAAACTGATGCATTATTATTATTATTATTATTATTATTGTTACCACAGTAGCCATATGAGCCTGGACACGAAGTTAGTGCCGTAAAATGAGATTAAAACAGCATTATGAACAGGACCATTGGGATTAAACTCGATTCAGAAAGACACAAAAAATTGCTCTTTTATTTATGCTTTCATTAGTGGTATAAACTGTTGTTGCCTGTTTGAATGAATGTGAGTCAAACTTGTGCAGTGAGTCCGAGACACATTTCTCCTCAGGGACAATATATATTCTGATCTTAAAACGCAAAACAAAAAGTATATTCTAAGTAGTTGAATAAGTTTTTGTTGTAGTTGTCACTGTATGCCTCGATGGGCATTTGACATGCCTCGCTTCAGCCAGTCTGCCCCAGGGCATCTGCGGCAATACTTTGAGCTGATAAAGTAGTTTACCACCACTTTATGGACTGAATGAAAAATGACGTCTTTGAGTGTTCAAAGAAGAGCTTTACAAAACGGATGCTTTATTGTAATGTTGTTCTGAATAGTAATAATTTACACTTTGATTTTAGAATCAGACACAAGTTATAAAAAGTTTAAACAAATTCTTGCATACAAAATAAATCTTTAAAACATCTTTTATAAAAAGGTCAAATGATTGATCAATGACCAGAGGTGTGACATTGTGAAGTGACACAAGAGAAAAGAGGATTACTTACCTCCCATTTGTGAACAAAAAACAAATACTGTAGAAGGCACCCAAACATGTTCTACATTATCTATTTTGTCAGGAAAACAACCAAAGTAAATTCATTCCAAAAATATAGCCCAACACATTATTAAAAGTTAGATAGTTCGATATAAAATGACTTTATATTTGTCCCAGTTTTGATTGAATCCAAACAAACACATTTTGTTTTCAGAAAGATCTCAACATACCTCCATAATGTTAAAAGAACAATTATAAGAAAAGTAAATCCCATCTATTCTTTCGAGCCCCGAACCAGTTCTTGATTTTTGTATTCAGCCAAAATGAGCCTGACACCCTGATGTAGCGGTATCAGAGGCATCTCCTGTGACACACCCTCCATCTGCTCAGTGTTAGAAATAAGATATCCTTATAGTATCCTTTAAACATCAAGCTCAGTTCAGTTCAGTTACAAATGTGCAATCTAGCTTTTTACTCACACTTTGCACATAGTCATTTACACAACAGTCACGTGCCAACATCGCAATACAATAAACGTGTTGAAAAGCGGCGCCATGAGTTTATGAACAAGCCGGACTCTATTCAGACACGGAGCCACACAATCACAAAAGAGTAGTTATTGTTTAGGCTGCTTAGTAAAAATGGACTTAATCTCAAAGGCAAAAATGTGTTTATGTCTACCATTGTGTGCGTTCTGTGGCATGTACGGCACATAGGAACAACCCTGTAGAGAATAACAGCTGGACAATAGTACTTGTAATGACACTGGACCATGGTCGAGTTGTTTGCTTTCTACATAACAGAAAGTGTGTTGTTTTACCTGAGCCTGTCACTTTCTTTCTCTACTACTTTAAGTTTTGGTGCATTTTTCCTTATCGCTCTTCTCTCCTCTCCTCTCTCTACATCATCATCATCTCGCTCTTTTTTGTCCGCTGACCTGGGGGCCTGTGTTTCGCCCCAAATCCAATCCCCCTGCCTTTTTTTCCAAACCTGCTGTTCCATTTCACAAGCGTTTGTCACACAGCGCTGCACACAACACCGCTGCGCCTCCTCTTTCCTCCACTCGCTCACACCGGTGTCTAAACAAAACAAAAGCAACAGAGCAGATACAGAAATGAATACGGCCATGAACAAAATTAACAGTTGAATGAATTGGTGTTCTATAAGCTAAAGAGGGGGGGTAAACTTGTGTTTTTCATACAAATTAACAAACAAAAAACAAAAAGATACAAAAAAAATACAGTTTGAAAAGGGATTGGATGAAGCGAACATTTGGTCTCTTAGGCTGCTCCATCTCTGCTGCTGTGACCCGTGCTGCTCGACCCAGAGGCTACTCCACCTCTGCTGCTGTGACCCGTGCTGCTCGACCCAGAGGCTACTCCACCTCTGCTGCTGTGACCCGTGCTGCTCGACCCAGAGGCTACTCCACCTCTGCTGCTGTGACCCGTGCTGCTCCACCCAGAGGCTACTCCATCTCTGCTGCTGTGACCCGTGCTGCTCCACCCAGAGGCTACTCCATCTCTGCTGCTGTGACCCGTGCTGCTCCACCCAGAGGCTACTCCATCTCTGCTGCTGTGACCCGTGCTGCTCCACCCAGAGGCTACTCCATCTCTGCTGCTGTGACCCGTGCTGCTCCACCCAGAGGCTACTCCACCTCTGCTGCTGTGACCCGTGCTGCTCCACCCAGAGGCTACTCCACCTCTGCTGCTGTGACCCGTGCTGCTCCACCCAGAGGCTACTCCATCTCTGCTGCTGTGACCCGTGCTGCTCCACCCAGAGGCTACTCCATCTCTGCTGCTGTGACCCGTCCTGCTCCACCCAGACTACTCCACCTCTGCTGCTGTGACCCGTCCTGCTCCACCCAGACTACTCCACCTCTGCTGCTGTGACCCGTCCTGCTCCACCCAGAGGCTACTCCATCTCTGCTGCTGTGACCCGTCCTGCTCCACCCACTGGCTACTCCACATCTATATCCTGTATCTATCTGTCTATCTATCTAGACCCCTCTCACCAACACAAACTATTTTCAATAAAAATGAAAAGTATATATTTTGTACACTTCTTCTGAGATTACTGCTGAATTAAGGCTATACCTAATAAATAGAATTTGCAATAAATGAAAAAATATGAGGTCATGATTGCTTGAATCGACTGCTTTTCATAATAATTTGAATACATTCTGACTGTCCTAAAACAAGATTTGCCAACGGAACAAGGCATTCAGTTTTATTTCAAGAACTGTTCATTTATTTTCTCATTCCAAGAGAGACATTCTTAACCTGGCAAAAGCCAGATTGATGATTGTGTAGGACTCAAATGAGTTCTCCACAATATCTTTCTCATGCGTTTGTGAACTCACAAATACCGTGAGAATATGTGAGTTCAAGGTTAAGACATTCTTGTATCTCTCTAAAACAAGAGGATTTTGCTTGTCCCATTGGAAAATCTAGTTGGAAGTCAGTCAAAATGTGATCAAATTGAGATACATTTTGCCAATCTTGAGCAATTTTTGACTTGTTTTTTTATCACATTTTGCGATGATAAAGCTGGGGTACTGACCTTTTATTGTATTTGTGTTTGTCCCAAATAGAAGGAGTGAACAAATTGGATCACAAAAAGCAGCCATTATCTTATTAGAAAACATATTATCATTTGCATACTTCTAAGAAAGAGCCCTGTGAGTCACTATTTGATGCTTTGAGCTGGGAGCTGATCTGCTGAGTGAGGGTGGTCCTTTGTTTTTCGAAGGCTAAAAAACCCCTGCAAGTGAAAACTAGTGATTAAACTGTTTTAGAACCAGCTTTAATGGATAGAATAGATCAGGCATGTCAAACTCCGGCTCGTGGGCCAAATCCGGCCCGCAAGACAATTTTTGGTGGCCCCTAAAATGATTTTCAATTATTATTATGAATTTGCAGCATTGACGGTAATGGGCAACAATCACATATGCATATCATACATAATCTATAAGGACAACAACCAAGTTTAATGTACTCTAAACCCAACGCATTATTAGAAGTTAAATATGAAACAATTAACTTCATAATTTATCCAGTTTTGGTTAAATCTAAACACATTGTTTTCAGAAAAAAAAAAAAGTCAAATAAATGTAATGTCAGTACACCTTCATAATGTAAAAAACCATTATAAGAAAAGGAAATCCCTTCTGTTCTTTAGGCCCCCTATCAGTTCCTTTTCTTATCCAGCCCCTGACCAAAATGAGTGTGACACCCCTGGAATAGATGGATATTAATACATAAAGTAGTTCAATGGTTTCAATGTGGTTTGAAAGTTAGGTACCGCAGCTTTAAGATAAACTCTCCCAGTTTATATCTTTGAGTGGTTAAGTGAGAATACCCACAAATAACTAGTAAAAGCAAAGTACTAAAACAACCTTTCACACAGCCACATGTTCATTAGCAGTAACAGTGGTGCATAGCTAGTGCAATCCTAGCATACTGTATGTGGTAGTAAAGGTTAACTCAATATCGCTGGAATAGCCACGCCGGAATAAAACGCTAAAATGTGTCTTTGACTGAGGGAGCAGGGATAGGATACTTCATGTTTCACACAGAGCAGCCTACGTCTCGAGCCGGTTCAGTAGCTCCGAGACCATCCATCACGACTACACTCAACCTCTACTCCAACCAATCTCACAGCGCTTAGGGAATAACTGCCTATTTTAAAGAGAGTGTGCCGGTTTGGAGCCGATTCAGGGCTGAAGCAAACTCAACCACGCTTTGTATTGTTTACTGCTTTGGAAGACTGATACTGGGAATCTGTGTGTGTGTGTGTGTGTGTGTGTGTGTATGCGTGTGTGCAAGGGACGCACATAAGCCGCATGCACCACTCTTTGTGTTCGGAAAAACGGTCTCGGATGACACAATAGTAACAATAAAGCAATTATAATAACATAATAAGGTCCTTTATTTCCAAAAGAATAAATACAAAAATACACAGAGGACTTGAGACAATAGAGATTTTCAAGACTGCAATAGCGGGGATGAACAAATAGCTATTCACTTATTCACTTGCGCACTTTAGAAGCACCCAGCCTTATGAGATACGCCAATTTGCACACAAAATTATGATGCAAGAGCAGGACGGAGGGAACTTCTGGTTGTGGCGGCTGTCGGTCTGCAGAGATAAACACATGAACAATTATAATTGGGCAAAAACGAATACATGTGATGTGTTTTAAATGTGTTGTATGTTGTGTTTGTGTGGGTGTTTAATTAATGTGTATTGTTCAAAAGTTCACTGCACTTACAATGTGAAACCAGTATATGACTCATTGCATGGCAGATGGAGATACAGTATCAAGCCTTTAATGTTATAATGTTGATAATTGGCTCGCAGCTGTAAAAATCATTACAACACATTATAACAGACAAGTAATGAGTCTATATGTACTGGTTTCACATTGTAAGTTGAATTACAGAAATAAAGGAACATTTCTCACAAGTCGGTCATAGATTGAATTACTCCCATCTTTACAACATAAATGGAAATTACTGGTAAAAGAAGAATTATAAAGCACATGTGATTTGTGAAAGAAGGGAGTTTACCTGCCTGCATGTTTTTCTGACTCTTGCTTAACGCAGTTTTTTCTATTGAGGTGTTTTCCTTCAGCCCATTTCTCACAAAACTCAACATTGAGATGTAAGATATGTAATAGCCGGTCGATCGTACGCCATTGTGTGTAAATACAGAGGTTGTTTTCCCAGAGGCGAGGGCCACTTCCCTGCTCGTCCGGCTGCACTGACCTTTCACCGACCAGCCCGCCTCCTCATTGTTGCTTGAGAAAGAAGGCTGCTCCCGTCTGGATCCACTGGCTGGGGTTGGCTCCACAGGGCAGGCTGATGTGTGTGACCACCTTCAGCCTCTCTGACGTGGTGTAGAGAGGGAGCCAGATCCTGTCTTCTGAGGAGCCGTGCTCAGCAGACGTCTTCTGCAACAGGGAGATGGACGGGTCATTCGGAGCAGAGAGTGACGTCACATCAAATAGGGCAGCACGATTCACGGCACTCAAATCACAATTGCAGTGTTTGTGGTCGCAAATATTAGTTTATTTAGTATGGATATAACAATAGCATTGGACAGACCAGATACATTGTTTTTAGTGTTATAGCAAGACTATAACACTATAAAGATTTGCAACACCTGTCCATAAAATTCTTTATTCTTATAGGAAAGTGCCGGGACTACCAAAGTGTGGTTAAAGCTGAGAAAACAAATTATCTTTCAGACTTGATTACAAATAGCATCAGTAAGCCACGTACTCTTTTTAAAACTATTAGTTCTGTTTTTAATCCGAATCCAGTCACTTCACTGGAGATAACTAATGAAACGTGTGAACGAATTGTCTCCTTTTTTAATGACAAGGTTGCTTCTATTCGAGCCAATCTAGCTCCTTCATCATTGAGTTTTAACATGGCTACTCGATGTTCTGCCGTTTTTAGTCAGTTTGTGTCAGTGTCCATGTCGGTGTTGACTGAGATGATGAGCAAACTCAAACCTTCGTCCTGTCCCACGGACCCAGTCCCTCCTCGCTTTTTTAAAGAGGTTTGGGGCACTATTGGCTCTTCTGTCAGGGACATCATCAACAGCAGCTTGCTAACTGGCAATGTGCCTTCCTTTTGTAAAAGCGCTGTTGTTGAGCCTTTGATAAAAAAAGCAGGTCTTGATCCCATGGTTTTATCAAATTATCGCCCCATTTCAAAACTACCCTTTGTTTCAAAAATATTGGAGAAATGTGTTTTGGCACAACTGCAACCTTTTTTAAATGAAAACAGCACTTTAGACCCGTTTCAGTCTGGATATAAAGCTTTGCACAGTACTGAATCTGCACTTTTAAAGGTTTTTAATGATTTGCTTTTATTGACTGATTCTGGAGGCTCCACCATTTTAGTGCTTTTAGATCTTACTGCTGCTTTTGACACTGTTGACCACACAATTCTTTTAGACCGCCTGAGAGATTGTGTGGGCGTCAGGGGGACTGCTTTGGAGTGGTTCAGGTCCTACCTGTCGGAGAGGTCTTTCTCAGTCAGGCTGGGGGATGCCACATCTTCTTCTGCCTCACTTTATTGTGGTGTCCCTCAAGGATCTATCTTGGGACCTATCCTTTTTGCACTCTATCTCCTCCCACTTGGGGAGATTTTTAACAGACACGGAGTGTCCTATCACTTTTATGCAGATGACTGCCAAATTTATATGCCAATTTCGAGAGGCCATGCCCCCCTGACGCCCCTGCTCAACTGTCTATGTGACGTCAAGGCTTGGTTAGCCCAGAATTTTTTAGTAATGAATGAGGGAAAAACGGAAATTTTAACATTTGGACCGGCGCTTACTGACTTGGGACCACTAGGAAATTATGTGCGTTCCAAAGTCACCAGCCTTGGCGTGACTATAGACAGTGATTTTAAATTTGACAAACAAGTTCATGGCGTTTTAAAATCGTGTTTTTATCATCTTCGGCTTTTATCAAAAGTGAAGCCATTCTTATCTTTTAACTTGTTAGAACAGGTTGTGCATGCTTTTATTTCCAGTCGTCTGGACTACTGCAACGCACTTTATGCTGGTGTCAATCAGAAAACCCTCTCCCGGTTGCAGTTGGTCCAGAACGCAGCAGCACGACTTTTAACGGGGGCCAGAAAGCGCGAACACATCACCCCTGTACTCGCGTCTTTGCACTGGCTCCCTGTTCATTTTAGAATTGATTTTAAAATTTTACTGTTTGTTTTTAAATCTTTGCTTGGACAGGCCCCTGATTACATCTCGGACCTCATCCAAATTTACACTCCTGCGCGCGCCCTGAGGTCCGAGAGCCAGCTCCAGCTCGTGGTCCCTAACGCGAGACTTAAAACCCGGGGGGACAGAGCCTTCTCTGTGGTCGGCCCTAAGCTCTGGAACGCTCTTCCCCTCCATGTCCGGACGGCCCCCACAGTAGAGTGTTTTAAGTCTCGTCTTAAGACCCACTTTTACTCTTTGGCTTTTAACACTGTGTGAGTTGTGTGGTCCTCTGTGTTTTTATTTTTATTTCTATTTATGGTTTTAATCTGTTTTATATATTTGTATTCTTTTATACTTGGTGAAGCTAAGGATAAGTTGTTATTTATTTTATACTTTTTTGTGCAGCACTTTGGAAACGTAACTGTTGTTTAAATGTGCTATATATAACACAATACAAAAAACAAAAAAAACAATGCAATACAGTACACAATACATTATTTAAAAAGGTAAGTAATACATATTATCAATGTCGATTTCATTTCATACATGTGTGCAGCTTTGATTTGACTTTAGCCACTGTTTTAGACCTCTATAAAAACTGTTCATGTCAGTCTGCAGTTTTAAATCACTGGGCAGAGAGTTCCACAGTTTGGATCCATTAAAGGAGAAACTTGACTGACCAAAGGATTTGGTGAACTTTGGGAGAACACAGTCCCCACTGACCGCGGCTCTGGTGGAGCCCTTCAAAGGGGCTGTCAGACGGTTTTGTTTTGAAAAACACACAGCAACAGTTTTCAAGTCAAATAGCAAGAACGCGCAATTATTGATGTACTTTTCAAACATGGAACATTCAAAATGACTAAACACAAGCAGAAAAATCTTATTGGAGAATGTTGCTTAAGTTTATTTTGAATATTTGTCATGTATTTATAGTCTTCATGTCGAGCAAAAGCATTATTTTATCATCAGACATCAAATGTCTAGGGGCCAACAACATGGATTGTAAAACTGTTTTTATTCAGGCTGTGTATATTTATGTGCATTTTTTGACAGAACTACTAATGTTTAGCATCTCACCAGCTACGTTAGGCTTATTTCCAACATTTTGTGACTCAATAATAACAGTGTATATAAAAACAAAACAAAATCTAGAGCTTTACGTCTTACAACATTGCTACATTGGCAGAGCTGAAGTTGGTTGGATGACACTGAACTGGTGTTTATGGTCTCAAAAGACAACTTTGGTTTAGCAAAGCAGAGGGCCACAAACAATGACACAAAGGGCCTCAATTGGCCCACGGGCCTTAGTTTGGACATGGTGATAACTTTCTTCAATGCAGTTAAACACATGGCATTAAACCGGTATTTTTTGTGCTCATTCATTTGCAGGTGTTTTCAAGTCTCTGCTGATTAGATGAAGGTTAGTTTGAGAAATAAAAACATTCTGGGCAAAGCAAAAACATTTCCAGTGGATTCAAATATCACAGATCAAACAGACTGTTAGATATCCACACATATTTAGGCGTTATCTTTAAATATAAAATCATTAGGAAGAGGCTCTTCTGGTTATTTTATTTTAGGGAAATAGCCTCTGCTACAAACATTGTAATACAAAAATGATTACAGTGGATTATTCAAGTCAAATAATGAACACAAATATTTTAATATTACAAACAAAACATTATAAATTTAACATAAATAATGATATTATTTTTTTATTTTTTTTATGACCTCCCGCGGCCCCCCTGCAGTACCCTCGCGGCCCACCAGGGGGCCGCGGACCCCACTTTGGGAGACACTGGTATAGACTTATGGTATTGTTTGACATTTCCTGTGTTTTTTTATCCCCTATTCTGCTCAAATGGCATTCCCATGCTCAGAAGGTATGGCCGAGACAATTGTAACTAAGCAACAATCTCTAAAAATTAAATAGTTTGGCATGCTAATTTCAGATTGTATCCAGGAAAAGCTGTGTGGAAGCTGCTTGGATGAAGTATAGCCCCAGACAAAATAAATGACCAAGAAAAACATTCACATTTCCCGTGTTATTTTCAAGTAAGGGCTGCTTGGTCTGTTCTTGCAGAATTTGTAAAAGGTAAAAACAAAACAAGTCCACAATGATGTGTTTTGTAGTGCAGATCGATACCTGTGGGACCCAGGCCATGTAGCAGGGCGGCACAGCGGACACACTGGGAGAGTCGTGCTTGTTCTCGCTGAGATGAGCTCCGTCAAAGCTACACCCTTCTAACTGCAGACCCCCCACCTGCCGAATCAAGAGAGCAAGTGTGTTACGGAGGACGCCACCAACAATACGGATACTTTCAGGTCAATACCGAGTGTAAGAGTATGCCAGGCAAGGCTCTAAAAAGGGGAAAGTAGGCCACCGGATTAGCTGGCATGTCAGCCGCACACACGACATAAGAGGAGTGTGTACATGAGAGAATTCAGCACAATGACTCAGGGATTTCCTCACAATAAAGACCGGCCTGGCATCACACACAGCTGTAATCTGTGTGTGCATAGTGCGAACTTACACACAACAAATGTCTCAGTCTGCATTCTGTTCCTATTAGTTTAGAGGTGAAACTCGGAAAAATGTGAACATTGACCATATAAAGTTGTATGCACAGATTTTGATAGTTTAGTTATTACAGGTGATTTTAATATTCATGTGGATAATGTTGATGACAGAAATGCAAAAGAGCTGAGTTCTTTACTTGATACCTTTGGTCTCACTCAGCACGTGAGTGGCCCCACCCACAGCAGAGGGCACACTCTAGACCTGTTAGTTACAAAGGGGGTGAATATTTCAAATGTAAACGTGGTCGATGTTGCTCTTTCGGATCATTTTTGTGTATTTTTTGACATGTGTTTCACTAACAAACCACCAGTGGACTCTGCAACTGTTCGAAGAAGACACATAAATGAAAATACGAGTGAACTATTTATGGGAATGATAAACTTTGAAAATGCATCGTATTCTACTGTAGATGAACTGTTTAACTCTGTCACCTCTAGTGTTTTGAATGTTCTGGATACTGTTGCCCCTGTGAAGGTTAAAATAGTGAAAAATAAGCAGAAGGCGCCGTGGGCTAAAGCAGACTCGGTCAGAGCACTGAAGAGAAAGTGCCGGAGGGCCGAGCGGAAGTGGCGCAAGTCCAACTTCCAGGTTGATTACGAGATCTTCAAAGACAAGTTGTGCGAGTTTAACCGGGTGCTACGTAGTACGAGAGAAAGGTATTTTTCTGAAATGATTGAAGGCTGCAGTAACAATCTGCGTGTTCTGTTTTCAACAGTTAATAGATTAACAAACCCCCCTGTTCAGATGCCATTAGAGCTAACTTCCAAACGTAAATGCAATGAGTTTGCACACTTTTTCAATGACAAGGTTCAAGGCATCAAAAACGCCATTGTCTCCAATCCACAGATAACCATCCAACAGCCTGAAAGGCTCTCTGAGCTAACTTACTTTGCACCTGTAGATGATAAAAATGTCCAAGAGATAATCTCCAGTTTGAGCTCCTCCACATGCAGCCTGGATGTACTACCCACTAGATTTCTGAAGTCTGTTCTGGGCAGTCTGTTACCTTCACTCACACAGATAGTAAACATGTCCCTTCATTCTGGAATATTCCCAAAGGCCCTGAAAACGGCAGTCATCAGGCCCCTGCTAAAAAAGAGCAGCCTGGATGCTACGGTACTTAACAACTATCGTCCCATCTCAAATCTGCCATTTATGGGGAAAGTCCTTGAGAAAGTTGTCTACCTACAGCTTACTAGATTTCTTATAATTAACAATTCATTTGATATGTTTCAGTCCGGCTTTAGACCCCACCACAGCACTGAGACTGCTCTCGTTAAGGTTACAAACGATATCCGGCTGAACACTGACGCAGGCCAAGTCTCAATCTTAATCTTGTTAGATCTGAGTGCTGCCTTTGACACCGTCGACCATGAGATCCTCTTACAGAGATTAGAGGACTGGGTTGGAGTCGCTGGCACCGCCCTAAGTTGGTTTAGGTCTTACCTTGAAGACAGGAAGTACTTTGTGGAGATTGGAAACTGTGTCTCAGATCATATGGCCCTGACCTGTGGAGTCCCACAGGGGTCGATCCTGGGACCTCTTCTGTTCAATCTCTACATGCTGCCGTTAGGTCAGTTAATACGCAGAAACGAAGTGTCCTATCACAACTATGCAGACGACACTCAGATCTATGTCTCACTGACTGCAGGAGAGCATGGACCGGTGGACTCACTCCTTCACTGTATCCAACAGATCAGTGAGTGGATGCAAAACAACTTCCTTCAGCTAAACGCAGACAAAACTGAAATGATTGTCTTTGGTCCCCAGAAACAAAGAGAGAGCGTCATCTGTCACCTACAGTCTCTCTCCCTAAAACCTTCAAACAAGGTCAGAAATCTAGGGGTAATACTGGACTCAGACTTAAATTTTAATAGCCACATCAAATCAGTAACATCAGCAGCTTTTTACCATCTAAAAAACATTGCCAGGATCAAAAACATAGTGTCTAAAGCAGACTTGGAGATTCTTATCCATGCATTTGTCTCCAGTAGGTTAGACTACTGCAATGGCCTGCTCACAGGTCTGTCCAAACAGGCTGTAAAACAGCTGCAGTACATTCAAAATGCAGCAGCTCGAGTCCTGACTAGAACCAGGAAGTACGACCACATTAGTCCGGTCCTCAGATCCCTGCACTGGCTTCCTGTGGCTCAGAGAATAGACTTTAAAACAGCTCTGCTTGTTACAAATCTCTCCATGGCCTCGCACCAAACTATATTAGTGACATGTTAGTCCCATATGAACCAGCCCGGACTCTGAGGAGCACAGGGACTGGACTCCTGCTGGGACTCTGAGGAGCACAGGGACTGGACTCCTGTTAGTGCCCAGAGTCAGAACTAAACATGGGGAGGCTGCTTTTCAGATTCATGCTGCTAAAATCTGGAACCATCTTCCTGAAGATGTGAGACAGGCCTCCTCTCTGACAATGTTTAAAACCAGGTTAAAGACGGTTCTGTTTAGCTGTGCATACAACTGAGGGATTTTAAATTTTTATCTTTTTTTTTTTATGTACTCAGCTTACAATGTGGAACTAAAGTGAGATATATTAAGGCTGCAAGACCGTATGCCATATTTATCAGCATTATACAAACAAAGGCTTTTTACATATGCCACTATGAATATAATCCAAACTTTTTAGTAACAGAGCCACTTTAGTTCATCAGACTTGACCTGGGGCCAACAACCTGGATTTAAAAACAAGATTCGAGATGGATTGACTGGATTCTGGGATTTAAAATGGATAATGATACATCCTTATTGATTCACACCACAGCTGCATTTTATAGTCTGTCAATGACTCGAGTCTGAGATATACAACAAAATATAGCATGACCGTATTGGTGGAGCTGAAGTTGGTTGGATGACACTGTCAAAGTGCCTCAATGGCGACTTTGTGGGAGCAGCAGAAGGCCACATAAAATGGCACAGAGGGCCGCAATTGGCCCCCAGGCCTGAGTTTGGACATGCCTGGTCTACATCATACAGTATATTGGTTTCTCATTGGCCAAAAATAAATCAACGTTTAAATGATATTCTAATTTTCGGATTTTTCATTTATCTGATTTGACATAAAGCAGATTTGGAAAGTCAAAAATGTGTAGCAGATGTTATTACACGCTGTACAAGACTTTTTGTGCAATTATATTAAAACTGAGCTGGTAATTACAACAGATGCAACAGTCTATACTTTCCCACTTGATGTTTTGATTATTTGAAGATTGAAAAAAAAACATGGCAGATGCGGAGGGGAACATTGGTATAAAACTACAGAGCGCTGTTAAAGGTGGTGGTTTTCTGCAGCAAAACAATGCAACACAATTTAAAAACACAACGTACTATATGTAAGGTGGAGGTACATGTGTGAATGTGGGGTCTTCACTTCCCCTGAGGCAGTCTTTGAGAAAGTGACAATATTTTTCATAGTCGGGAGAAATACCTAGTCGGGCATTTGTGTTACGTTGGAGAAGCCCAGACAGTTTAGTAATCAAAGCATTTAAAATAATCATAATTGACATTACAGTTAAGTGTTGCCGTTTGTTCATTTTTAACTGGATCAAGAGCGATGAGAAAAATACGACCCTATAAGAAGTGAAATAAAACTTTAACTGCAGAAATATCTTCAGAGCCGCCCTCCTGTCTCTATTCCTTTAATGCACTGAACAACTTATCGCACTGTTTCAAAGGAGATGACAAACGAACATTGCCGTCAGCAGCAGACGTCTCTTGTTTATGCAGAGACAGTTTTCACATTTGTATTCTGCCTCTGCTTTATGTTGTCCATTATTTTCTAATCACTTCTCATCCAAATCTGCCTTTGGAGACTCGGTGTGATGTGGCATCTGTTGTGTGTGTGTTGTGCGTGTCTGGCGCAGGCGTGTGTGTCACAATATGTTTGTATAAAGACATTCAACAGAATCATTTTCAAAAGTAGAATGCTCCAACATGAGATTAGAATGGTTTGTTAACACTTTGGTTTTTACATGTATTGTTTATCAGTTGACTAATAAAGTTGTTATGTTAAAGTACCTAAATGTGTGTTGTACATACAGTGGGGCATGTGGTCAGACATTGTGAGAGTTCTCCCACTTGAGGGAGGACTGCAATTGTCATCATAGGTATACCTCAACTATGACAGACTGATTTTTAAAGAATTTATTTGGAACATTCCCGCACCGTGAAGTCAAGGGCAAATCAGATCAACCTCACTCACTTCTTCATCCCCGAAGCATCACCCGAGGCAGATTGTGTAATGAGTTCTGACTTTCTTAGTTCGTTTGAATGAGTTTTGGTATGTTATATATATGCCTATAACGTCCCGAAAGGGCATAGGTAATTGTTGTTTGGTTGTTATCACTAATTTAGAATGTGAAATCATTCATAAGGAAGAAGTTATTAATTATAGTTATTAATAATATAATAATTCTTGTTATGTTATCTATGGTCAAACTTTAAAAATATATATTTAATTCAAAGAAGAGAAAATAACTTAATAAGCATGAATAAAGTTCTTAACCAGCCAAAGAGTTGCACCTGTTTATTTCATTACATTTTTGACTATGGATTTGTTTTATTTATATGTAGTCCATAAATTACATTCTAAAAACTATGAATATTAAATTCCATTATTCCTGTGTTGATTGAAATTAGGACAATAAAAAAGTGCTCACCCCGATCCACCCAAATGGTGTCCCTTATATTTATGTTCTCAAGTTGGCGACCATGTGTTTAAGTAACATTTTGTGAACAAATCAGTACACAACACGCTGTGTTTAGCTCCTTAGAAAACCTGATCACATATTGTTTGTCCCAACAGAAAGAGTCTTCGTCTTATCAAATCTTCTGTGCAAGATGCTTTATGCCGAGCTGATTGGCTGAGTGACGATGGTCTTTTTCCGTCGGAAAAAGCAAATCTAAAGATTATATTGAGGCCAAATACACAAACTTTTTTTTTTTTTAAAGTTAGGTACCACAGCTTTATATTGGAATCCTTTTTCATAAGCTGTTAGTTGGCAAGTTTTGTTGTCAAAGGAAATGAAGAAAGCAGCATTAGTCAGCATGCAGTGTGTGATTTCACCTTGACTTGTATCTTGGCCTGCGCAATCTGTGTCTTCCACGACGTTGCAAAAAACAAATTATCCATAGAACATCCCATAGACCTTTAAAGAGGAACAAAAATAAAAAATTCAATATTAGTTCTTACGATTTAACAGAAAAAAAACTATTTTGTGTACCTGGCAGTTTGTTGTCTCAGAGCGTTGAGGAAAGTGTCAGGATGAAAGAGCTCGGATAGATCCAGGACGTCAGATAGAAGGGTCTGTCTGGCGGAGCGCTCCACCCAGCCCTGAACACAAACACACTGCACATTCATCATCTCACATATAACAAATGAGGAGCACTTTGAAAGAACACATTACTCAGGCTGTACATCAGTCTCACACACCAATCACACAAACTATTTAGTGGATCAATGCACGTTAATGAAAATACATTGGCATAGTTAGACGGGAAGAGAATTGTTGATGGAAAGCCTCCTTTGTCTCACGTTGTTCCTTGTGGGGCTGATCTGTCTTGTACTTTGTTTACTATATCTATCCTTGTGTAAACAAGAGGGCTTCAGAAACACGACATATGAACGGTTTTTGTCTGTGAGGAGATTAAATACAGAAAGAAAAACCTTTTTTGCAGCATGTCCCTGATTTTGGTATTGAAACATGAGTTGTGTTGAGCTCAAAGTAGATGGAAAAGGTCAGATGGGGTTTTTATCTGAAAACATGAGTGTCCTTTTTCCATTTCCAAAATGTGTGTCTTTATTTTGGCTGACACAGGGACACAGCGAGGGCTTTTGGTCCAATAGTGTTCAGAAATGCTCTAAACTTAAAGCTATAGTTCAGAATTTTAATGTGGAAAAAGGATATACAGTAAAGTGACACTGCATAAGATTATACAATATAAAGTTGGTTTTGTTATGCTTGTTTTAATTATTACAATTTTTTGAAAGTATTGGTTTAAAAAACAAATACAGATGTTGAAATTATATTTCTGCAATTGGACTCAACATTTCATAACTCATCACCAGATATGGCCAATTACAAGATTTTTTTCTGCATGCCTTTATATCTTTTTTTTTTGTTTTTTACTGTTTTACAACTTGTTTGCACCATGAGCCAAGGAAAATTCTACAATTGCAATAACAAGAATTCTGAATCTGAAGTAATGCGTTATACTCCATAGTATCATATCAAATTACAGTAATTGAGGTACACCCAACTCTGCTTGTCCAACACGGAAATGCACCGTTCATCATAATATTTGATTTAGTTTTGTAATTCAGTCACAATATATTTTCTGTGTTCATTGGAAGAGTTTTGGCTCAGTATATTACACAGCATCCCTCTGGTGGTGTCATCAATCACAACAATGAGGTACAATCACAGCTAACTGTCATATGCACAAATATTGAGGCACTATATTTTATCAAACTAACTACTACTAACATAACTTTTGTACCAGTTATAAAGTCTTTGTATTCTTGAAAAACACTTCTATAGCACAAGTCAGCAGGTTCAGGGTGCCTCTCTCCACGCTGCAGAGCTGATCAAGATAGGAGCCTGTCTAGAGCCGAGAAAGATTATAGAGCACAAGCACACCTTAGACTGAAGTGTTGATTTATTTATTCACCCTGTCTTTTAAAAGCATAGGCACTTTTGCTCCAAATTACCATAGAGAACAGCACATTTGGAGGTCAGCTGCAAGAAATGTGATGACAGAAAAAACAGGCAAACATTTGATTCCATCTTGATTATAAATGAGAGTCATTACAATCGCAGCGTTGGCTAAGGCTGTAGAGATACATTTAGATGAGCAGAAGCCAAGAGGAGAATGTGTGGACATTGGAGAGTGTGGACGATAACAAGACAAGGAGCAAGAGAGGAGAGGGGAGGTAAATGTGTGCACGGCATCACACTTGGTTTTCAAGGTCGTATGGCTGTTAGCTTCTCATTGTTGCAGGTCACCACACAGCAGCAGCAGCTTTGGTCCATACTGGCCTTATTAGACTTATTATCCCTGAAGAACACTGACACTTGGCTAACAGACGCATAACTCACTATTGATGGCTCCAAAAGACAGGTAAGGACAGCGGCACATCCGGAAAGAGACAGGCGTGGAGACAGATGAGGCCCGAGCAGGTAAGAGTGTGGATGGAGAGTAATGAGAGATGGCAGGTGCACACACGAACAGATGTGCAGTCAGGCCGGGCACACAGGCGCACGGAGGTTTGCCCACGCAATAATGAAATGCATCAAAATGGTGTAAAAATACATAATTCAATATGGCCTGCAATGGCGCTTTGGAGTCAGCCAGAGCGTATTGAGGTAGGCGTTCATCCCTCAGACAGACTAAAGAGGAACTGGAAGAGATTTCTCACCACAACCTTTCTGGCACAGATGAAGGGCAAACCCTCCCACAACCTGGTGCTGTTTACACAATAGCCACCATTCATTCAAGCACAAGCCGTTATTTGGAATTGTTCATTTAATTTGAATGTCGGGGGTGTTGACTAAGCTACAGTAAGATTTAAGGATGTTTTAAAATAAACAATTATAGATTTTTCGAATGTATATTTATATATAAGCTTTTTGTTTAAATAAAAAATCTGACTAAAACATGTAATTGGCTTTCCAGACATAAGAGCTATTTAGCATCATAACCGTTCAGCTGTTGGATCATGCTGAGGCCCAGTCGATGAAGATCCAGCTCACAATAAGACAAAGCGGATTGTTTTGAAATGCATCATTATAACTGTAACTATAAAGAACTGTGGTATTTAAAGAGATATATTTCATATTTCATTACTCACCATTAACACTATAATTTGCCACACGCACATTTCAAGGTTTGTACCATGTGGATGACCTTTATTGAATCGGAGAGTCCAGCCATTCAAATAAAACAACATATTGGAAAGATCATGATTGTCCACTATTATACTTGATCATGATCCTCCCGAGCGCTGTCACACAGAAAGGAGCTCGGAGAGGAGCCGCTGCTTTTTCACATTGATTTTTGGATGCCTCCTGGGCACGTCCCACCAGGAGGAGACCAGGGAAAGACCCATGAGAAGTTGGAGGGACTATGTCTCTCAGCTAGCACGGGAACGCCTCTGGATTCTCCCGGATAAGCTGGAGCTAGTGTGTGAAGGGAAGTCTGGGCCTCTCTGCTTAGACTGCTGCCCCCATAACCCAAAAGTGGAAAAAATGGATGGATGGATGTTCGTACCTCTAAGGCTAAAGCACGTGCCACGACTTCTCTGAGGTACTGCATCGGCTCTTCTGGTCCTTCCCAGCTTTTCTGCCATGTTAGAGGACACTGAAATGCAAACATGACACATCATACATCGTATCAGATAAAATATTGAGTAAATAATTATTTTCAAAACAGAAAAATACTTTGGTATATTAAATTGTAAGAATTGAACAACTATATTGGCTGAAGTAAGATAAGATAAAAGAACTTTATTAAACTTTACATTTCAGTGTTATTGTTACAGGATTAAAGGAGAAATACAGTAAGAACACATAAAAAAACACATCTATTAGTGAACTCTCAAGCTATAATTTCACCTAACTAGAACCAGGAAGTAGGTCACTTTTAAGTCTCTGAACTGGCCTCCTGTGGCCAAGAGAATAGACTGCTTGTTCTCTGCTTAGTCTCTCCATGGCCTCAACATCCGCAACATGTTAGTGACATATGAACCAACTCTGAGGAGCACAGGGACTGGCCTCCTGCTGGTTCCCAGAGTCAGGCTTAGACACGGAGAGGCAGCGTTCCAGACCTATGGAGTGAGACAGGCCGCTATACCCTGGCTAGTCTAGGTTGTTTTTAAATAGCCTTTTCAATGTGTTTTACAGTGTTCACATATACATAATGATTAATAATATACTTTAGCAGCAGAGAATATGACCAAAATAAAACATAATAGCAGCATCAGGTAAAGTGGCTAGTGAACAGAAAGAAGAAAGCTTTTGTCTCCATCCTTTATTTTCAAAGGAACAACTGCACTATTTAACACATCTCACTAGTTTTTTCTCTTACTTCATCTGATTGAATTTCAAATTTAAATGAAAAATGCAAAATCTAGCACCAAGTGACATTGTTTTTATTGTGCTTATGATTATGAATACACATTAGTGAGAGGTAATGACTGGAAAAATGTGTGGGTTTATGAGTTGTCAACATGCCCGGAAGTTACAACACAAACACAATGTAGCTGTTTTTCATATCCTCTAATCTTTCTGACAATTACAATCACTATTTATCAAAACACAACACTTTGAGAAGTGTTCCACGTGCCGCCTATAGAAAACGATTTACAATGTGCTATTACCTCTTGGTTGAGTAAAGCTGTGGCCAATTTTTCAACCTCTGGATTCAACAGCTGTGTTCCTCGAATGACTTTACTCAGAGCAGCCAAGGAATTATGGATACGCTGGATATAGGGAAAAAACCCACACTTTAATGACTGAAGATTAAAAGGTTAGATTGACATGAACAAATCACAATGGCACTATTCTGAACAGAAGTATAATGTGGATTTTTTTCTGTGAAAATACAATTATCGCATGGCGCCGTAAAGATGGCGCCGTGGCAAGAGCTCTGGTGTGTGTTGTCCTGGTGCACACCGGGGTAGTCTTGCACAGTTTTTCCAATGTGGTTTTACTGCAAATGGCAAATAAATGAATCTGAATCTGAATTATATGTTTTTACAGTAATACAGGTTTTAAAAGGGGTTGGTTGAAGCAGATTTTTATCTGAAATGTTTGATGTTGATATTTCTATATTTTCATTCTCAAGCAGATAACCAATTCAAAAGACCGAGTTTACTTGTTAAAGCCAGATCATGTCAGACCTCTGATGCTAAGCAGGGCAGAGCCTGGTTAGTACTGTGATGGGAGACTTATGGAAACACAGCATGCAACAGTGGGGCAGTATAGGCTGTAAAGCACTGTTGTTGTGTCTTGTGGCAAGTAACGTCACTCAGATTGCCTAAAATGAGTCTAGTGTGAAAGGTTGGTGGTGGTTGGAGGCGCCACCCCTGCTGATTATCTCGCTTCTGTCAGTGTGCCCCGGGGCAGCTGTGGCTATAGTAGTAGTTGATCACTACTGTGTACAGAGAGAAAGAATCATTCAGGCGAAGTGTCTGAGTGTCCAAAAACACGCTTTAAAAAAATTATGCATTATTGAAATTGAGCTGGTTTGGTTGCTCCTTTCAAGTAATCTTTAAGTAAGTAAGTAATCTTTATTTATATACCGCCTTTCACAGACCAGAGTCCTCTCACTCCACACAGAGATGGGAGCTGGGTCGCCGAACAGGAGGCACAGACCTATTGTACATATTTTTAGTGGTAGGGGAAACCGGAGTACCCGGAGGAAACTTACGCAGACACTTTACTTCTTAACCCAGCAGGACAGTAGCATCAGAGTAATTATTGTATAACGTATTCTATGTTTTCATATGTAAACTGGTCTGTGTGTTCCAAATGCATCTACCAAGGATCTGTCATCAGTGCATTTATTCTTCTTCAATGTTTTGAATGTAGTTGTGCCAAATATCCAGCAGTTGACGATCACAGTCACTGATATCTAACAATAATCTAACATGGCAACGCGCACCATCGTTTTAATCTCTTTGTTGATAATCAAGGAGGAGATGAGTTTAATTCTTTTACAGCTTGTTTTGAGACTGTTGCAAATGTTTTTGGTAGTTGTGTGGCTCTGCGTTTGGTACTGACCCCCAGTGGTCTGTTTATGTACAGACACTTTAGAGTGATCATTTGATAACTACAGACAAACGCCGGTAACGGCGTGAACATTCTCATACCTCTCTACAGTATATTGGTCTCAACATTGAACTCAGTAGAGCCTTTAGCAGCTCCATGTGTGATACAGGCATGGACACTAGCAACAAAGATATGCATTGTAGTTGTAAGAGCACAAACGACAACCAGTACCTTTAAATACATAGCAATAATTAATAATAACAATTTCTGTGTAGAAGTTTGACATTACTCATTCACTTTAATAGTGTCTTGCCAACGCACTTCTTACACTACAATTCATATTTATACAATTGATAAAGTTTAAAATAATTGAGTGAATGTAAAATTTTCCTTATGAATTGTGTGTTTCCCAAACCACCAGACAACCATTACAACACATACTGTAAATTACCCTTCATAAAAATAAATAAATAATGACCCTTCAGTAGTGTTTTGCTAAAGCATATGCAATAATTACACACTTAAGGAAGCTGCAAACACGTTTTGGGTTAATGGCAAAATTAAAACGGTTGTGATGTGTATGCTATTAAAGCAATGCATCGCTCTTTCCATCCCATTTATTTCCCTGGAACATCTGTGAAAAAAAAGGTTCTGTGCCACTGAGTTTGCTTTTTGCTGTTCGTCATTATTGGCACACAATGTTGGCACAGCATGTGCTGATAAAAGAGTTACGCACAAACAGTTTGATGCTGCCGACACAAAGGAGTGTTATCTGACAAACCTTAACCAGGGTGATAGCATTGAACTCCTCTAAGGCGATGAACGATGAGACTGGAGAGCCCTGACCCTCGGCTGGTTGGGTGGTCTTCTGCTGGATCAGAGCAGAACCCTGCACGCATATAGAGTAGCTCTTAACATTTACAAGACAACCTATCTATTGTATTTTAATAAACACAACAAAAACATCAAGCTAAAATTTAACTCTTATTATGTCGACAATTGCATGAAGAAATGTGATTAAATTATGCATCTATGATAGATAAGATACTTCTGCTTTTAATAAAACTGTGGGTACTTTTATTTTTTGTAGTGGAGGTGGTTTTAAAAGTATTTTGTACAATTTCATGGCACAATTTGTACGAGTAACCTTGGACTCTCTGGACTGACAACATGAATGAACAGTCACTATGAGTTTAACTTTCTATTCAAATGAATTCAAACTGACCTGGTTGAGTTTCTTCCACAAGTTGAGGATTGGTGAAAGTCCATTTGACCACAGCTCCCTGTCAAACTTTGATCCTGTGGCTACAGAGCGGCTGAGGACACGCAACTGGGAAATAACCTAGAAAAACGACACATATGAACAGGATTAGTGCAGTCACCAATTATTGCTTTGATAATCGAATAATCTAGCTAATATTCTTTAGATTGATCGAGGAGTATGTGAGAACGCAGGTACACCGGCACGGCGGCAGGGCGGCACGGTGGCTGAGTGGATAGCACTCTCGCCTCTCAGCAAGAAGGTCCTGGGTTCGAATCCCGGTTGGACCAGGGCCTTTCTGAGTGGAGTTTGCATGTTCTCCCCGTGTCTGCGTAGGTTTCCTCCGGGTGCTCCGGTTTCCCCTACCACTAAAAATATGTACAATAGGTCTGGCATGTGCCTCCTGTACTGGCGACCCCACCCAACAATTGTAAACCGCTTTGAGACTCCGATGTGCAGTGAAAAGGCGGTATATATAAATAAAGCTTACTTACTTACTTACTTACAATAAGTAGAGCCCCAAGGACGTGCTAATCAGCCATTTTCTCATTAAAGCAAGACATTTACATAACGATAGCGATAATACTTACTGTATATTGTTTGGGTGTTCAAATAAAATCTCTCGACAAATATATGTATTGATCAGTTGATAATTGTTACAGTAAACACGTACAATGGACAGGAGATAAAGATATTTTAAAATGTTTTTACACAAACTAAAAAGTTCTTCGTACTAGTGTATCTTGTTTTCTAACATATAAGAACAAACCAGTGTATTATTGTGAGGTAATAAATCACACAATTTCCTCAGTTAAATACTACACAGCTATAGTTTGTATTTATTACAAACAATAAAAGTCCAAGTATATCTGCGAACGGCTCCTTACACACCTAATCATGCACAGTGAGCTGCAGTAGACTCAAGGATAGTATCTGCTGCCTGTGAACTGGTCAGGATGTGTGTATGTGGGTGTTGGGAGGAAGGCAGAAGACTGTCTGATAAATGGCTTTCATTTGGTCCAAGAGAACTCTTTACTAACACCTGCTTTATCTTCTCTGTTCAGGAGGAAAAGTGTACCGTGGAAAGAGAGGGAGAGTGAAAGACCGGGAGAGCAGGGCACGTGTGAGGGGAGGATTAAAAAAACAGATTTCTAATCTCAAACGTCATCTGACAGCTGCGAAAATGAGTGCAGCCATGTGAGGAGTTCACATAGATATTGGGGTTCATATGAAGCAGGGAGTTAAAACAAATATTCAAATATGTGCTATTCAAAGATGGAGACCAAGAATGTTTTGTTTGGTATGATGAAAGTAAAAGCCTACGTGTAATAATGTATCATGATAATTAACAGGGGGGAAAAAAAACTCAAACTGCAACTCATAAGTGATGACAGGCCCAGTGGGAGGTCATTTGGGTTCTTAGTTGATTTATAAGTCACATTTATTGAGTTTTCCCCACAAGTCCACAGAATATTCTAGATATTGAGCTTTGTTAATGGTTAAATAGATATAGCTGGAGGAATAAACTTCAATGCATTATAAGTTATAGTCATGCATTTTCAGATAATCTTTAAATGATGTACAACGCTAAGAATTAGATATGCAATACCCTCTATGTTACTTTTTGAACTATAAAAGTGAATGAAAGAACAAACTTGATCTTGCAGGTCATCGATATAGATTACATTGATTATTCTAAATAGAGCCCAATCTCATCTCGCAAAGGCAGCATGTGTCTGCAGAGCACAGTTAAAGGTGTGTGTAACTGACAGGGGTCTTCAGGGAGAGACAGGGGAATACATCAGAGAGACAATGACACACAGTGAGAGAGAAAGCCTGAATGTGACAGTGACAAATGATGCCAAAAGCAGAGATAGGTGCGCAGCAGTCACACTCCACAGCCGTTAGGGAGCACAGTGTGGGTGGTTTCTAGGAGCGTAGACCACACACAAAATATATGAATTAGTAATGTGTGTAACAGCGACTGCTGCAAATACAGCCGGAATTCGCTCGAGGAAAGTTTTAACTTGTAGCGCCATTGTACATGTTTTTACATGGGAGGAGAGACCGAAGCATTCAGAAGAAACCTATATGCAAACAGAGAGAACATGCAAACTCCACTCAAAAAGGCTCTGTGACGCCATAGTAATTGGTAGGTTGGAAAAGGTACTAAAAATCACACTTCCCATCAAAAGTGTAACTTGCATGCAGCACTTGTACAAAACAGGTTATTACTTTGTTTCTGCGTCACATGAGAACTGAGTGAGTAGGTTTATGTTAATTAGATCCGTTTGTAGATTGCTTTTGTATAATGGAACTCAAAGACAAATCGGGGTTGGAAAAAGACAAAGAACTAATTGTCCTAGCTTGAAGTCCCCGAAGCCAAGAAGCTCAAAGCCTCATTCTATCAGATGTCAATATGTTACTTTGAGTTGCATCAGATATTTGTGTTAAATTATGGTAAAAATACGTGGGTATAATGAATGTGCAGCATCGACTGTTAAGCATTTGTGCTTTTATTAATCTGCTTCATTGTTTTCTATTAAATTAAATTGACAAACACAATAAAAATCCAAAACAATCTGAAAACAATACCAAACAATGAGATAATGTAAAAGAAAGACAGACTTTTACACTTTTTTGGGCAAACACACACACACAGTTTGTGGAAGAACAGCCGTGTTTGAACATCTAATGGGGATAAATAAAACGCAACTGAATTCACTGAGAACAAACATGCACCAAGCCTGAATGATGTGGAAAAACACTAATTTATGTTTTTTATATACGTGCAGCCAAGCAAGAGCGTGGGCGCACACACACCTGAGAGCTGATGATCCGCTGGGAGGACCTCTCAATGTTGGCTGGCAGACCGAAAAATGCCGGCCTGTCATCCTCCGGGAGATTCTCAATCACACTGCGGTAGTCCTGGGAACAACCACGTCCACAGGTCAGTCACCACAACAATGCAACTTCACTCACATCTACAGCTCCAGGGGTTTTCGAGTAAAAGTCCAAACTTTTATTAAGAGGATTCAATGCCACCCAAAACAATGTCCTAATATAAAGTGTGGTTCTTGAATTGAAGTACTTTTGATGTGTCTGTATAGAAAACACACCAAAGTACTTTAATTTGTCTGTAGTGCACACATTCCAAACTAGTATTAAATTGCAAATGGCAAATAAACAGAAACGGAATCAGAATCCAATCTACTTGGATGATTAACTATATATTTGACCTGTTACAAAAGAAATGGAACCTACCAGTATTGAACAGGAGTTTGGTAGAGTGATTTGAGATGGAAAACCCTGTGCCCCTCCTCTGCTTCTCCTCTGTCCAGCCGAAGAGGAGATCAAGCGGGCTGAGAAAAACTGCTCCAGGTAGGAACGGAGGATGCGCAGGTCGGACGGGTTGTCTATCCGTCCTCCATATATGGCATATTCAAACAAGCCATGGATGAACTCCCATTCAAATGTTTTACCACCTGAGAGCAAAGAGAAAGAATGGCTAAGTAAGCAAGAAAAGTGAGTCATTGCACGGTCACTGAAATATTAGAAAACCCACCTTCAAAAAGTCTGTCAATAATTTCAAAAGCAGCACGTAGGTCTGATAATGAAAACTCATAGAATTTTGTCCAGCCCTGAAAAAAGATGTAATATTATTGTATCATTAGAAATGTTAGTAGTGATATGAATTACAAATGTCACCACACAAATAAAGATCTATCAAATACAATATGTGATTACAATGTACGACCCTCAAAACAGTTGTCCAGTCCTCCAGCTGTACAAGATTGTCTGAGCAACATTGATTAAGCGGCTCTTTTTACATTTCACTTTTCACCAAACATAGCAGATGTTCTAAATGTGTTCTAAATCTATTTTTTGGTGTCACCCCAAACGGCCTTCCAAAAAGCTTTACCTGCCAGTAAATTTGAAAAGAAATGTTTTGTTATGAAGATATCTGCATGGAGGATTTATTGGATGACACTATTCAACTAGCATTAATGAAGATGAATTTGTTTTAAAAGATGCCCACAGAAAGTTTTATAAATCTAGAAACGTGTCCATATACATTAGTGCATACCTTAGAAAACACAGTGAGTAAACAAATGTACAAAGTCAAAATTAGAAAAAGACTGTTTCAATAAATACAGTAGGAAAGAAAATAAAAAAACAGCAGTGCAAGCTTGTATACAAGATAGTAATGGCTGAAAGGGCAGACCCAGATAAGCCTATACTCTTGCACTGCATATCCTTAAGTACAATCAATGTGTATTTTCCCAAATGAGGCAGAAAAGACGAAGATGTTTATTCCGGCCGCCTGGGAAAGACTCTAAAAACAGTGAGTGGTGAGAAGTAGATACAGGGGGATAAAGTTGAGGCAAGTAATTACAAGAACATGTCCTTTCCCATAGTTGTCTGGAGACTGTGCTGGCTAAGCAACACAAAATGAGATTGTTCCCAATAAACTCCAACACATCAGTGCAGCTCGGAAGGAGATAAATTAGTCCCAGTGCGACATGATCGACTGTGCACCATACACCTGACAAGCAAAGCCAAACATGACATAAACCTGCACTGAGCACTTGTGTAGCCGGGGGAGCCACAAAAATTACAACTTGAGGATGCATACCCTCAATGATACTGTATCTGTTGTTTTTTCTTAAATATTGCAGTATTTGTTTGTATTTCCAAAATATAAGCCATACAAGTTGTCAAAACACCATGAATAATGAAAATATTAACATCCCTGATATTATTATTTATTCATACATTGGTTTGTCACAACTGTACTGTGCCTGCATTTTGAGAAGGCTTTGGTTTAAAATGCACTGGTATTATGAGGCAAATCCATTGTTTGAATATTCTTGGCAGAAAAACAGCAGGCAGTGCTTTATTCGAACTGCATTCAAAATATTAATTGTCTTATGAAGAAGACAAAGCAGGATCCTCGCCTGTAAGAAAGAACTAGTATATGTTTCAAGGTCCATGAATCTCTGTTTCTATTCATTTTCAATTTCTATGAATTTAAAACATTCACAGAAAGGTCTTAACTTAGACAGTAGACCTGAATATATACAAATGGTAGTTGCTTGTTTTTTTAGTTACAGTAATGGAAAGATTTAATTTAATAACTGGATGACAGATATTTATCTGTCTATAACAGTACAATCAATTATTTTCTGTCAGGTTCCCCTGAGGAAGAAGACAACATTTGGCACCAGACATCGCCTGTCTTATGCAAAATAGATGACTGTCACCTGTGGTATATATTTGCGTCTCTCTTGACACACAGCGTGGAACCAGGCCAGACAGAACATACTTTGAGCTCTTGGCAAAATCCCCCCTGTGGAGAGGAAAATATCACATCTTAAATTAGGAACATTTAAATATATACTTGAAAAAAAAAAAAACTTTTTAACCTTTACTGATCTGCTCGGGTGTCCATGATTCATAAGTTCTTAAAAGGTTCTTCTTTAACCCAGGTGGAGCCTATAGAAGAGGAAAAACATGCTGAGCGTCCTTTGGTCTGTAATGCAGAGTACTGGGAAGAAGATTATGTGGAGCCACTACTAAGACTATCCTTTTTAGGAGGAGACAGCCCAGTGACAGCCTTTTTGTGCTCTGTGGGAGCGTTTTGTCAAGCAACAGAACATATTTTAATACTAAAAACAACAAGCCCTAGACTGACATAGAGCTGACTTCAAAGGTGACTTAGTCCAGTTTTTGCTTCATTTTAATGGGGAAGAAAAGTTGAAAGCTAGGTCTGTGTGAGCCGTGTGGTATTTGATCTCTATCTTCTGTTGAGGCCACAATGTGAATCCACTAAAGATATCTAGAAGCATGGATGAGCCTAAAACGCTTGGATTTAGTAAATCATAACAACTTTTGGCCACTGTAACTGTGGAAATGAATTCAGGATTGTTATTGATGATACGGGCTGGTGCTATGAGACTTGGGTGGCATCTCTGACTGCCACCCCCCTGACCCAGAAATGGATTAAAGGGTAGAAAATGGATGGATGGATGGATATTGATGATACATCAATAGAAAAAGTTTTTGTTTTGTTTTTGTTTGCACTGTCTGGGACACAATTATTTTTTAAATGAGATATATCACGCAAACCCCATGTGAGTTTTAAAGCATATGCTGTTCCCATGTCAAACGTATGCACCGAAATGTGACCACAATATTTGTACGTGACGCAATTGCAATGTGGGTGGGAACTGTGTTTGAGTGGAAGTGCCTTTAAGGACATCTCGCGATTCTGTCTTTAAACATGAGACATCATAGTTTTACCAGATACTGGCAACATTTTTGAAATAGTACAGCAGAAACTCAGTCTGTATAGTTGAATTTCGGTAATTCAACTATACAGACTATTGCAAAATGACGTATGCCAAGCCTTTGATAATTATTCTAAGGCTAATAATTTTTATCAATATATCTTACATTTACTTTTCAAAACTTGTGATTCTGCAAAACTATCAAAACTACAGCAGCTTCTTTTCATATGCATGAATGAAGAAGCAGCTAACCCATGAACTCAGTGAGTCTCAAAGCATGCATCACTGGCAGTCTGCCTCCTGCTTTAGTATCTAGGTGCAAAGTGAGGTCAGAACCACCCACCATTTCAAATCCTGCTGCTGTAACTGTGCGTCAGTCTGTGTAAGTACCTCATAGGTGATCTTGAGGCTGGACTGCAGCAGGATGGGAGGAAACTTGGGGTGTATTTCTGATGTCAGCCAAAGACGGAAGCCTGGTTTGGGTTGCAGGGCATTTAGTTCCTGTGTGAAAAGACAGTCATTGCATAAAAACTGATCTTGTATATGTTGATGTTTGCAAAGAAATGGCTACACATCAATAACTGGTGTTGAGAGTTCAAAACTATAGGTCATATTTTCTGATCTTGTGCTTAATCTGTTCCTTGATGTATGCGACGTTGGACTGAAAATGTATTTCAATGAGAACCATTTTGTTTGTGTTGATTCTAATGTGAGTTCCCCAACTACATCACCAGGGAACTATAGTTAAATTTAGTCTCTGGCCCCTTGGGGTCTTCAGACATCTGATTGCACACTTAGACACACTGCTGCAATCAATGTATTTCATCATTTGGAGACTTTTCTCTTGGAATATCGCTCAGATTTGAGCTTCTTATATGCCACATTTAAATATATAAAAAACATTATTTTATGTACAGTGATGTACATGACAGGGCCCCAGAGTGCATGATTACATCTTGAGCCATAATATATATTGAATAGATTCTATTTGAACCATAAACGTTTACCACAATTTCACAAACAAAGGGGATTGCAATCAATCAAGTAAATGTTATTTAAAACGCACATTTAATGCAAATAACTCGACACAAAGTGCTATAAGGTTTGGTTAAAAACAATCCAACATGACAGAAGAAGAACCATCAGAGGAGCCATCTGCACCAGGAGCAGAGAGCCGCCTGCAGCCACAGAGGACGACACAGGTCCAGACCCCCACAGGTCCAGACCCCCACAGTCCCAGCCGATCATCAACCCCAGTGCAGAGGGCCCCACTAGAGGAAACACTGCAGAGAACTAAAACAGTAAAAGTATAATATTATATATAGCATAAGTATACTATAATATGTAAAAGAGACTATAGAACTACAATAAATAAAACGTAAAAGTCTTGTCTTGTAAACATGAACGCTCTCTACCTCATTGAGCTCCTTCATAGCCATAGTCATTATAAAGAGTAGACCTTTCTATTACGACCACAAAAGGGAGGAACTCTCTGCCATGTACATTTTGTAAATGTAGAAAACTTTGTTAAAAAGTTGGATACCCCAGCACTAGGTGAACCAATTATTTTTGCAGCCTGGACTTGTGTATCCATCAACACATATTATATACGGTTTAACAAACTAAAATTTAATATTCATTCTTTTCTTTTTTGTATGTTGTTTAATATTCTCAAATTGAACTCATTTACACATTTAATTGTCTGAAAATATGCACTATGTTAAATGCCTGGAGCAGCTAAAGCAGTGCAGATACACCTGAATGAGTGCAAAGAACACAAACGTCCATCTGGAGCCGTGGACATAGTTGGTTGTATGGTTGTAATGCAAAGCTGCCTGGTATGGAGTTTCCACCTGTCTGCTGAAGCTATGCTAATCTTAACACATTTCACATGGGCTGTCTTCATTCTTTAAGCTCCCTGCCTGCTTTTGTTCCCTTGGCTGTGCTGCTTTTTCCATTTCAAGCATGACTGCCGAGAACTCATCTTCATCGGGTGGAGGGTAAGGGCCGAGACACAGACAGGAGGCGGCTGTGAGCTTCAATTACGTAGAGAAGCACAATGTAAGACAACTGCTCTTTTGACAATGGCCATAGTGTGTGGATCCTCTCGACAAATGGAGGTGAGTATAGCAACATTGTTTATTGCCTGCAGTGTGACATGACTTCAGAGCGGGACAAAGCAAGCTTATTATTCCCATAGCTCAGTCAAATCCGATGAGCAATACTGGTTGGTGAATACATTAAAGTCCACCAGTTACCAGGGAGTCTGAATAACATGAAAATATAGTTAACCAGAAACTACTTTAGAAAGGAAAGGGATTGCACACAAAACATGAGCTCACTAACGGCACGTGACCAACAATCTGATATTAAACAGTAACACTATTGTGTGTAAGACACTGAACAGAAATTGCACAGAGGCTTTAAGAACAGAACATCCCTAAGGCACTGAAATCATGTGACCTTTTTTAATCATCGCTCCCCCCAATCTAAAGCAAGATAATTGAAGTTTAATGAAGGTTTGTTCAATCATTACATGTTGGATAAACAGATCTGCATAACAACAATCTGTTATTTATAAATATATCTGTATAATATCACAATCTGTCACATTTTCCTTTTGAATGGAGATACAGACCGTATTTATAAAAAGAAAAAAAAATCATGTTACTGAACTTCAATTCCCATGATGCTCTTGTTTGGAAAGACATTTTTCAACAATAACAACTTATATTTCCTTTTAGTTGCACTTCAGTGAGTGGGCTTGAATAATCACTAAGTGGTAGAACTTGGCCATGAAGAGAGCCCCCTCCAGCTTGTGTCCATTCAGCCTACAATCTTTCAGAGTATAACATAAAACATATCCATCTCCATGGAGAGTGTGCCAAAATAACTGTATCTCCTTTAAATCAAGCAGGCAATGTGCAGATGTCACTTTTATGTAAATAAGCATGGTGCTACATGGTCTTAATGGCCCTGACCCAAAAACTAACCAAAAGCAGAACAATCTGTATTTCAGTGATTACGACAATTTACAATGTATCAGAATAATGACTAACTTTATTATATTAGTTCACATAAAGAAGGCTAATACAAATAAAAATGACTACTTTCATAACTGTCCATCTACCACCAAATAACAGTGCTAATTATTTGGCAGTAAAAACATAAATCGTACCTTTTCTAGCCGTGGAAGCCACGCCGTAACAAGGTGAAGGTTTTTCAGGCAAAGCCAGTCTCCATTTCGCGAACACTCCGTGAGAGCAGCTAAGGCCACATCAGCCTGGCCCTGACCCATGGATATCTAGACAGACAGCAAACGGGGGGCACAGGGTGAGAAACAGAGGCAGCCAGATGGAAAATTTGATTCTCCATTGTAATTTCTTTCAAGTCGAGGGCAGAAAATTTGATTCAGTATTATAATTCGGCTATATTCTGTGACATGAACTGAAAAATGCTTGCAAAGACAGTTTTTATAATGTAATTTTCTACAGTGTCAGTTCATGCATCAATCATATCGACACTCATACACCAATAAGTAATGATTGATATGAATACTTAGAGGGTTTGCCACAGAGGTAGGCACTTCCACAAGTTAAAGTTTCATCTGAATTCAATTGAAGGAATTTATATCACTTTTAAATGTAAAATCAAATGCTTTATCCCCAAGTATCAGCTCAGTCCCCAATCTTTTAATCTGGTTACTCTCTACCTCATGATAGTTCTCTCTTCCAACAGTCTCTGTGGCCAGCTCTGCCAGTTCCTGTGAGGGATCAGCCCCTGGAGAGATGATAATCAACACCGGCTCTGCTTCCAAAGTCTCAGCGTAGAGTCGCCGAAGGTTCAGAGGAGGAAGAGAGAGCTCCTTCATACCTGCACATGCACAGGGAACAATCACCATAATGAGTGCAATGAGGTCAGGGCTAGTACAACAGCAAGCACAAGCTAAGAAACACACCAATCAGAAACATGATTAGGGCTACTTTAAAACACAATAAGACATTTACAAAAAGAAAAAAGTAAATGTCAGTTTTCTTTTTTCAAACTGTGAAGAGAGAGTGAATCTTTAAGACAAGCACTGGTTAGACCCCATCCATAAGCTTTGTAGAGCATTTGGGGAGTTTTATAAAGACGCAAAATGCATTAAATAAATTGTAAAGTGTTTGATATTCATAGTGATGTAAAAAATAAAAAAATAAAACATTAAAATAAAAAGTAGGCCCACCGACACTCACCCCCGCAGCCTCCTGATTGGTCAAAATGTATTGAAATCCATGAGGCCCCTCGTCATTGGTTTAACGATTCGCCAACAGAAAATCCTACTTTTACTTTCGAATGCGCTGGAAAACGGCAGCAAGTCCTAAGTAGCTCTGAAACAGTTGTTGTTTTGTGCTTTACAATTTTAATTTTTCTTGCTTTTTTCTACCTGAGATGTTGCTGCGGTTCAGTGTGCATAGTTTTACACTGGTCCAGACCATGGTCATTTTCATTCATGAAACGCTACTCCACATCTGCTGCTGTGACCCATTCTGCTCCACCCAGAGGCTACTCCACTTCTGCTACTGTGACCCGTCCTACTTCACCCAGAGGCTACTCCACTTCTGCTACTGTGACCCGTCCTACTTCACCCAGCGGCTACTCCACTTCTGCTACTGTGACCCATTCTGCTCCACCCAGAGGCTACTCCACTTCTGCTACTGTGACCCGTCCTACTTCACCCAGAGGCTACTCCATCTCTGCTACTGTGACCCGTCCTACTTCACCCAGAGGCTACTCCACATCTGCTGCTGTGACCCATTCTGCTCCACCCAGAGGCTACTCCACTTCTGCTACTGTGACCCGTCCTACTTCACCCAGAGGTTACTCCATCTCTGCTACTGTGACCCGTCCTACTTCACCCAGAGGCTACTCCATCTCTGCTACTGTGACTCGTCCTACTTCACCCCAGAGGCTACTCCATCTCTGCTACTGTGACCCGTCCTACTTCACCAGAGGCAACTCCACTTCTGCTACTGTGACCCGTCCTACTTCACCCAGAGGCTACTCCATCTCTGCTACTGTGACCCGTCCTACTTCACCCAGAGGCTACTCCATCTCTGCTACTGTGACTCGTCCTACTTCACCCAGAGGCTACTCCATCTCTGCTACTGTGACCCGTCCTACTTCACCCAGAGGCAACTCCACTTCTGCTACTGTGACCCGTCCTACTTCACCCAGAGGCTACTCCATCTCTGCTACTGTGACCCATTCTGCTCCACCCAGAGGCTACTCCATCTCTGCTACTGTGACCCGTCCTACTTCACCCAGAGGCTACTCCATCTCTGCTACTGTGACCCGTCCTACTTCACCCAGAGGCTACTCCACTTCTGCTACTGTGACCCGTCCTACTTCACCCAGAGGCTACTCCACTTCTGCTACTGTGACCCGTCCTACTTCACCCAGCGGCTACTCCACTTCTGCTACTGTGACCCGTCCTGCTTCACCCAGAGGCTACTCCACTTCTGCTACTGTGACCCGTCCTGCTTCACCCAGCGGCTACTCCATCACTGCTGCTGTGACCCGTCCTGCTTCACCCAGAGGCTACTCCACTTCTGCTACTGTGACCCGTCCTACTTCACCCAGAGGCTACTCCACTTCTGCTACTGTGACCCGTCCTACTTCACCCAGAGGCTACTCCACTTCTGCTACTGTGACCCGTCCTGCTTCACCCAGCGGCTACTCCATCACTGCTGCTGTGACCCGTCCTGCTTCACCCAGCAGCTACTCCACTTCTGCTACTGTGACCCGTCCTACTTCACCCAGAGGCTACTCCACTTCTGCTACTGTGACCCGTCCTACTTCACCCAGAGGCTACTCCACTTCTGCTACTGTGACCCGTCCTACTTCACCCAGAGGCTACTCCACTTCTGCTACTGTGACCCGTCCTACTTCACCCAGAGGCTACTCCACTTCTGCTACTGTGACCCGTCCTACTTCACCCAGAGGCTACTCCACTTCTGCTACTGTGACCCGTCCTACTTCACCCAGAGGCTACTCCACTTCTGCTACTGTGACCCATTCTGCTCCACCCAGAGGCTACTCCACTTCTGCTACTGTGACCCGTCCTACTTCACCCAGAGGCTACTCCACTTCTGCTACTGTGACCCGTCCTACTTCACCCAGAGGCTACTCCACTTCTGCTACTGTGACCCGTCCTACTTCACCCAGAGGCTACTCCACTTCTGCTACTGTGACCAGTCCTGCTTCACCCAGAGGCTACTCCACTTCTGCTACTGTGACCAGTCCTGCTTCACCCAGCGGCTTCTCCATCTCTGCTGCTGTGGCTCGCCCTGCTCCACCCGGAGGCTACTCCCTCTCTGCTGCTGTGACCTGAAGGGCTGTTGCTGTTTATTACTATTCTTAGCTTTTTAGAATGATAAATTTTATTTTATTTTTTATTTTTGCTGCTACTGGAGACCTGAATTTCTCCTATGGGGATCAATAAAGTATCTATCTATCTATCTATCTATCTACTGATCGTAATTCTCAATTGATTGATTGATTGAATTCTGCCAGGAGGAGGGACTGTTTTGAATATATTATTGTAAAAATAGTTACTTTACATAAAAGTACAGTGTTCCATAGTCAAAAATATAAACTATTTAAAACAAAAAAACACAATACATGGTGCTGTGGCTTGAAAGAACAAAATATATATATAACACGGCGGAGGAAAATATGAGCAAAAACCACCGTTCCAATGTTCCATTGATTCATTTAGGGACAGATACTATCATAGTATATATCGTTATCGCACACCTGGATACAACTATCGCATAGTACTAATTTACCGTATTTTCTCATTTTCACAACACATAAGCATCCAACAACAGCATTTGTAGAAACATTTCTAGTTTTCATGTGATATTTACTAGTGACAATATCGCCCAGCTCGACTCAATGGCCCATTTTGTGCGTGAGCTTATGAGGATTATGTTTTGATCTCGCTGTGATGAAGATAAGAGCAAATACAACGACTATTGCAATGAACGCCCATGTTGAAATCCTCTATATACTTGGATGCCAATTATATCACAGTATGCTTTGCCACTTCCCACTCTACGCAGGCAAATAATCACACACAGTCCTGTCTGGTCCAAAATTCTTTCAGTGCTTTCTGTCAAATGCAATCTGCTGCACTGAAGAACACATACAGTACATGAAGTCACACAAGGTCCTGGCACAGACAGCTCAGAGCGACCTTTTATTCCCATTGCTATAGCAACCCTAAGAAAAACAGTGGTCCTTGTGATGTCTCGCTTCAAACGAGGGCTACTTGCAGAATGAGTGAACATACATTTGTTTAGTCATCAGCATTCATAATGGCTAACCAACTTCACCTCTGCATTCACCTTGGATTAAAGATACAGTCAGACTGAACAAACCATAAAAGCAGTAGCATTTCACACAAGTATTCAGTCATAAGTGTGTAACGGTTTATTTTAGAGCTGAGAAACATCCCAGTGGTTACTATCCAGGCAGGTTCAGCCAGGCATGCCAGTATGCGTGTGAGTGTTGCCCAGGCCTGGACTGGGGAGAGAGTGAGATTAGCTATAAGAGGATTACAGACCATGCGTCATTAGCATACTGATTTTCTGCCAAAACATACACATACACACCAAATCTTCTTTTGCTTTCTTGATTCACATACATATAAACAAACTATCAATTTCTGCATACTTGTACACAACAACAGAACAAGTATTAGATCGAATGAACTCATCAGTTTGAAGTGAGGTAAATGAAAGTCAGGTACAGAGTACACGGCCATTTTTCAAACCGCAGAAAACCTAAATATGTATTCAAATCCATCAAGCCTTTGTCACATGTTAAGATCAGCTTTTTCAGACAGAAAAGTTTAGTTACAGTTGTCATCATCACAAACGGTAAAACATATTAGCTGAGATCATGATTGACAAAAGGAGTTGGTGGCTGCAACAATCTGAAATTTTCAGTAAAGCTGTACTAATGTGTCAGTGCCCCAGCTTTAAATGAAAACCAGGTGAAAAACACATACAATTATTCATTTTAGCCTCCACTAACAGCTACCCAATAGCCGAGAGCATGCATCTCAATCTAAGTGCACCCTGAAATGTTGTCAGTTTACTTTTTGTCATTGAATGTAAAATAGAAAACACATTAAGACTTTCCGTAAGAGAAATCATGCCTTCCAAAGATGAATAATACTTGAACTTGTGCTGTTTGACAGATATCCACATCAGTGAACCCAGTATATTAGTTCCACCTGACACCAATTAGTAGTGTAGCAGATAGAGCAGTCAAAAGCTAACACACAATTAGGATTATCTGGACTAAATTAATAGCTTCATTAAGCACAATAAAACAAGCAATCCCCAGAATCACCACAGAGTAAAGAGGGAGAAACGACCAGGAGTAAGGCTGTGTTAGAAGTGAAACAAAATATTCACAAACTGTACATTTAAATGATATACTATATATAATTGAGTTTGTGGGACTTACTTAGAGTTTGAGAGGCAAAAGCTACCATCGCACTCTGTAGTCTGTCGGGTCTGATGGCTTGAACCAACAGAAGCTGAAGACAAAGAAAGGTATGTTTTATTCAATAAGCATAGTTAAATACAGGGAACAATATGCATATTCATAATAACTCTTCAAAGCAAAGAAGTTGACCTGTTGGAAGGCACTGATCTTCTTCACAATGGAGGAGGGCATTTCCTGTTCACACTGAGAACTTCTGGAGAAGGACAGCCAAAGATTGGCATCACTCAAACACAAAGACTGATAGAGGCCGGGGAACGTTGCCTGCAGACGACATTAAAGCACCTCCTCTCATTAGAGTGTATACGTTGAAAAATATGCAGTAAAAACGTTACTTTTAGAATAGCCACTGCAGCGTGTCTTTCTTGGTCGATCCAAGATGGGAAATCCTTTGAAGAGATCAAAAACACTTAAAGTAGCCTTAAAGGAAAAAAAATGTAACCTGGAACTGAAACTTCCACACAGCGCCGCAAATGGCGAAGTGGCACGCTCTCTGCCAAAACAATTTCCAAGTGGTAACTTTGTTACTTACGTGGCAATAAAAATGATTCTGATTCTGAAACTGTTAAAAGCTACTTACCTCTTTTTTAAACATTTCTCCAACAATAGATCCAGTGAATGCATCCCACTCCTGCAAAAACATTGAAGAAGTTTATTGTGGACGTGATGTTTGGGAAATTTGAATAGATTATGTTTTATTAAAGCTCCTAATTACATTTTCTTGGAAAAGCTCTGGGTGCATTCCCTTGACAAAGTGCATGGCGAACATCAGCTGATCAGCCTATATGGCAGAACGAGAACAAAACAATATACATTTTCAATTTGGAAAAACATGAATAAAAGAAAAAATATTCAAATACTAATACATATTATGGTATATGTATCTGTGCAGTGCAGTATAGTAAGTATCAGTAAATTATTGGTCTGACTTGGATATTTACTCTACTCCACCTTATTTATATAGCACATTTCATAAAACATGTTTCCAATGTGCTGTAGAAACAAAAGTAACATAATTTAACATACAAGCCAGTTTTATGAATACTATCAAATACAAGATACATAGATGTAAGATAAATCACAATACAAATCATTAAACAGGCATGAAATAAAACCAAATATTTAGTTGTTTTAACCCTCTTATACGGAGAAATGGACTTGCATGTTTACTCTCGATGTTAACATGCAAGTCAATGTCACGTTCTAAAGAAATCATGTTCATAATATTCATAAATGCCACGCCACATCTCCCTGATCCGCAAATGGCACAGTGTGGGCGGCACGGTGGCTGAGTGGCTAGCACTCTCGCCTCTCAGCAAGAAGGTCCTGGGTTCGAATCCCGGTCGGACCAGGGCCTTTCTGAGTGGAGTTTGCATGTTCTCCCCGTGTCTGCGTAGGTTTCCTCCGGGTACTCCGGTTTCCCCTATCACTAAAAATATGTACAATAGGTCTGGCATGCACCTCCTGTTCGGCGACCCCGCTCCCATCTCTGTGTGGAGTGAGAGGACAAATGCCCAAAAAAAAAACAATAATAACAATTGTAAACCGCTTTGTGACCATTATCTGTGAAAGGCGCTATATAAATATACATTACTTACTTACCTACTATATCATTTCTCTAATATCTTGCATCACATTTCACTTACCTTCCACGCTTGAGTTGGCTCTGAATAACAGGGTTAATCTAGACAAGAATACTGATACCAAAGTTCATGGTTTCCTATAGGCTAACAAAGCTCCTAACTAATGTATGCCATTGCACATTTGCCAGATAAAGGATTGACAAGATCAACATCTAACAGCCACCATGACATTGCCAGGGGCGGGTAAATCATTACCATGCAGGCAACACACAAGCATCCTCACACAGGCAGAAAAAGAAATTGCATTAACCATTAACAGCCAAATCAATGGACTGATGGCTGCGTGGGTCAATATTTTACACTTCATTACGGTGTTGGATGAAGTGGTTTGATCATTAAATTTGTAAATGTCTGTCCACAATTTAGCCTGAAACAAAGCTGCTTTAGCTGGTTTATTTCCTCAATCTTATAAAAATATAAATGTGTAAGTGAGGGTGAAAAGAAGGTGAATGCAAATTCTCATGTATCCAACATATAAAGTCGGGATGATGATGCATGTCAAAGTCTTTAAATTATTATTACCTTAAAAAGTGAGCGACAGACATATTCATACACCATATTTTTAAGGTTGGTCTCCAAAGCAGTGATTCTGGCTTCGGTAGTCTCCACTTCCTAAAATGAAAACAAAGAGCATTAAGTACGTTAATAACAGGCCTCCAGTTTTTCACAATGTGCAACAAAAATGTGAAGCCAAGTCTGTAAATAAGTGCAGTTGTGAGCGGATGAGCCCCGGAAATATCTTTACACACACAAAAAATATAGACAAGTAGATCATGGGTATAGTGAGAGAGTCAGCATTTAAAAAATAACTCATTTTAAATCTCAGAACTGTTGGAATCCAGTCCAAAACGTTCTACAATCCGGGTTGTTAGAGCCTGGACAAGTCTGGTTACCTAATGTGGCCCATGCACTAAAAGGTTTGGAGACCTCTGTTTTAAAGCGGTGTAGAGGCCATGATCGGGAGACCGCAGAGGCAAACAGAGCAAGAGCATCCAGCTGCATTGGCCAAAATCTGATAAAAACAGTAAGGGTGGGCAACATACAGTTTGTATTGATACAATTATAATCACATATTATTGTTTTTATATTGTATGGACCAGTAATGCTTTACAATGTGAAGTTGTGTATTGGGCTGTCTGGTGCTAAGTTTACAGTTTATTGAATACTAATTGTATATTTATGTACAGGTTATGAGTTTACTATACTTTAAGATTCTGGATTTTGTTTAATGATTTGTACATCTTATTACCCATTTTTTGCAAAAAATTTTACATGCCATATGGTGTCCTATAGCATGAAGAAGTTTGCGTGTGTGGGAATGTGGCATCAGTGTGTGTCTTTGATGCCATGGTACAGGGTGTTCTGAGGTGAAGATGTGTTTAGTTCATCATTTAAAAAAGGTTTAAAAACACAAATATTGGTCCATGCTGTAGTTGAATTCACCTTCTTTGCCTGCAAGGCTCTCTGGAAAAGACGCAAGAAAGAGGCCAGGCTGAAACAATACATGCTGTTGATCCTTGACAGATCTGTGATGACAAAATACATTTTGCTGGCACTTTCAGCAAATGGCAGGTAGGCATCTCGCTCCTAAAATGAAACCCAAACAAGAGCAGATTTAGAGCCTGACCACTGTACAATGGCAAAATATCAAGGTAATAAAACACCTTAGATCAATTTCATATAGAAGAAAAGCAAGATATAGCATGAGTTTGAAAAAAACAAGCAAACAAACAACAGAACAGTGAGAGGTGTGCAAATCCAGTATGGTGCAACACTGCTCCCTAGAGGCTTGTTATGTAACAGCTCAGTGTGCTTGAAATGATGCGTGGCTGTATATCCTGCATGTGCGTGGGTGGGCTTGGGCTATTCTACCTGGTCCAAAGAAGCCTGCAGCCTGTGGGATTCCACCAGTGATTCCTGGATGAGGGCACTGCTGCCCTTGGTCTGGTTCAGGCTGTCAATCAGCTCTCTGTTCTCCAGGATATTACCCTGAGCTGTAGCCAGAGTCTGCCGTAGAAACATGGATGGGTTGGATTAAGACCGACATGGTAGCTTAGTATAAATGTATTATTCAACAAGCCAACATCAATTAACATGGATCATGAGGACATAAACCTAATAATGCAAACTAAATCATGCGAGACACATGTTTATCGGTAAGCTTAAGAAAATAACAATTTAAATAAACTTGTAAACATTTATCCACAATTATGCATCGAATCATGTGATCTAGATATAGTACCTCTAACAGTGATTCCTCTAAAGTGGCAAGCTGTATTTTTTTCTCTTCTTCTTGCTGAAGTAGTCTGGTCTTTTCAGTCTCCAATTGAGGCTTTTCTTGCTGGATGGTGAGGGCCAAAAGCTACAGAGTAAAAGAGCGTCAATGTGAGTGGCTGACACAATAGACATAATGTTATGATTGTTGTGGTCGTAAACACAATTAAATAATAACTGATTTATACAGTAAGTGTATAAGTTACCTGTCCCCTGAGACCGGCTCTCGTCGTGGTAAAATTCACCTCAGTCACAACTGAAGCTGCATCAGGAGGAATACAGGGGTTTGGATTCCGTGTTGCCAAATAGAGACGGAAGTCCTCATTATAGTCAATGACTTTGTCTCCTATTTGAACCACATATCTGGGACCTGAAAGCATTTGACAAAAGTGCTAACCAACTTGATGCAACCATACATCTTTAAAAGTCTGCAATGCAGTAGTGACATTAACACTTTGCTTCTACAGAACTTTTAAGTGGATAATTTATCCTCACTTGCATCGCCTCTGTCACCACTCATGCCACTTTACTTTAACAAAAGCAACTGTTCTGTTGACATGATTGGGAACATACATAAACAAGGTGTTCAAACTCAGATTTTTAAAATACCTACTTCTAAGGCAGCAGGATAATTGATAATTATTTATGCTAAACTGAAACATTAACATAATTATTCAAAAACTAGGGGGGTATTAAACTGGATATCTGATTGATTTACACAAACATTTACAAACAATCTGGAAAAATTGAGAATTTTTTGTATTATCATTTAGTATTTCTGATCAGAGAAGACATTATGCTTTTGTGCAATAATAGTATACACCCTTGTATCTTCATTTTATAGTTTAAAATATCTAAAAGGATTTAAAAGAGACAAATTAGAAGAAGCAGCCCATGGACCACACACAGCTCCTGACACCAAATCAAATGCCATTCAGAAAACAAACCAACAGTAAATTTACATTAAACTACAGTGGGTACAAGATGGATGGTCTGAGCAAATGTATTAATATAAATAAGATAAATTAATCAAAACAAGTACTTAACATTTTTCTAGATTCTCTTTGAAGAGCTCCTGCAATGCATTATGGGAGTGTTTGATATTAATAGGGTAAACGTTCTATGGTTTATTTCACTTATTGACCTTGGATGGACTTAGGGGGTGACTATTTTAGTTATTCTTGTGTAATTGTATCCATTACCTTGTGCAATTAGTTCTCTTCTCAGCAGTGGATAAAGAACAGGTTCAATGCTGTCCATTTCTTGTATCACTAAGGTTTTTCCAAATCTTACTGCCAACTCCAATGATGTCATGAAATTCCCGTCCTTTGGGGAGAAGATAAAAGTACAGTTACAGTTTAAATAATAATTTCTCACATCATATATTTGAGAAATTATTATGAGCAGAAAGAATTATTTGGACAAAACAGTGGGAAGACTATTCTCCTCCATATTTGCTTGCCCAACATTTCCTTTTAGAAAATATTCTTCGGAACATTTCCCACAGGAAATCTTATGGAACATTATGGACAGAATGTGTCAAAATTTGCAAAGACGTAAACAGATATGCTAAAAACGTATTGCATAATCCATATAGATTTATGATTATTTTGTATAAGTCTACTACTCGGGCGTCCTCCTCCAGGGGACTATAACTAACTAACTCTCAATAAATATTAAATAGAGCATGTCGATACGTTCACTCATTTTACCTGTAAGTTGATGACCTCCAATCGGCGCTGCTTCAGATGCGTACATAACCACTCTGTAGCTCGTGAAGACGGGTCAATCAAGAATGGGCAGGCCACGCTCTGGTGGGAGATAGAGATTGCAGTGTGTAGATATCTATTTTGTGTATCTGCTCATAGCTGTTTCACTGCAGCCAGGCTTATCGACCACTAGTCGGTCCATGCCAAGCATAAAGAATGAGATACACTCCCCCTTCTGTTTTCATCCTGCACTACCCTATTTCATGGTCTCTTGCTTGAGAATTCTCAATCTCAGCCAATCTCTTTTGAACCTGTTCAAATGTCATCTTATTTTCAACTGATTTTGTTTAATATGTCACAAGAAGAGGAAATTGTGTGTTTTGTGCCAGAGTGTGGCAATGTTCTAAAATAAAATATAGTTACAGGGATGTCCTCTTAAAGAAGTCACATTACACATTATTCTTGCAAATTCAAAATGATAATGAGACTATTTATTTTATAATTGAATGTTTTAGAATCAATCTGAATTTAAAAAAAAAACATTTGGTGAAACAAGCATGAAGGCGTCTAATGCTTTCCACCTGCAACACCTTATTCTACCACCAGTGAGAGGAGTTGAATTTGTTTTGTTTTTTCCAAGTATGAAAATTACCAGCTGCAAAAAACAAAAAATCATCCTATAAATATATGGGAAATACTTTTGTTTTAAAAGGCTCAGACAAAAGTTAAATACAAGAGTTAAATGTTTGTTCCAGAATTAGCCTGGATGGATCTAATAACAGCTCTACTCCTTCTAAGATAACAGTGTTATCTTAGAAGGAGTTAGAAAAGATGGTTTGCACGTAAGCCTTAGCAGCATCAGGATGGGTCAAATGCAGAGGATGAATTGCCCTACAGGGATAAATTAAGTGCACCTTTACCTTAACCATAATATATCTCCTTTAAAGCCAATCAAAGGTATTTTCAGCTGTTAGGGAGATGATGGAGGATGAGGTGGGGTGAGGAATTGTCAAACAAATGTTTATGCTTACCTTGAACTCATTGATCTGGTGGCAGCAATGACAAAAGCAACACAAAAACATGACAAATGAACAATGGAGCACGGAATATGCCACATACAATTTGTGATTTTTGTGAAACCATGACTGACAGGACAATGGTCTGATCTCAACAGGATATCAGTAGGAGTAAAATAGATAATACTACTACATTAAGACATCTTTTATCTAACCTGAAGTATGACAAGTGCATTCTCCATAGAGAGGTCATCAGATGGCAGCCCCTCACTCTTCCAGATCAACTGCTCACTCTCGGTGCAAAGGAAGGATCGCAAGTCAAATTCTGAAATGATTTAATTGAACAGAAATCAATAAATATCAAAAACACAGTGGGGTTTCATTACCATGTAATAGAGTCAGGCAGACTACATTTTCCCAAATATAGTAAAAGATTCAAGGGTCAATGTTAATTAATTCTGTCCCAAAGGATTTTTTTTTCTTGGACTTATTGGCTGCTACATTGGAAAGTACACATAAAACATAGACCGCAAAAGAGACACAGACATAAACCATCACGCTCCTCTTGATGACCTATCAAGCAGAGAATAATTATGTATATCCTGTAAATATAAAATTACTTTGCAGTCCAGACTGAGCCATCCACATATCTAGACACTGCCTTCTACGGTCTTCAGGAGCTGCCGATAGATAGGTGATGAAGGCAGCTGCTAGCATGGCTCGGAGAGGGAGAGTTTCCAACTCATTCTTTATCTCCGACATCTACCAAGACAAAGCGCAAGAGAACGATCAGAATCATTGTATCATACTCAATGTTCTTTTAAGCCAAAAACAAATATCAAACGCATTTATGCCGCTCTGCAAACACACAATAGGAGTTGTAATAACGCGTATGGAATTCTGCAACCTTTAAACTTGAGTGCCATGCATGAATTTCTGCATCAGTAACTTCAAACCCCATTACAGAAAAAAACAGCTCCAGGGCTTAACATACAGCAACCACGTAGTCTATGAAGATTCAGGCAAGTGTGTATGTGGAAGTCAGTAATGGTAAATATATGGAAATACGTGAGGAGAAAGTCTAAAGGCTTTGGCTCGGGGCCGAGAGGTGGTTGTGAGTATTTGAGTGTACGTGTCAGAAGGAGATTGAGTGTTTTAATTAAGGGGGAGACAGATGCGTTGGGAGGGGACTAAACACAGCCAGAAGGGACTTAAGACAGCAGCAACCATTGCCTCGTGACATACACGCACACACTTCCTGTTGCTTTTAGATGGTAAATGAGCCTCTGTCTTGCTAAATGTGTAAATAAAAAAACACTATGCTCCACACAGCAGCAGAGCCATAGATCAAAGTACCTGTGCATTCCACCGTGTGTGCTCTCCGTCCAGTTGTGAAATGAGCTTCTCGGCTGCAGTGATGGTGTCCTGAGCTTTTGTCACTTCTGCTTCAAGCTTAGTAGCCTCAGCAGTGTGACACTGGAATCTTTGTGAAAACCACAAAAAGTAGAAGAACCATGACAGAATTCTTAAAGCAATGTAGAAAAGGTTTTTTCAAAAGGATCATACTTCTCTTTGAGCTCACTGACTCTCGTTCCAACAGAATTGAGCATATCTTCAAGTTTATTTTTCCTGTTTTCAGTTTTTCTCAAGTTTCTAAAACGACAAATGTATGTAGTAATTACGTGTCATTTCTTCCTGTAGCTTACAAATAAAAAAAATCAAAGTAAATATTCAATAGGGAAGAAGAGTGTGTCCCTACTCTACTAGTCCAGCCTGTTCCCTCTCCAGAGGTTCTATTTTCTCCAGGACATGTGAGTACTGGACATTGGCAGTGACCCAAGCAGCCAGAGGTGCAGCAGCCGCACTCGCCCGCTTTGCGTTCTGACCAGAAGACATCACAAAAAAAAAACAAATGAGAACAATGTCTTACAACATACTTTTGGCCACAGTCACAGCTGACCTTGGGATCAAACGATGCATAGTTTCTCTTGAGAAGTTCCTCTACACTCTGACGAATCTCAGGGGTTATGTTTCTTGCCTCAAAAGTTGCTATGTCTTCTTTCACTCCACGTTTAGCTAAAAAGCTACATATATGCATAAAGCAGAAGTTAGGTCATGAGCATTAATGTTTTATCTTCTTCAGGTTTATATTTAAAACACTTAAAAGCCCAGACCTCTTCATGCTGACCCAGGACGTGTCAAAGATGCCCATGAGCCTGAGGACCCCCTCTAAGATGTCTCTGATGACATCAGGGGGCATGCGCAGTGAGCGGATCTCAGACAGCGCCTCAGATTTGATGTTGCCCACTGCTCGCTTTGCTTCGTCCACCAACGGCTGATGGGAAACAATTATGAAGAAATCATGACAATGATTTTTGACAATCTCAATTTGTTGTGGAAGAAATAGACTCACCTGAACCTCTTTTAGTTCATCATCAATTTTAGTTTTTCTTTCCTCAATCTTAGATACCTCTTGTGCCATTTTTCCTTTAATTTTTTCCATTTCAGTCTTTTGGTCACTGGCATTCTTGAGAAAAGACAAAAGCAAGTTATAGTGTACTATACCAACATATTACTACAGTATTCCACTAGTGTATTCCAGTATTAAGAGCAAGGTTAATTTTCCTAAGTGAGTTCTCCTTATTTGTTAGACAACAATTATGTTTGATCTTTTATTAGTTAGTTGGAGTTAAAGACATTTCATTCATGTAAACCTGTGTCACCAGCCTATACAATCTCCCTCATTCCACCATGATAGTATACAAGAGAAATCAGTGTCATCCTTTATGGAAGATAGACTCAATTGTGTATTATTTTCTTCCATCCTAAAATAATGCTTCAGGAAACATCACACAATGTGGGCTCTTTCTATCATTTTGAGAATACAAATATGTCAAGACAAATATTATCAAAAGTGAATAAACATTTGGCTTCACAGCACTACTTAACACATGGAACAGGTCATCTCTATCAGAAAACCTGTTATCTTTTGCTTTTACTTGTATTAGCCCGAGTCACTATTTGACACTTTGAGCAGAGACCTGATTGGTAAAATGAAGGTGGTCTGAAAAAGCTGATCTAAAGAAGTGGCAGAGGACAATAATACATGCATGTGAAGACTTGCGATAGAACCAAACTGTCTTGAGAGTGAGGGACTTGTTAGATGGGTTTTATGACATAGTTACATTAGTTGTGATTTATAAGTTAGGTACCTCAGCTTTAATTGAGTTTCAAAAAGCAAAAGAGAGGGAACAGAGGGAAGTATGTGATAGTAAAGTAAGTAAAGACTAAAAAGGTTTGAAGCAGAATTCCCATCCTTGAGGAGAGCAACAATACACACATCCGCCCACGTTGTACCTGCATAGAAGTAGTGATCTCCTGCAGGGCTGAATCTGCCTCCTGCTGTTTAGTCTTCAACAAGACACTCTGCTCAGCCGCCCGTCGCTTTAATTCATCAACCAGTTCCTTAGCCTCATTAAGTTTGGAAACACCAGCCTGAAGGCAACATAATTTCAGGTTAATATCAATCAATCAAAATGTTTATTTCACAACATGTGCGTCACAATTTTACAGAACAAAACAATATCTCTATCGAAAGAAAAATATCTATTGGCGCTACCGCTGCACGTTCATCCCCACCACTGTCAGACTGTACAATGAGTCACTTATTAACCTGCACTAGGACTGTAAACTCGCACTGCTATAGTCACTTAATTCAACTGCACATAATATATATTGCACAAAAGCGACTATACTTTGCACATTTCCCGTCTTTTGCACATTCTGAGTGATACTACTTAATGTGACATGTATTTCTTCATTGCGAGATCAATGAAGTCAATCTAATCTAATGTCATTAACAAACAATCATTCAACACTTCAAAAGATGTCTACCTGGAGATGTTGTAGTCGGGTTGTGAGCTGGCTCTGTTTACGACTGAGCAAGATTGTGTAGACTTTCAGAAATGACATGTATTGACTTGGGGTGGCACCATTTTCTTTGCAAGATTCATGGACCATAAGGAACAACCGGAAAAGATCTGTCAGGATATTTAAACAAAAGAAATACAAGTATTGATTTTAAATGAGTCTGCCATAAAATGTGAACTAGTAATATAATGACCAGTGTGTTTGGCTTTGGTTGCCTTCTCTCCATCAGGCTTTCCGTCTCCTCCTTCGTATTTTGCTAAAAAAAGCTCGGGAATCTATGATATTGAGCAAAGGTTTTAGCAATGTGTTCGCTCCGTGCTAAAAATCTGGGTTTTGAATTACCTTTCTCATGCTACTGTCAGACCATCCGTTCATCCATTGCACAGAACATTTCCGATAAAAAGCTGGGTTACTTTCACACCTGATTGTGAAGTTGGGATCACAACAGTCCATAATGAGAACAATATGGAGGTTCTGTTGTATTTCTAATGGAAGAAAAAATAAATAATAAATTAAACTAGAACGAAGACAATATTTATCATAGTTCAGCTGAATTTACATACTGTGGGAAAAGTAGTTGTACAGTGGTCCTGTGAATCCATCTTGAGAAGCAGCATTTTTGAGGGGAGAGAGAAGAGGCTCTAGTTCTTCTGGGGTGTAAAGACCTGGGACTTCACCTTAAAAATGAGATAAATATTTGAGAAAATAGAGCAAAAAAAGAGGTTGTTAATAATGTAAAATTAACAGTTTATTGCATTCCCTATAATTGCAATATTTATGTGATTTAGATTAACCAATAATAATAATCCCATTTCTAAATTTGATGGAAAAGCCATCTTGAAATGATCATCAGTGATACATATGCCCTAAACCTTTTTTTCTTTTTTTTTACAGAGCACTAACAGAGACAGACTGTAATGTCCAACCAGAGCATGGTGGAATATTTATCTCAGATTCTTATCATTAACTTGTACAATGGGCAAATACAGTATAATAAATGTGAAAGCACACACCTGATGAGAGGAGGCTATTCACCATCTCCAGAAAACTTGTGTGGACAAACTGATAATCTTCGATCAGTAGGACGACTTGTTGCCCTTCCAGACCTGCCAGCTGCATCACCTGCGGAGTAAAACATATTTGTATTCCAAGTAGTATTCTGTGGTTGTCATTGTCAATGTTCACATGGTATAGTATATATGCACCACAATGCATATATATCTAGGGTTGTGACACATTTAGATGATAGAGTTATGAATATTGTGAAATTAAACACAATAGTCACAATTATTAACATAGCGAACAGTAAAAAACTTCAATGTTCCTTTACTTTTCACATTTCACAGACCAAGGTCACACAAAACACTATACAATGATTTATTAGATTGTACGTAAAATGTGTGTTTTTTCTTCTAAAAATGTATATTACAATGCTTTTCAAAACGGTTAAATTCTGTTTATTGTGTATCTAATTAGAATCAGAATAATTTTTATAAGTTAATACCACTACTACTACTAGTCGTTGGTTTGAATGATAACTAACCTTTACATCCCTACATACAGCATGTACGATCAAATGTGGACTCACGGTTTTAAGGTCATTGTTGAACTGCTTGACAGAATAACCCGTTGTGATTTTGGGGGTGAAAAGTGTGTATCCGTGCATGTGCGACACAAGGCATGTCGCAGTGTGTCTGCCCACGCCGCTTCTTCCTGCCAGGAGCAAAGAGCCACCGGGTCGGCTGAGGACACGTTCAACTCTGGCCACAAAGTCGCACACCTCCCTGAAGAGCAGCAGATCCAGCTCCCTGTTATCTCGACTGTACAGCACCATTCCCTGGAGGGGAGAGAGACGGGCATACAGGTGAGGGGGCAGGCATTGGCACTGTCCTCAACAAGCCAAAAGCAAGGACGGTCAGCGTTTAAGGGGAAATACTGGACACTTTCAACAATTAGGTCACTGTAGGAATTTATAGTCACACAGGAAATGTATACGGATTTTAGTCATTGTAAAAATGGGCTGCCATGTTTTATTGTAAGGTTGAGGTGTTTTAGGCATTGGGTTTTATTGATGGAGATTTTTGTTTTGTTTTTACAGATTAAAAGTATACAGGTGAAACTCAAACAAATTACAATATCATTCAAAAGTCCATTTACTTCTGTAAAATACTTAACAATGCAAAATAAATTAATAACAGAAACAAATTACACAAAAAGTGATATATATTACTTTACTTACTATATTAAGCCTTTATTTACCATAATAAGGTTTTAAGTCTCGTCTTAAGACCCACTTTTACTCTCTGGCTTTTAAAATTGTGTGAGATGTGTATATTTCATAGGTTTATAATAATTGTTCTTATTTTATTTTAATTGCTGTCATTTAAAGTTGGTATATATATATATGTTACATTTATCTGTGCAGCACTTAGAAATGTGTTTCATAAAATGTGCTTTATAAAGAAAGTGGATTGGATAATGTTGATAATTGGCTCAAAGCTGGAAACACCCCAAATGAAAAATCTGGAAAAATTAGAATATTCTGAAAATGAACAGTAAGCCATAAATATCAAAACAACAAACAAAGACTTGGCAAATGTCACTTTGCATGTATTGAGGTGTAGAGCCCTAATCAATAAAATAATGGTTTCACAGTTTCAAGTCAATATTCTAATCTTACACCTGAGTTACACCTGAAGTCTGCTATCTTAACCTTTTTGTTACCTGTAATTGAAATAAAACACAAAGTACAGGTGTGTTTTGGAATATACATTTGACACAAGTCACACAGTAGTAATATTGTGGGGGAGAAATTAAGAGAATGTTGTTTTACCTTTTGAATGACTCGTTTTAAATCCTTAGAACTCAGCCGTCCTAGCTGTTTACCATGTGGAGGTAGAGACTGGCCTGGAACAGTCATTGTCGCTTCCGAGGCTCCCCATGTCACATAGAAACCATCTGAAGACACAGAACATAAATCAAAAATCATATGAATAATTAATCATTCAAATCTAAGAATAATGTGACATTGGTCTTAAACACAAGTGTAAAGTAAATATATGACATCTGACATAAACCGGCATAAAAAGGCTTAAAAAAAAGACCAGACATCAGAAGTTATCTTCATACTTCATTCGATTTTGTATTCAAGGGCATTAACACAATTCTGATCAAACAGTAATAAAATTTCTTAAAAAGCGTTGAAAGCATTCTCAAGATTAAACACCCAAAGCACCCATTAGGCTTCTGACACCCCGCTGTATCGCTTTAGTCATGCTTTCTTTGTTTTGATGCTTCAAGGACTGGTTTAAGATCTGACATTGCATTTTGGCAGCCAGCCTTGTTAATTCTTGTCTGAAAATGAGCCGATCATTTAAGTCTGTGTGCGGTTATATCTACTAGTTTTGTGTGTAAGCGAGACACCAAAAGACGTGACGTAAAATACATTGTAAATCTATAATACAAAAGATGGTTACAAGAAACATTCAAAGCTTTCTACCTGCCATGTTATCTATTGCATCAGAGTTCCAGTCCCCTCTAATGGTGGAGGACAGGATATTATCAAAGCTGTGAAGATCTTTGGGGGAAACCAGTCTGTCTCTGAAAAGCCTTCTTGCCTCATATGCCACCACTTCCATCACGCTGTCTGTCAAATTAGATTGAGCTGGGAGAAAAAGGGAAAGAAAATGAATTGATTGTAAAACTAAACATGTCACCCTGCTATGTGTGATCTTAGAATGAAAATCCGGAGTTAATCTCATTAATGAGTGTGTATAACACATGCAAGTAGAGTAGAAGATTGAGTTACATACCAAGAAGGGTAAGCAGCCAGGAAAAGAGAGAGAAATGATTAAACGCAAGTTGAATGAACACAGGAAAGAGCAGATGATCAGCTAATGTGTTTCATTAAAATATATAACAGGACTTGGGTCACAGCAGGAACACACTGAAAACGAATGTGTGATCGGGGACTTGACCGGACAGCAGAGGACAGGAGGACAAACGAGTGACAGGAAAAGTGTGCGAACCGGAAGAGACACACAGGACAAACAAGGGAGACGTGAGGAGTACGATGGTCATGAGTAATGAATTCCTAGTCCCAAGCTAACAATGTCACATGAATGTATTGGCTTGTTTGAAAGTCATTTATATTTACACTTTAAACATTATATGCATGCTTAAGTGTGAGAGTTACTGTATGCCAGAAATGCCTTACCAGCAGTGAGATCATATCTTAAAAGGCTGAGAACCCACTCTGTGATAATACACGGTGTGAACAGATAATGGCTGTGGTCATCAACTGTAAATTTAACTTTAACCTGAAGAAAAAGTAACACCAATTATACTTGCATTGTCACATGATAATGTGTCAAAGTTATGCTGCACCTGTTCGTAAAGTTGCACTAAGGAAGCCGCCAGCTGGTGTGTCCTCCCAGCACTGGCCCACTCTGCCTGGCTACCCAGGCTGTGCTGGAGAACTGGCTGCAAATATGCTGAGTAGATTGTTTGTAGCTGTTCTCTGTCTGGATAGCTGAAACCAAAACAAAAAGTTTTAGAAGGACAAATGAAAGACTGTGTATTGACAGGAATAATCAATGCATACTTACTCAATGGTGCAGATGCGGACAATAGAAGAGAAGCGAGAGGTGAGAGAATGGCTCCCCACAGCACATCCTGTCGACATAGAAGCAACAACCTGGATGTTTTCAAGACTGACCCAGTCCAGGTTTTCATCATAAAATCCTTTGTATGTCAACACCTAAAAAGAAATCCTAGTAATCATTCAAAGTATATAAATATGAAACAACATTATCATATTATTATTAATTACATTAGTCTTTATTGTCAAGAGACAATAAAGACTAATCTAATCTAATCTTCCAATATTCTGCACCTGTTGAAGGAAGGCGATGAGATTGCTGGTGCCCCATTTGTCAGGTTTAGGGAGATTGATGTCTTTAAGATACAAGACCAGGTTTTCACAATCCTTAGGTCTGAAAACTCGGCCGGTGTTTGAGCTCAGTAACAAGCAAGTCTGACCGAGCTTCTGGAGAACATGGCGGGAGGACGTCTGAGCACTGCAGTGGATCACAGCCACCTGAGTGGACCTCATCTGGTTGAAGGCATGGCGTAGAAGCATGCTGCGATACAGAATGAAAATGCTAATATTAACATAGTTAAACCACAGAACATACATAATAAAACACGTTTTTTTTCTTTAAAAAGTGACAGAAGAGAAAGAATCCAGTCCAAAGTTATTTTTAGCAGTTTTTCTTCCAGCAGTCGTTGTTTGTCTAGAAAATCCCAATGGCAAAGACAGACATTTATGAGGGCGCACACAGAATATAATTGGAAAGTTACCGAAGTGCGTATGTGCATTCAATCTATTGCAGTTATTATGTGGGAAATAATTAGAGACGAGCAGACACACCCAGGGCCGTACTGATACAGTGACCTTTCAGTCAATGTGATGTAAGGCAAGGCGATGGGAAAAAGAGAAACAGTAGGCTCTACTGGAGTGTAAAAGGCAAACTGAGTGAACCCATGTTCTTCAAACCCCCTGAGGTCAAAACAATTACTTTGAGTCTGCAGATCTTCAACTAGTGCACAAGTTACATCACACACATTTGATACTAATACTATTGTTTTTAAAAAGTTAACTGAAACTAACAAAACGTATTATAGGTGCACTGTGTAATCCCAACCGCCTTCATTTAGATTTACTTTGGACGGCAAGTTGCACAGCATTAACTTCATATATCAAGCAGATGCTTTCGGGCGATGGAACAAATAGAATAACAGTTACATAAAAGTGGCTCCCTTAACCAATCAAGTCATGCCAAGGGCTGTCAATCATTGGCGCTCATGCTTGTAGCTGCGCGCATGCTCAGTTTGTTTTCACGGGGCCTCCGAATCAAGCCTCCATTAGGCTCTGAAATGACATGAAAACTGAACAAAGAATTCTGAACATCCGCGCTGAGTTACCCAGGTATATACTGAACCTATATCCATAATCATTTATATACTGAACCTATATCCATAATCATTTATATATGAACCTATATCCATAATCATTTATATACTGAACCTATATCCATAATCATTTATATATGAACCTATATCCATAATCATTTATATATGAACCTATATCCATAATCATTTATATATGAACCTATATCCATAATCATTTATATACTGAACCTATATCCATAATCAGATCCTCTGCAGATGTGTCCTAAAATGTTCTATCAACCTTAATAGCTACTTCCGGGTTTACCGCGATCGCTTTTTTTTCACATTGAAACATTATTTTTGTCATGAAAACGTTAACAGATAATTCTGAAAACCTCTGTGCATGTATATTAATAATGTATATGTATAATGTGTTCTCTGATTAACATTTAAATGTGTTGAGTGATTGTTACAGAAACGTACTGTAGGTGTAGACCAATCAGAAAGGAAGGGAGCTTGGGTTGTTTTTGTACGCTATAGCTAAGAGAAGGGAAAGCGGGACTTACCCGTAATATTATAACTCATAAAATGACTTATTTTATTTCAACATTTAAGCCCAGGAGGTCAATTTAATACAATTCTTAAAATGTGCAATTTATTTAGAGTTCCAGACTATCACTTTAATAGTAAGGTTTGAAAGCACACTTTTGCATCCAATTGTGTAGGTTTGGTTACCCTTTTCCACAGCCCTCTGGCCCCAGGACCATGAAGGGCTGTCGCTGCTGAGCAGTGAGCCATGGAGAGAAGCAGTCCAGGCTCCTCTGCATATCTGTAGTTTCAATCACAGGAAGCTTCTGTGTGTTGGCCAGCTGTTCCAGTGTGAGGCTGTCAGGACGATGGAGCTCATAAGCAGAAAGATGACCAGTGCTGGTGTCATAAAACGTGTCCAGAGGTTTTTTGATGTTGGGAGGGTTTTCTCTTGCCCAGCTGAGCAACTGCAACAATCACATAAAAGAAAGGAAATGACTGACAATTGTCTCACTACCATACATAATTAATATTGTAATTAATTATAATTTACAAAATAATTGCAAAATCAATATATGAATAAAACCAAAAAGGCAAAATAATATGTACCTCTTTGGCAAATTCTTGACGTGATTTGAAGTGCAAATTTCCTCCAAAACCCCTCAGAAGGCAGACAACAAACTGACCTCTCTCTGTCACTGCACTGAGGTGTGAGAGACCATTAAAACACGTCCCCACTTTACTGATCTCCACAACACAGTCACTCTGGTGAAAAATATAGGAAGTTTATCAGTATATGCTAAACTCCTTACTGTGTATTTAATGAACAACAATAGTGTTATGAAAAATTTATACTTGTTTAAAAACCCAGTCAAGAGCTCTATAAAAGTAGTCATCAAGCCAGTTTTCCAGGTTACTGCGGCAATGTTCTGGCTGATTGTGTAACCATGATTTTACCAAAGCCTTCACATTGATGTCTTCGTCACTGAAAATAAATAGAATGTAAATAGTGACTGGATAACATAGCAAATGAAAGAATCTTAATAGTACGGACTAACCTCAGAAATATCATGCCCATGCGAGATATAGTAGCAGGTGAAGCACAGGTTAAGTCATGGGTTTCAAATAGGAAGTTCACATTGGGTCCAAACTGTATTCTCTCTCCATTTGGCATGGTCAACAATCGGTTATCATCAAGGACAGAATTAAGATTTTCGATCCACTCTGGATCAATATCACCATCACAGACGATCCAGGAGCTCACCTCTGAATCATATTCAAGCTTTAGTGAAAATAATGATGCTATTTTATAATACAATCAGAAGCAGATACATCACTTGCTTACCTTGAGGTTCTTTCACCACACTTCTGGCACTGTGTGTAAGAACGCCATCTGACCATTCTCTGGTGTCCTCGTCGATGTGACCAAAGAGCTGATGCCGGGGCATAGCTTTAGGATTCATGGTATAATGTTTTACCTACAAATAACAGGTTACGTGATATTATTCCATACATATTAAATAAAAACATAACTGTTTCACCACAGGCGAAAGGAATGAGGAGACCCTCTGTCCTAAAACAAAAACGTTTCAGCTGGTGTTTACTTGTGTCCCAAGACACATTTCCACATCTGGAGACAATAAAGGCTTATCTTATTATTACTCCCAGGAAATTAACCACAGAAAGAGACATCCAGGAACCACTGCTGAATATCATGTTCTGTTAAAAAACTACAACTAGAATAATTGTTAAAAAGTTCCCAACCACATTTGTCACTGTATTAGCAGGTGTTTATGCTGACAACGGTGTCATAATACATAGATCCATGTTATTACCTAGAAGTAATGGTCTTTTGGTTCCTGTGATATACCATTAAAAACATTTTCCAGTTGTGTCGAAGCTCACCACTTTGCCCGTCTTTTTATGAGCTGCCTGAAGCATCTTCCACAACGTAGACTTTCCAGCTCCACTCGGGCCAACAATAACAACACCCATGCGCTGTTTTAGCTGTTCATTCAGTTCCAAGGCTTTCTTTAACTATATATTTAAAAAAAAAGATCTGTAACGGTTTTAATTATAATGCTTACATTTTTGTTTGTAACTTACTTGACTTGGTATAACTTCAAGTCTTGCTTCTTTATAAACCTGTTCGAGAGCAACCATCAGGGGTTGATCTTCAACATCACTAAAGTTAACTCCAGAAAAGACATCTTTAACGAGAGCATCGAAGCGAAAACAATCTGAGAAAGTTAGCTTTGACATGGTGTTCAGTCGTAAAGCCTGCACCACCAAACTACTCTCTTGAACTGCAACGAGAAAAGCGCAAAGGCAAAGTTAGTTTAGACAAGTGAAAATTCACAGTTCTGTCCATGGTAGGTTTTGTTTTAGTGATGTAGAGTATGTGGTGTCTGGTATGTACTCTATACCAGGAGTCTCCAAACTTTTTCCCACGCTACTCTTATAGGACAAAAAAGGCAGAGAGTTACTCCTTGAGGTAGCTAAAAAGAAAAGATTTCAATGTTCCTTTTCTTGTTTTGATTATGCACCTTGAGTTGCCTTCTGTAGGAACTGTGCTATAACTTGTATTGCCAACTGTTATACATAAATATTTAGTGCAAAACGCAAAATTAAAGATGTGTAACCACTGTAGGCCTAGCAAACTTACTGAAATATTCAAGGATTATTTGAACCACTAACTTTGGGGAGCTACTTGGAAGGGGATGGCAATCTACTGATAGTTGGAAACCCATGCTCTGTACTTTTCCAAGAGTAACCTCTTAATTTATGCTTTAATGGAGAGGTGCTTAACTTTTACAGAAAGACTATTCTAAAAGTATAATGTTGGGGACAAATCAGATCTCAACATGCTGTATTATTGTAAAAAAAAAAAGTAAAATATTTTCTATGAACCCCGTGAGTCACTATTTGACACTTTGGGCTGAGAGCTGATTGGCTGAGTGAGGGTGGTCCTCCCTTTTTCACTTTCCTGTCTGAAAATGCTGATCTAGAGATGTGAGAGGCCAAAAATGTTGTGGTCTGAAAGTTAAGTATCTCAGCTTTAAAGCAATTAATGCCTGTCTTTGGTGAAACCCCATCAAAATGAACAAAGCAAAGCATGATTCACAGTGTCAATACTTTTGTTCTCCTCTTCAAACATTCTCGTCTTCCCTGCAGCAAGATTTTTAGAACAGACAAACTCTTAGCCTGACTATACTCAGACAGACACTAGTAAACCTTAGGGACCTCATTGACAGAGCTGGTGTGTGTGTAGCTGGTCGTGAGTGTGTGAGAGGACGTTTTTTTGTGACAGATATGGAGCCAAACTGCAGTGAGACACCAGGAGTTTGCAAAGCTGACATAAGGAGGAGAGGAAGGCAGGAAATAGAGGACGAAAAGTGAAAATAGTGGGATCAGAGAACCATGGGAAACTAGCTATCAGAGAGAGGGAGAGAGGGAGAGAGAGTGGCATAGGCAACTCAGGAGGAGGGAAAAGCTGTGGCTAAAGTGCTGTAAACAACAGAACTTCAGTCTAGTGTCAGGAAATGAGAGAATGGAGAAGGACAAAAGTACACACAAGTTAAAAGCCCAAGAGGGGTAAAAGTTTTGCAGAGGGCCATTTTGTGACACTTGATGGGCTGTATTAAGGGATTTGGAGGACAAGAGCAGCTGTGAGATAAAAGCTACTTGACTGCAATCCCCTCAAACTCTTAGTTAAAGTATTAAGAACATTGAACATTAGTAAAAGTATAGTGCTGTGTTGGAACTCCTGCAAAAAGGTAGCCACCATAACCTCTGTTCACTTGGGTTAGATAAAGTGTTTACATCACCCCTGTTTAAGCGTCCCTCCACTGGCTCCCTGTGCGTTTTAGAATTGATTTTAAGATTTTACTGATTACTTTTAAAGCTCGTTTAGGTCTGGCACCCAGCTATATTTATGAACTTTTAACCCCCTACGAGCCCTTCCCCCGCAGCCTTAGATCCTCGGGCAGGTCCCTGTGACTGTTCCAAGGTCGAGGCTCCGGACAAAAGGTGACCGAGCCTTCTCTGTCCGGGCTCCTCGGCTTTGGAACCACCTGCCCGAGGAGATAAGGCTCCATCAGTATCCTCTTTTAAATCACTTATTAAAACCCACTTTTATCAAACAGCTTTTAACATCTAGTTTTAAACTTCACATGCTTTATTGTAATGTCTGCTCTGTCTTTGTTGTGTTTGTATCTGTATGTATCTAATTATTTTGACTTTGTATTATGTTATTATTTTTTATTATGCTGACTGTGCAGCACTTTGTAAACATTGTTTTTAAAAGTGCTATACAAATAAAGATGATGATTATTATTATTATTATTATTATTATTATTATTATTATTATTATTATTATTATTATTATTATTATATTCTTAGGTTGAAGTTAGCACAAATAAAAGTAATATCTTATGAAAGTGTACTATTATGTTTAATGTTATATTACTCTTGTCTTTTTCTTGTTTTTTTCTCTGCTGTTGTAGAAGGCTGCCACTGGCCTTCAGCACAGTCTTCAGAGCACGCAGACCCCAGTCGTAGTGCTGCTGCGGAGACAACAGCTCCCTGGAAGAATAGGCAGAGAAAATTACAACCATGCATTGGCAAGCATTCAGTTCATTAAAAATAAAAAAAATCCTACTTAGCTAGGTTGAAGATGGCGACCAGCTTCCGTCCAAGCACTTCTCCATTCTTAAACCCCTCGGAGTACAGTATAACCTCAGCGATGAGCTCGTTGTCCGGTCTGCTCATAGCCACAGGCCTAAACAGCTGCTTTAGATTGTCCGGAAGCTTCTGTCTGCCCCCATAGCCTTTTCCTGCTGGGTTCATGGTGATGAAGACACCTGAATTTGGGTCCAGTTCCACCTATAGTACAAACAAGAAAGAATACAGGCTTGATATTTTGTGGAGGACTGTACATCTAGTGCAGGACCATTTTGTTCCACCCAAGATTTGAGGAACGAGTTGAATATGTCAGTGTTCTAGTGGTCTGGACTGTTATAATATATTTTACCCATGATGCTTTACGCCTTGAGGGTAGCGAGAATATGGCTACATATGAGATTCTTCGCCGCTGTGGATCATCGGATTTAATGCCAACAAAAAAGTGTGTTGTCTGATCGAGTGGAATTTCTTAGAATTTGTTCAGCATCCTCTTCTATGTTCCACCAAAGTGAAAGGGGAGAGTTGTGTGTGTGCGTGTGCGTGTGTGTTTTTGGGTTGAGATGAGTGAGAGGGGTTGGAGTAAAAAAAAAAAAAAGGTTCACTTCGCCATTCCCCTTTTCAAATTGAATATCATTTTGTATCAGCATTATGGAATTGTGCAAGTAGCGAATCACAGTGATGTTTACTGTATATATCAGTCTTATTCTAAGTAAGAGAATGTACCTCTTTTCCAAGTAGTTCACATGTTTTCTTGTGATGTTTCAGTGAATCTTGAATGGCCTGGATTTGCATTGAAACTGCTGATAGCACTGCTTCTTCTAATCGGTTAAACTCATCAAAGCAGCCCCAGGCACCACACTTCACCAAGCCCACGAAGATTCTACCCATTGACTTGACATCAATCCCCTAAAATATGAAACACAATGTCTTTTAGTACAACAACTGACACAAAAATAAAAGCTAAAGGCATTCTCCATTCAAATCCTTCTACAATACCTCATCACAGTTAAACACGAGGACCTGCCTCCCAAACAGCCCACCCAGGGCTTTCACAGACTCGGTTTTGCCGGTCCCAGCAGGTCCGTAGGGGTTACCTCCAAGCCCCATTTTCATGGCTTGAGTCAGAGTCAGGTAGCACTTATCTGTCAATGGAGTGTGCACAAGCTTTGCAGCATTCCCCTAAGAACAGATTATGAAAGAATTATAAAAAGTAACAAGAATAGATTGTGTCAATGGAGATTCAAGAGGGATTAAGGTTGTCAAAAATAATATATAATGAGAATGGATAGTCAATACAAACAGAGACAAGCATCAAGTCGAAATAACTTTGAGCAGATATTTGGGTGACCATTGTGAAAAGAAATATATATATATATGTAATCTATTATACAAAATCTATTTCAGTATTGTCTCAACACATGCAGTCTTTGTGTGTTTGGAACATAGACTCCAAATGGTTTAGCATTCAAACAGTGCCCCCAAGTGGTAACAAAAAGTATGTAAGTATATAATATTTCTGCTAATTTGCATTCACCCACCTGGTATTCGTAAGTATAGTTGAATTGGGCATCCACCATCTGCATGTAGCAGTATTTATCTGGTGACATGTAAAATCGCAGCTGTTTCTTCCAAGTCCAGACACTTGCACTGGTAACTCCCTCCTGAATGAGCTGTTTCACAACGCTGATATTGTGAATGATGTCTAGGATCAAAGCCTTTAGCTTCAACTGCAAAACACTGGCATCTGTGGAGGAAAACACAATCGTTAATTTGCTAGACACACTCTATTGCTGTTGCTGAAATAAAGTGATTGCAGGAATAGGTTGCAATAGGCAGGGAAGGTACCAATCTACTACAAGCCTGAGGGAAAGAAGCTATTTTTGAAAGAAATGTTGAAAAAGAAAATGTTTGATCCCCCATATTATGTCTATTCACTACTTTGAACCTTGGGGGATATCAATGATAGGAGCTGTAAGAGTTGAAGCTCTGGTAAACATGCAGTGGAAGCTGTAGAAGCATTGGAGTCCCGCTGAGAGGGAAATCTATGGCAAGATTGAAACCTCACCGAAACACTTTAAACCAATGGCTTCTTTGTTTTCTATGCACTAAATTACAGTTAAAAAAAATGTTCTGCTCAGAACTGTACAATTTAAATGATACAGGACGCAATGAGTGAGAGCTTCTCAAACATTAACAAATTAGGAACAGGACTTTTTAAGCTTTGGTTGTGTTGAAATTAAACACTGAAATTTTATGGAGACTCATATTGAGCTTTTATGACTGTTTTTCAAAAGTCCAAAAAGTCAAAAAGTTCTTTCTACTGGTCAACATTATGTACTGTATATATTGAATATAATTTCTAGACACCTTCATGAGAAAATAATTAGATTATATTATTATATTTTGACACCTACTGACAAAGAAGAGGTCAACAATTGTACTTGTGACTTAAGAACATAAACACTGTAAGAACAGGCCCAAAACATGACTACACTATTTCTACAGCATTAGTATTTCATATTATGAAATAAGCTAAACACAACAAACAAGAGTTTGAAACACTATTTATCTAGTCTGTTGATTTGTTAAAGGATGATGTTTAGAATACCTTCATTCCGATATACATTCTGTTTTAACCTCAATAGAATAGTTTATTTAGTAAAACATGTAATGAAAGCAAATTTCTTGAGAAAAAATAACTCCCAAAAAGTGAGTCATACCTGCACTAGTGTCCACTGCAGTGTAATGTTCCAGTTTAGAATTAAGCTCCAGCTCCAGTCGTTGCAGATTTTGATCTTTAATAGCTTTTTCTACATCCTCTGTAAATTGGATTTGTTCAGCCACACACAGAATCTGTACCAAAAAAACACATATATCAGGAAACATTTCAGACAATGCCATCAAAAAGTCAGTATTATCTGCAAGTTTAACCTGAGATGGATAATGTAAAGGATCTATTGCTCCTTTTTTCCCATCCAAGATGCACTTATGTAAGAGATGCTTCAGAGTGTCCTTCATTTCAGACGACAATTGGCCTAACCAGCCCTGGAGAGAATACACATCATGTACATTATTTCTAATGCTATTTTCTGTATTCTGCAGTGAAAAAGGAGACAAAGTTATGAAAGCATAAAATGAAAAGGATTTTACCTCAACACTGTTTGAGATTCGTATCTCATTTTGCAGCTGCACTGTTTCTCCCTCTAAAGAACACATGGCTACAATGTGCTGACACTGTTCATCAAATACAACACTATGGATGCCTATCAAACACAAACAAACACAGTCCATGTAAAGTCACACCTTACGAGACAAAGCTTCATTTATGTCAATTTTCTGACCTGCGAATAGTTTCTTGAGGTGTGACTGAATGACAGTGGGGTTTGTTGCCTGACCAAGAATCTCCAGAAGATCATCATCTCCAATGAAATAAAAGCGAGGGAAGGCAGAGCGCTTCTCCTGCATCACAGAGAGAGGGGCCACTTAGAATAATATTCGATGATTGCTGCTGACACTACATGAAACTCGTACTTCCAAGAACTCATTAAGAGATTTCTGGCAGCGCTGGAGCTGGTCCTCTATAGTCACCAGAGAGTTCCGGATGCCCGCTCTGGAGCTCAGGGACACCACTCTGTTGTCTCTTTGAATGTCTGACATAATAGATCTGCGTACAAATGAGAGGGAATATACACAAGCAGAGTTATACGGGACAACAAGTAAACAACAAAACATTCAGAATCACCTGAAGTCTTCATCCACTCTTTTAAAGCGAGCTTCTTCTCGTGGTAATGCTCCACGTCCGAAGATTGGTTCTAAATAAACCCATCGCTTCTGGATTGTATTCAGACGTTGAAGATACTCATCAAGGTCTGACAAACGGACCTCCCAAAGACCGATCTAAAACAAAATGACAGTGTTAGCCTATACTTTCAATTAGGGCTGCACAATTTCTAAATATCTACGGTAATAGCAATTTTCCAAAACAAAAAAAATTATATCAATTTTTATATGTGATTTTGCTATTATACCGCACATAAAACGTAAACATTTGGACAAACCTTGTCTTGGAAGCTACCATAGTATGTAGAATCTTTCATTGACTGTAGAAGACACCGGCTGTCTCCAACCTTAATTATAAAAAAAACAAAGTAATCATTACTTTACCTTAATGATCTAATACAGAGGGAATCTGAATGAATGGTAAATACAACAAATCCGTGACTATCTTTTTAATGCATTGCACTGACTGTGTACATGACAATATCAAACCTGATTCACTATGTCCTTCCAGTCTTTGATTAAGGAGAGGCTGCGGCCGTTTGTGTCAGTATACTCAGTTAGAGTAAATGTGGACGACACTCCCCACACGTCGAGATCCCTCAGTGCTTCTCTGATCGTCACCTCTGCCTGTGCACGGCTATTTAGATCCTACAAAAGAAAGTCAAGCTTTGTCAGTAGAGCTTAAACTAATAATAACAAACTAGATTTATTAAACTGACACTGTACAACCATTCAAAACAATAGTGTTCCTTATGAGAATCCTATAACCTGTAACAAGTTTCTACAAGCATTATTTTACCTTCAGTTGAAGAGCTTTTTCTACTATGGTATCAGCTACACTGAGAATGTTCTGGAAAGTAAGTCTCTCAAGTGTAGTGCCTTTAGGTAAACCCAACAATCTGAACATGTCCAACCAATGATCCTGGGACAGGTGTTCACCACGTACATACTTCAGCACTGGCACCATGTTCTAGGTACAGACATTAAATTGATAAAAACAGGTTAACAAGTACATTTAATATGGTTTATAAGAGGGAATTTAGACTCTTCATGGGAACTACACTACCTTGTATTTGTCCACCTCTGCTTGCAGTTTAACAGACATTGCTGTGTGATGTTCCAATTTCCGAAGTCTATCTTCCCAATTAAAGAGGAACTCCTCAAAAAGATATGTTTTGCTCCTGAATAGTGAGAAAAAAAGTAAGCACTTGAGGTAAATCCCAAGTGGACAGAACTTCTGAAACATAAAACACACCTAAATGTTATCCAGTCCTCTTGAGCCTTTTCAGTAAAACCCTCGTGCCACTCTTCATACAAACTCCACATCTGACTGTACTCTTCCATGTCCCGTTTTGTCTCTTCAGCAGATAAGAAATCTGGATGCTCCAGGTTAAAATAGGTACAATCCTCACTAAAAAAATATAAACAAAATGACAATCCTTATTGAATGAGAGAGACACAGGTCAATGAAAGGATTCACTTACAGCAATTTTTGTCTCACAAGTTCTAATTCTTGGAACTCTTGCTGTTTATCTTTGATGGTCTGAAGACATCCAAGTAAGGCAGCGTTGTCCCCAGTCTCAAAAATATCATCTTTGGGCTTGAGTTGGTCCCAACGTGCCTTAAACCTCTCCAAATCAGCTCTGTAGGTGTGCATGTGACTTGCCACTTTACTGCGCATTACCTCCACCTTAAGAAAAATAAGCAAAGAAATGTAAACAATACATCACTTTTTGTGAACGGAAAAACTTATTTTCAAGAATATGAAAAAACGAACAATAGAATTATAAACAAATGTCTATTCCCCACATCTTGATTTGAACTATTCCATGATTGTAAGAACCATGTACTGTATGTCACTTATGACACTTTCGGTTGTTTGGCTCCACGTAATTTTACCTTTTTTCTAATTCACTTTTTGTGTGTAAAGAAGCTGCTCTATAGTTTTCCAAGTAGCTCTTGTGGAATTTCCCATCGTGGTATCCAACTAAGGCAGGACTTGTCTCCAACATGACTTTCTCTGGTCAACTCATAACACAGGAGCGATATGCCATGCACTTCTCATCATAGTTTTCCCCTCTTGTCTCCATGCTGGCCTTCTTGGCTACTGTCTACTTTCTTTGGATGAAGGGAAAAGTCAGGCTTGAATACCCATTACGAGGACCATTTGTTGAATATTTAAGCTGCCAGGTCCCAGACTGATAGTAAAACAAACTTTGTCCTGCACTCAGACATCCAAGTTCCAAGTCTTTTGATTAAAATTTAGAACCGGTTGGGACAAAGCTTTATTTTCTCCAAAAAAAGTTCCCAGTATATTCATTTCAAAAAAATCGAATTTGCAATTTTGTAAGTTGGCCAAGCATGTAATTGAACTGTTTAAAAAGAAAGTAATATGAGCCGATACCTGTTCTTTTATCATGAGCTGGTGGCTCTCCATAATCAGCTCAAGTTTATCCCATTTTGCCTTTAAAAGAGCGATGGAGTCTAGACCGGATCCAGCCACAGAACGCAGCAAACGGTTCTTCTCCTCTGCACTTTGAAACTGTTGTAGGATCTGTGCACACAAGAGATACGTTTTTATTGTAAACGGTGCTTATGCAAATATTATTTTTTCACAATTGGTCTTACCTCTGGCTTTCTGGACAATATTTGGTTGTATTGCCCTCGGGTTGAACTTATTTCCTCCATGCTTTCTGGTCTAACGGACAGGGCTTCTGTTGACTCAGATACAAAACTCTCGATGGCCTGTGTGTGGCCTAAACAGTGATACAATGATACAAAGCACAAGCACCAAATAATCAGAAAACCCATTTGAAAGGTAAAAAGAAGCATTGATGTTGTACCTTGTATAGACTTCCTTAGTGATATAAGGAGGATATCAAATAGCCTTTGAATGAGGTCATCAATGGCTGCTTTTACTGGTTCACAGTTCACAGAAATGCAATCCACTTTCTGCTGGCTGAAATATAGATTATCTCATTATTTTTTATTGTTATTATTTAGTACAGTAGCAGGAGTGTCGCAGTAAAGATACAGCAGGTTTTTTTTACATGTGAGTGTACCTTGGGAGATGTTCTAATGCCCTCCCTTTAGCTTTAAGGGCCTTAAAGGTTTTTTCCCAGTCCTGCATCGAGATCAAATGTTTTTCCACCAAGTTCTCCAAATCCACTTGACCAAGTACCACCCAGTCCTAAGGAAAAAAAACTGTCAGTTGAAGGAACTATACAGCCATCAAAATGATTGTATATTATATTCATATACACCACCATAAATATGCGTTTTATGGCTTGTAAACGCGTAAACAAATCCTCTGCTTTTGTGAAAATGGTGAGAAATCCAGAGGCATTCCTGTCGATCATTATGCAGAAGATAGACTCGTCTCCCTGAGCGCTGACTCCTTTGAACTGGTTGGGGATGGAAATGAACCTTTTCATCTGCTTGAAATATCGAGCTCGAACTTCCTCAAATGGAGGACGAAATTGCAATCGCCCCTGCCTAAACAAAGGTACAGCAGCATGATTTCATAGATTCTTTAAATGACTGTGGAATGTGATAACCAAAGGAACTACATCAATTCCATGGGATTTGTTTATTTTGTTTTTTGATTATGTTTATTGATATTGATTGATGTTATTTTTTTACTGCAAAATAACATCAACATTGCAACACATGGCAAAAGGTCACATAATTAGTAACATCATTGTTAACACTGTTAATAAATCATACATTTTCCTCTGTTCTAAATGCCCCTTGATTTGGTTTTTAAAAGCTTATAATAACCCAATCCCCTCCAAAAAAGAAAATGGGTTTGCATTAGCGCCATTATTAGGGTGTTTGCCTTAAGTGAGAAAAGACAAATTGCTTACTTAAAAATAAGATCGATCTGTAATTCAGGCAGATTCTTGTTGAGAGCTTCCAGTCCCACTTGATATTGATGTTCAAGGGCCTTGTAGAGCTGATAATTCCAGTGCTGTTTCCAAGCAAACATGTCCTCAGAGCTGAAGCCCTGTGCAGAACATACATGACACTGTATGACTCAGCTAGTCACATCATTGAGCTTTAAGCATACTTGAGCCTCCAGTGCAGAAAAGCCGTCACGAAGGGCCTGAAGTCCTTCCTTCCATTGCTGTTGATGCCTTAGTAGATCTATATTCATGAGTGCCCCCACCTAAACAGAGATAAAACAAAAAAAGTGTGAAAACTTTATGAAACTGTAAAAAGGGATTCAACAGGAATGTAGGAGTCAAACTACACCTTGTCAATGAAATCCATGTGCCATTTTCTTAATTTCCTGTTCTCTATTGACAGTTTCTCAGCAGCGGTTTGAAGGCTGCCAATATAAACTTCTAATTCTTTAGGATTGTCCCATGTAATCTGTAGTTTTCCACCTGAATCCTTATAATTGGAGCGCGGATTCTGGGGCAAAAATAGGAAAAACAATGTGCAATGTCTGTGTTTTTGTGCAAATGTGTTTTACAAAAAAAACTGTATTTCCTTAAGCAGTACCTTGATGACCTGTTCAAAAGCTAATGCCAAACCAAGCATCATGGGTTTCTGAGAGGAAATCATCTGTTGGTCAATAGTGTTGTAAAAATGTGCAACCTATAACACAAGTAGTGAGGTAAGAAATTATATATTCTTATAATATGTTTATTATTATTTCAAGCCATGGGTAAAATAAGTTCACTGACCTGTTTTAAGACAATGGCTTGTCTGTAAAACTTGTCTGCAGTATTAGCAGCTTGTTGTATCCTCGCTGGGATGGGGAAGCCTAAAGCAGACAGCTGCCTGACCTCTCTGAGCAGACTGACCAGTCTGTCTGAATAATGGATCTGCAATCTACCATCTGCATGATCTAGGTCCATCACACGACTACTGGCTTGCAAACTAAAACAGGGAGTTAAGATATGACAAATAGATGTGTGTAAAATACAGAAATATAATATAGAAAATTAATTATGTTAAAACCTTATTCCTGATTTGGGATCTGCTAGTCCAGATAGGATGTCTCTAGACCAGTCTTCAAATTGCTCCTGCTCATAGGCTCTCAACACATCTAGAAGGTCATCAGAGAACCGCAAAAACCCTTTGAAGCCAGAAAGATCTGTAAGAAGAGCTTCAGCTATGCGAGACGAATCTTCAAGCTGTAATAAAAAGAAGCAGGTTTCAGTATTTAGAAGAGACATTTTGAATGAGATTTAATTATAATGATGACCTTATGAATGAACTGTCGGACCCAAACAATTTTTTGGACCACTTCAGGTAGGTTTCTACCAATGTAAGTTCCACTGTTATCTCTGGGTGCCCCATGACAACGAGCTTCAAAGTCAGCCTTAAGTACTGCAATCATAAACATATAGTCAACATCAGTTTGACATGACATCTTTGTACATGGTATAGAGAAGTACAGGAAACCTCTGTTGTAATCCAGTAGTCTGGCAAGTAAGATTTCCCTCTCTGACTGCAGCTCTTTCCGGATGCTGGGCCGCTGGATTAACTCTTTGTGTCTTTGAAACACATGCAACAACTACAAGAACATGACCATATATTACTTTACATTCACTCATCACTTAATACGATATTGTATGTATTGTAACCTGTTGAGGATTGCTCTGCACATCTGCAATATACTTCTTTAGTCTGCCTGCAACTTCCTGCTCTGATGGTGACATCAGCCGCTCAAACTGAGCCACTGCTGCCTTCCAAAGTGGCTGATGACAAACATTTAATATAAGTTCTTCTCAAACATAGTCTAATGGTGATCACCCACTGGGAAGTCCACTCAAACTCCAGGAGTAAATTTCCAATTCATTGCCTCTATAGACTTTTGGTCTTCATATAGAATTATAATATTCTTATTAATAAAGTCTATAGGGCAACGTGAATTATTCATTTCCAGAACAGGCGAGCTTCGAAGTGAGCGGTCAATATCTCATTTAGTATATGGCAATAACTGACCTCAGTGTAGGAGTTGTAAAGCAAAGGGTTGAGTCCTGAGAATGGCTCAAACACCACATCTGCCGTCAGAGCCTCCCGTTTGGCCTCCGACAGCAAACACAACAGTTTTTCATGGACAATCCGCAGAGTGATTATCTTAGAAGACACAAAAAGTCTTGTTTAAAACCTCCTGGAATCAAAATAACTATTTGATACAACATTTAATCATACTTCCTCTAATCTTTTAGCAAGGCCTTGTAAAACTTGTGGGCAATGCTTGTTTCCGTTCCATAGATGAAGAGAGTATCTTTTCCACACCTTGAAATATAAGTTTCACATTTTAACAAAATAAGTATTGAGGAAACTTGTTACTATTTGCATATATTTCTGTATCTTTACCTGGCCAGTCAGATGCTCACAGATCACCACCCACTGCTCACAGATTAAGATTCCAGTTTTGAGGTCGTCTATCACCAAAGTGAATGGCTCCTCAAAGATTTGATGACAACCAAGTTTCCTTTGGACATACCTTCCAAATGCACCAGCTGAATATGTTTTAATATTGGTTTGAATTGGGATTGTTGCTTTGCTTGACACAATTAGAATCATATCACACTGTGTTACATGTTTTGCTAACCTACCAATCACATCCATGAGACGAGTCATACGAGTTTCGAAATAAGGATCATAATCGGTTTGCTTCCAAACATCATCAAGAGCGTCTTTGCTGTGCTCCAACAAATCGACAACATCTGTCATGGACAAACTGTCGAGTCCTGCATACTCCTAAAGAGGCAAGAACATCGTATTATTCAACTGAGTGAGTTACCCATCACTTACCCATCTATACAGTCATCTATACCTTTTGTATTGGTGTAAACAGCTCTGCAAAATGTGCAGCTCTCTCTCGCACAGTGATTTTTTCTGCATTCAGAGCAAGATCTATCCAATACTGAAACTCATCAGCAGGAGTCAGAATACCTTAAATGAAAACAAGAAAAATAATGTATATAATTGTTACTGTAATCAATCAAGTAGAAGTTCTATTAAATGTGTTGTATTCATACCTAATACGTCATCTTCCCTAAAGTTGTTCTTTGAGGAAGGGTCAACTCCATGATGGCGGATCACTGAGCCCAAGCCCTGTTCAAGTTCACTTAGAAGATCTGCTAACTTTGGATCAAGGGCAGATCGCCAGTGCTCGTCCTTCATGTTAAAAGCAAAAATACATATTGACCTTTTTTTAACAAAACACTTAAAAATTAGGTAAATATGTATCTAACCTTTAGTAGCACAGGTGCAAAGACCTGTTTAACAGCTTGGTACAACGTGTTGATTGGAGAATCCAACATGGACGACACTAATAAACTCTGGTGAAGATTTTCTTCTGTGATCACGGTGGGTTGCAATTTGAAGAACACCAATACTTTGTGTTGGCTGTTCCCCAAACCTTCAATCTGCATCAAAAGAAACAAATGCTCAAAAGGGACTCAATAACACGTCAAAAACAATGGTGAAAAAAATCCTATTTACCGTGTTAGACATGTGAATGTCATTGTCGCTTTTGTAGATAGAGAGCACAGATTCATTTCCATCATCTAAAAAGCTATTGAGCACCGAACTGTTGTCCAGTGACGAGGGAAGGTTTGATTCAAAGAAGTTGCAAATGGTTGTAAGAATATATTTCTTTCGCACGTCGTCTAAATTGGGAGGCATCTTCTAATGATCATGGACATGCTAGAAAAAAAGAAAACCATTTCAATTTAGTATAAGGAGGTGGACGGTTACAGTAAAAGATCAATGTTTTGTGGAGATCTTAGTGAGATCACTACCAGATCTAAAGAGGTGTCCAATATACTATTTTTCAAATCTAAAAACTATGGATCTCAAACAATGTTCGAATGTATCTAGAAGAAACACACAAGATGGTATTGAAATCTCATATTTGTCTTTACTTTCCACTGCCTAGTGTTAACGTTCTCATTTCCTTTTTTTACATTCCTGTTTCTCAACAGTTTACATTTTTGTATGACTTAATTATCATTAGTTACAATATCCTGGTAATCATTGTAGTGTCTGTAGTGCCATCCGACAATTGTATTATCTCTGGCATTTTGCCATTATGGTTTGTAGTACATTACTCTATTATGTACCTCTCTTCTTTGACTGTTGCACTGAGCCAAAGCAATTTCCTAGTCTGTGACTTCATGTTACATACATGGCAATAAAAATGATTCTGATTCTGATTCTAAAACATCATAAAACAAGAATACATTGGTCGTAAAATCATTAATGACACAGAGTGTGTGTATGATTCTTGTAAAATGCAATTTCCAACAATGGTTAAACTAGTTGATAGGGTAATGATACAAGGTTGTTTTTGGTTATGATACAAGGTTGTTTTTGGTTATGATACATTGTTTGGTTGTGATGATTGGTAGTAGCGTTGATAATGGGTTTAGCATGAATTATTATAGTTAAAAATGGGAAAGCATAAAGTATAAGATTCATTTGGTGTAAACAAGAAGCATGGGTATTTTTCCATAGTAGCGAACAGACATATTTTGTAATAATAGGATAATAGGATAAAACATGGGGAACAGCGAATACTGTAAAATAGTATTAGAGTATTATAATATTATTTACTTAAAATTATTGTTTTGACATTAATTGCAACGCATTCCAAAAATCCCTGCAGCCCAGTACACATTTAAAAGATTAATAATCCCCATGTATTTCTCTGAATAGCAACAGTTTTAGCTTATGTTAAAGCTAGCTGTTAGCACAGTTAGCTCCCGCTACAGAAGCTGTCAGTAAAACGTTACTCAACAGCTCAGTGACTTCTAACACAATTGTTAGACTCATACCTTTTTCTGCCAAAAGTAGGGTTGTTTATTTGAAGAAACACATTAATAAAACCAGCATTCTGCGTCTGTTCGTGCACACTTCAGCCAAGAGAAAATATGCTAGCGTTGTTGCTCCATAGCAACTGCGAAATCTTGTATCACGTGACATGATTTGACGAAATAAACGTACGCCATTTACGTAACCTGGATCCACGGCTGCTTTCTGCAAGCTTTCACTATAATATCATAGATGTTTGTTGTAAAATGCTTTGCATAGACTACGTTTATAAATGCATATAATGTTTGGCCTCTGTATTAAAATATAATAATGAAATCCGTAGTTTTACCCCCACACGCACTGATTGAACTGTTCCAAGGTCTACATTGGTGGATGGCACCTCAAATTTGTCATCTAATTAATGTTTTGTTTCTATTTTTAATCAATTTTATTAAAAAATGTTTTTTTTACTTCATGTATTTTTTACTTTTTAATTACGGAGCCGTTGTATTTACTAATTATTGCCAACAGAGGGCAGGGTTGCTCCATGAAGTTCATATATTTTTCCTCAATACCATCTTCGCTCAGAACCATAAATCCTATGGGTGAGTACCTAGTACCTAGTACCACCATACCACAAACAATATATATGTACGTCTATATACATACATGTACCTGAACATACATGTACATATATGTTCAGGTACATGTATTTATATAGACATAGTTTTTAAGTTACAAAGTATCTTCATCTGAACATATATGTCAACAAAACTGGCATAACGTTGTGACAGAAAGACACTTGTAAAGACGTTGATGTATGCTTGTATAAAATGAAAAGAGCAAAAGATAAAGAATGAAAGCCTCTTGGTTCCTGTACTCCTCATAAGAATGCAGCCCTGGTTGTCTCTATTTAGGACGTTTGGTTGTCAATTATCGCTGTGACAGGATGAACATCTGCCTCTGTGTTGTGTTTACACTGGACTGTCCAGAAGCACCGACTGGTTGCGCTGCAGGAATGTGACCCCATGTCTGTCATGCCCTTTTCCTGGACCCAGTGTCTTAAAAACCCCACCTCACACTTTTGACTCTGTGTATATATGTCTCTATCCTCTGTTGCTGATGCTCGGCTGTTTTGGCTTTTGTGAAAGCACTGATTCTCCTGGGGAACTGTGAGGAGTGGTGCTCCAAAGAAAACTTACCAAATAGGAAGTGTCATTAACTCACAAGAAAATTAGTTAGGACACTTGAAACATTTTTGCCAATAGCATAAATTAAATGAATTAACATGTATTTATTTTTTCGTTTTGGATTGCATTGAAAAATCTTCATCCTTCTACAGGTATTGATTACCTATCACCACGGGGGATGTTCAGAAGTTTATTTAGTATGTCGAAGAAGTATATCTCCATGCTGCTGATGTCACGCATCCAAATACAGTAGATACATTGTGTTAAATTAAAGCAACATTTTCCCTTCTTACTCCCTGACCAACACAGATCACTTAGCTCCATGTCATAGGAAAGTGAAGTGATACAATGCGTCACAAAAATATCAGAAAAAAACTATATATATAGTTAAATAATTTTTAGTTTTTTATTATTATCAGAACCATCAAGGAGTTTGCATTCCTTGCATTCTCCTTGGAATGTCATATTGTATCCTTGGACAAGATTCTTCCAAGTTATCCCAATGTCTGATGTGGAGTGGGAATACATCGAGAACAAGTAGTATACAATAAACTACTAATAAAAAACATCTTTGAATATATGTTTTTAAATAGTTTATATCAAGTGTATAGGAATGTTTTCATGTGGCCTTATACCAGTAGTGTGGACTAATACCATAAGTATTTGTTTGCTTGTTTTTTCCCGTGGCTAATGGTGTAGTTCATGGAAGTATTTGTGTCCGGAGGTATTTCGCAGCCTGTGGTGTGTGACCTCTGCCACTCTGTTCTGTGTGGCGTTCATACCAGCGGGAATGATAATCAGATTAAACTAGTTATGAAAGTCAGATAGATTAGTTTTAGCATGGGGGAGCCAGAGCACAAGCTCTGGAGCCCAGCAGGAGATGTAGTCTCAGCACAGTGTGTGGGGGAGAGCCGGCAGGCCAGAGTGACCTCACATTAAGATGTTTTATCAATTACCTTCTTTTGCACTTTTAAAAATTGTGTTATGTTTTATAATCAATGGCCCAATTCAGTGAAAGACAAATAACATCCATAGTTACTAGTTTGTTTCATTGTCCTCTGTCATCCCAGATCAGATTTTTCAAACTAAAGGATCAGTCTTGTTCAGCAGCAGCAAATCAAATTGTGACAGGGTTTCTTTCTTACAAGTATGCAAAACATTTGAAACAAAACTATAAAAGACAAGACAGCATGTTGTGGTGTGATTTGTTCCAGAAATGTTACTTTTCTAAAACTCCTTCAGCTGAGACAAAGGATATGTTGGCTATTGTGGGATAAAAAATGGCCATTAGTCTTGGCCTCTGAAATCATATGTGTCATAATTTGGCTTTAGAATAAAACAATATTAAACCAGAATGATGGAGATTCGGAAAACCATTATCATGCCAAGATATTCTTATTGCAGTTTGAAATAGGTGTGGCATTGGCACCTGTCTTCCAACTGAAATAGGATCTACAATACGAAAGCAAACAGGAAAATAATACATTTAATAATATGTAACATGACTTCATAGATTGAAATGAATCAGAAATCGGACAAAATGATTGGTTCACTACACTTGCTAATTTCTCCACTTCCAGAACAAGTATGTGTAATTGTAACTCTTTGATGGGTCCCCTTTGTTGCATATGAGCAACAGCTGTGCATATGTGTGGCATATGAGGAGAAAGAGTTTGGTGGAGCAGTCAGTTGTGCCTCTCCAGCTCACTGACCAGACTGAGGCTGTCACGTCTCGAGCCATCTCCTCCAGACAAGAGAGCTGACCTGGAAGCATTTATCACCCCTCTGTTTTCTGACCCCTGACCCCAGCCCTAACACCAGCAAAGAATACAACACAAAGGATGTAAGGGAAGGACTGAGAGCCTGAGGTGGCCAGTGCAACAAAACATCAATGGGCATATAAAAAGTAACACCAGTATTACATGGATTAAAGATGAGATTATGAGTGGTATAGAGCTAAGTCAGTCCTTCTGAGATGATGTGAAAACGTCTTAGTTTTTGTGGATTTAGAGTTTCGTACTCCATGTAGCTGTAGCTCCATGTATCTCCATGTAGCTCCATGTAATTATACAATCCTAATTTCTGGCTGTAAAAACGTTTGGTTCCATCTCTAGTTTGCACATGCTTGTATTTCTGGTTTTTGTCACAGCTTTAGATCAACATAGTTTTTCAGACAGAAAACCACTCATTTAGGTCTCAGTCCAAAGCCTCAAATAGTGACGAAGAAAGCGCTTGCGAAATGTGTTACTTTTAATAATGAATTTTTTGATAGAGAAAAGGCAGACACAATCAAACAGGTAATTTTTTACCAACTATGAATATTTAAAATGTCAAAATCCTAAATCGAGGATTGTCTGGGCTTGTGTGCATCTTTGGACAATGTTGCTTCCTCCAACTCTTTTTCAAAACATGAATACAAAGTTATGTTAAGCTGTTTTTTTGTTCAGTATAGATATTAGTTCTGAAATAAACATTTTTGATTCATTTATTGTATTGAGTGATAGAAAAAGATGTGTTTTTCTACCAAAATCACAAGAGCAGTTGATTTGCCAAAAGCTGATCGAGCTATAGTAGTTTCAAAAGTCTTGGCGTCCTAGTGTTAAAATCTTGATGGCCGCAGAGGTTGTTCACAATCTTTTCAGGAAATGAAATGGCACTGGCTCTGATTATTCATTACACATCTGTCTGTCAATTCAATTTTTGTTTAGCTCTAACTCCCAACAGCACGTGTCTCTGAGGACTTTACAAATATGTCCATAAATGTCCTGGAGAGTTAACCCCAAGGTTTTGTTTTGCCCGCTAGGATTTTTTAGTTTGCCCTCGCCAGAAAACAGAGAATCTAAAGACTTAACACTGGGACATTTACCAATTTCCTTAATTCCTTTGAACTTTGGTTGAACATTGGTTAATTTGACAAATGACTGTTTTAATTGTTTAAATGCAAGTTTAGAACTTCTCACAATCATAATGGGTTTAACAAAAAGGACTGTGGTGGTGATCCAGGACACTCTACAACATTTATGGAGATGTATCAACATTCAACACTGGGGTAGTCTTGCACAGTTTTTCCAATGTGGTTTTACTGCAAATGGCAAATAAATTAATCTGAATTTGAATCTTCATCCTCCAATGGATCAATACCTATGTGTTCTCTGTTCGTTGAGTTTGAACTGTTTGAATCTCTGATCTGTGACGATTTCAACGGTTTTATTGAAATCCCCAACAGGATAAATTGAATAAATCGAATCACAAAGAAATGGGTATAAAAATAGATACAGAAAAAGTCACAAAGTCAGGAAGACCAAAAATGTATATAAGTTGAGTAATTACAATTGTGATGGTAACTGAAATATATTTACTCTTTTTAATGCACTGTGACTATTTATGATTTTAATCCCGTGTGATTTTAATGTTGCAAGGTTTTTTCAATTCATATGTGATTTTATTCTCTATTTTTCTAATATTTCTTGTGACCTTAATGTTTGTTTTTAATCGTATTTTTTATGTATTGCCTTTGTGCTTAATGTGATATGGTTTGTGACGCACTTTGTGTTGCCTTGTGTAGGAAAGGCGCTCCACAAATAAAAGTGGGTTGGTTGTAATGACATAACATAGATTGATATGTCAGTGTGTACCGTAATAACTATCAAACACACATGCACCTGCTCATTTGTTGTGATGAAACAGACTTCCAAGATAGACACCAGCTATGCTCACAATTATCATTCCTCACCACTTGTGCTTTCTCACACAATGTCCAGTGGAAAGACTTCATTTATATAGGACAAATGGAAATCTTTCTTCAAGTAGGCGCACACACACACACACACACACACCTCCTGAGTGCCTGTAGCTGTATACGCGTGGGTGAAGAAGACGAGCTGGTATATTTGAGCTTAACGGGAGACATCTGAGACATTTAGAAGGTCATTCCTGGATTGTGGGCACTGGGCTTTGATCATTTTCTCGTCGCCTCCGAAATAGACCCTGAGAGGACACAGGACACAGGACTGGCACCCTCCCACCTCCCTCTGTGTTTGGGTAAGTGGAGCGTCCAGGAAAAAGACACCGACAGCCAATCCGCTCATGTTTACACAGTGCACAAGCTCAAGTTTGCATGACTGCGTTGATGCATTTGTGTAAGCTTTTCTTCTCAATGGGGTTATCAGAGAAGGCTAATGTAGTGAGACAGAGTGTGATGTTTTCAGGCCAGGGTCTGTATTGACACGATTGATATTGCAAGATGATTGTCAGAGTGAGTGTGATTTGTGTAGTGTTGTATGAGTGAGAGGGGTTGGAACTAAAGCATCTATGTATGGCAGTGTACATTTTTTAGGATCATGTAGGGTCTTTTGTATACCAGTTTGATTAAGTTGTTTTATATCCTAGCCCAGAGTTAGCTAGTGAGAGAAAAGCATGTTCTTGAGCTTGAACTAGTGTCAGAATGTGCAATATAGAACCACATGTATTCTGAATTTCTCCTACGAGGGATCAATAAAGTATCTATCTATCTACATGTGTCCACTGTTGCTCTACCACTTCGTCCCAGACCCTCCTGCAGCTAACATGGACAGATGTAAACATACAACTATATATTTCTATTATACAGTACTTCATAATTGCTTCTTATTATGCCAAAGGTAGAGATTTTATACTTCTTCATTATGCTAAAGTCAGAATTTTTTGTAGTCATTATGCTAAAGATAGGGATTTTTTACTTATATTTTATTTTATTTAGAATAGAGCGATTGTTCATTTATCTTGTACTGTGTGCTCCTCATTCCTACTGCTCTGTAACGGGTGATTCCCAAACATGGGACGAATAAAGGATCTATCCATCCATCCATCCATTTTCTTCCCCTTAATCCATTTCTGGGTCGGGGGGGTGGCAGTCAGAGCTGCACCCAGTCCACAGAGCACCAGCCCCTCCCTGATCCTCCTGCAGGTGGAGCTGAGATCTTTCAGTGGGGGCTTTGGGCAAAGTAGGGTTAAGTGTCTTGCCCAAGGACACAACGACAGCAGTCATCAGTGGGAGTCGTGAAGTAGGTCTTACGGTGGGCTCGAACCCACGACCTTCAGGCCCAAAGGCCAATGCTCTACCAACTGAGCTACTGTCGCCCCTGAATAAAGGATCTCTTAATCTTAATATTTGTGCTAGGGAGATCTTAAAAAGGGTTAGGGTTAGCGAGATACTCCTTCAAGCCTCCTGGGGAAAAATTTGTCGATAGATTGGTGGGAGTGAGCCTGAGACACTATCAGCAGTCATTATTTGTCAATACATAGTTGTTACTAGTGTACACAGAAAGTTTGCATCAATAGTTGCAAACATGTGAATCATACAGACAACATAATCATAATCTTGTATTTGTTCATTTCTAAATCCTAAAGGAGGTGGAGAGCAATGAGTAAGGGACAGGTTAGAAACCACTGTTCTACATGGCCAAAAATGATGAATTATGAGGTAATAATAGCCTGAATCAAATGGTTTGTATCCAAATTTGGGAACATTCTGACTCTCTTAGAGCAAGATTTGCCAATGGGACAAGCCATTTTGTCTTAATTCAAGAACTGTTGCTTTATTTTCTCAATCCAATGGAGAGATTTGGAAAAACAATATAATTTTGTGGCAAATCTTGTTTCAAGGCAGTGAAAATGTGCACAAACTAAGATACATTTTGCCAAATTTGAGCAATTCTGTACTTATTTTTCATCACTTGTTTGCGGTGTAGTATGTTTTGAGTTTGAATTTGTAAAGCAGAATGGCTATTTTGTCTTTTATTTTTCTTACTATCTTCTTCATCTTTATTATTATTTGAAAATCTGCAATAAATCCCCAGAACTGCGAGTGCTTTTCTCTGGGGAAGTGATCTCATGTCCAGGAAAGTGGAGGGATTTGGGTACAGAACAGCGCTCCAAACCAATGCCAGACAAATGAGAATCAATTCAAGGAGATACAAATAAGAACATTGTTTGAACATTCACAATAAAGCAGTTGAGAATGCAATAACAGTATGTACCCGATTAAAATGCTATGAGTTGTTTTGATTTAAGTAACCGCCTATAGGTACAAGCAGGCCTCAAAAATCCATTATCCCTAGAACAAGAAAGCTGCATCAGTCACCAGGTGTTTTCCAAAACTACAGGGGAACAATTTATGAGATGAATGCGCTGCGTTTCGCACTGGTTTTCATCCAAACATGGATCTTAGCACCGGGAGATGACACATATCCTCTGCTGCGCTCACAATTCAGAGCTTTTTTGACTAAATGCCCAGACTAGTTCCTCGGTTTGATACTTTGCCGAGAGAGAGAAAGAGGGCCCATGTTTGGTTGCGTTTTCGAAAACCCAAGGAGGCCTCAAAGGCACTAACAACAATCCATTAGAAAAGTATTGCACCATCTCGTCTTTCTCACATAGCAAACACCGGGGGAAGGAGACCGTATATGCGCTTGGCTGGATTTCTCGACAGGTCCGGGGAGACGCAGCCCTGGAAGGCAGAAGACTCGCCGTTAGAAGAGCAAAAGCCGTGGGCCGCAGTCGGGGCTATACCCTTCTCTTTTCTAGAGAAGGATCTGAAATACAGCAGACGCATTTTGGTCGAGGATAAGCAAGAGCGCGAACAAAGACTTGAGTGTAAATCAAAATCAATTGGAATCATGTTATATGCAAACACACCAGAGGGAATGAGACGCCTGGAGGAAAGGTTGGAACATTGCACAGAAAAGAAAGAATGTATAAATAATAAGCATTCGGGAGTATCTTTGTCGATCAATACAACCATAATCTCTGCTCGACATTGGCCCAAGTCAGCCAAGTTTTCACATAAAATTATATTTTTCTTTGCATAATAGATCTTTTGTCAGATTTGGAAGGCGTCAGTCAGCATACCGATCCGCTAAATCTAATAATAAATCAGTATTCAATGATTCGGTTATACGACTACAAGGGGGATATTATGATGTAAATTGACTTCAGCTCAATCCACCTCCCCTCCCAAAAGAGAGCACCGACTCACCGGAGGCTCCGCTCTCTCTCCTTCAAGAAATCCATTTTCTGTCAGTTATTGATTGGCTGAAGTCAGAAGAAATAAGAATGGAGATATTTGTAAGTTTGGAGCTTCAGGTTTATTAAATATACATCAAAGCGGAGAAACGCCTGGAAGAGAAGAGAAGAGAAACGCAAGAAAAATCACCTCAGAATGACAACCGGTGCACTACATAGCTTACTTTTCAAATGTTTTTTTTGTTCCATTGAGATTAAGGTTTGAGAAATAGATGTAGATGTTGTGACGTTAGGATTTTTAACTTACAATGGTTGGAATAGACTTGGATATATTTTTGTTTGTGTGTTGTTTGAATCATAGGAGTGTATTTTTTTAAGTGCCTTGCTTTCTTCCCCTTCCCTTAGCGGGGACTGAACATAACCCATTTTTTATTTACAATATTTACAGTCTCTACAACATTTTATTTTTTTTAAACAGTGTGCCTGTGTAAGATGTTGTGCAGCCTTTGGGAAATTATCCAATATCACTACGGATGGAAAATAGCCGTTTGGCTAATTCTGGTGTATTTACAGAAATGTTCATTAATATGCACTGTCACAGTAATACATAAATAAATAAAATAAATAAATAAATCACTTGATTGGTCAAAATAATGTGAAAAAACATAAGATTCTAAAAACTTGTTTGCACTTGTTTGATTCTCTTAATAAAGGCTGCAGAGCTTTATTTCAGTGGGTGGTGACAAAAGCGTGCCACTGCTTTAAGTGGTTGGGGAACACTGAAAATAAGGACTTTTTGAAAAGTTACCCCAGTATGACAAATGTACCATAAGAAAACATCAACTTTTTGTGTGGGAATAATCCAAGTTATTTTACCAACTCAGAATTTGGCTGGAACAAAATGTAATACAAGCATGATTCAGGGGCAGGTCTAAATGGTGATTTAGACAAATGTCTCTCCAACTTAATAAATGTAAGCGTAACTAACCTTCACTAAAGTGTTTGCTAGTTTTATAAACATTTGCACACACAGTGAAAGAGTCTGAGTTAGTTGCGAAGCCAGTGCTTTGCTCTGGGACTGACATATTCACATTTTTTGTTTAATGAATAGATTTTTGGGCGTCCTAACAGACAGTGCCTTGTTACACAGTGAAAAAAACAGACAACACCAACTTGTTAGAAAAAACTTTTGTCTTTTACATCTTGAGAGTCTGATTGAGAGTCTGGCTGCTACTCACTTTCCTCTTCACTGAAAAAAACTGATCTAATGACACGTCAAAGGCCGAAAAGGCATGCATGTAAAAACTAGTGATAGAACCAAACCGTTTTGAGAGTTAGGAACTTATGTACATAGTTAATGTTATGTATAGCTTCAATGTTAAGTCTTTCAGCTTTGATTGAACCGCATAAGGCCTTTTGAGTACTTCACCAATACTTTTTAATGAGGAATAAATAGACTTGGGAGCAGACCCCTCCTGTCAATCTTTTCAGTTTGCATCCATTTAACTAAATACCTCTCCCCATTCGCCCAACCCCCTCCGCTGCACCCCCGCCTGCACAGCCCCACTGCCCTCTTGTATCCGGCCATTTAGCGTGACAATCCATTATTTTGACGGCTCGCAGGAAAAGAATAGACAGAGCAGCGTTGACTTTGAGGGCCCCCTTTTTGGCATACATTTTCATGATTCTATTTACAAGTTTTTCAAAAAGTTTCTACACTTGTATTTTTACCATTTTATTCTATAAACGTGCCCCTATACCTCGCGCCCCTCCCATGATTTAGTGGTATTGGTTCATAGCTGCCAGCCCTTTTGGAAACCTGAGCAGGGCTTTAGAAAGTAGCTTGGTTTAAAATGTCTCGGGTTTACCCCCTCCGTCCCACCAGCCCAAGACTCCTCCACTTATACCCTCCGCAGTGCCCCCCTCTTTTGAATACACACACACACTTATCCCTCCACCCCACCCACCACAGGGCTTTCAGCACACCCAAGCACCTCCACCATAGACACACAGTCCTGCACCCATCAACTTCTGCTGCATTCAGGGGGAGTGATGTTTTCAAAAGCGGAATTCCAACCATCCTTGGAGGAGAACATTGCATAAAAGTCTGTTGTACTGTTAGGAGCATATCTCTGTCTGCCTGTATTAATGAACCCAATATGGCACAGCATTGATAGAGTTATTACCAAGGAGTAATGTTTGGGTTTTAGTAACATAACCCATGTATTTGTATGTTATGCTCAGGAATAAAAAATTGAATACATTGAAGGAGATAAGACCAGGAACAAGTTCTTATATCATGAAGGTGGTCCAGATTTCTGTCTGGATCCACAATTTTTTTAAAGGACTGGAACAGCAAGGCTTAGTAGCGGTTTGCGGTCAACAAGTGCTTTTCTAGTTACGTTGTTGTTAATTACTGTATAGAAGGCCGAAAAGAAAAATAGGGTCTGTATTTGGTCATTGCTACTTACTGTATGTATATTGTGTTAATGCTTTATGTGTATAAGAAAAACACTGGTAGAGCGCAACCTCCACCAAGAAGTGCAGTGCCATTCTTTAAAAAAAAATCTGGATCCAGACAGTGATCCGGATCATCTTCAAATGAAAATAATCTGTTCCTGGTGCCATTCCTGAGCTTTATTGAGCTTTATTTACTGTAAAATATAGATAAAAAGATAACCCTTGAATTATGTCGTTGACACAGAAACACAGCGAGTCGATCCAATCAAACGGTTTTTTTCAGTCAAAAATCTCAAAGTTGTCTTGAACGACTTCACACTACAATAATCCTAAAAATCAGCCCTACGTGTGGAAAATAAAGCTATCAAACTGAAATTGTTAATGCCGTAGTAGTCTCTTTGTCATTTCTGCACTTTCCCAAAGAATCTAGCCTGGCCTTATCCATCTGTGAGATTTCATAACACTTTGAAGCAACTTTTGTTAAAGTTAAACTCATCATTCTATCAATGTGCATGAAGCCAGTACTTTTCCCTTGTTTTGTCTATCTGAAGGCCAAGCTACATGGCACTGTGGCAGCTGCTGATTGGAGGTCTCCATGCCTCCGCTCTGTATAATACACTTGCATTCTGTTGTTCGTGTTGTTCGTGCTGTCTCTACCATCGACAATAAAACATGTCTTCTGTCAGAATTAAAGACGCGATCCCAGACTTTGTCATCTTCTTCACATCCGTACACTCCGCTCAATCATCATTTCACTGCATGTAATGTCTGGGTCTGGCAACTGTGTTAACGAATACAATCTGTTGAATTTCGACCGACCATTCAGCGAGCGCGGGAGGCAGGTGTTGTAGTTAGTTGTGGGTGACGTCAAGAGTTTGTGTCGAACAGGCAGGTTGTTGTTTGGTGAGGGCAAAAAATGCGATAGTAAAGTAATCCGGTCTGGTTCTATCAAGAAATTGAAGCCGGAGCAAGAGGAATGTTTAGCAAATGTAATCGCTAGAAACAATTGTGGCGCTACTCCCCACGAGCTCTGTTAGCGGCAAAGGAGATGGCTAGGCTAAATGCTAAATGCTAACAACAGACTTGGGCGCACTACATACGTCACGGTAAACTCAGATCCAATGGTTTCAATCTGCAAAAGGAGTTAACCCCTCCCACCTGTTCACGGAGTCAATGGAGCAAATCCAGACCTTAGTACGAAATGCAATTTGTACTATGGTGTGGTACGACCAGGCTACAAAGAATCCCACAAACATAAGACTTATGTGGAAAGTATTTGTTCTTTTGCAAAAGCAGAGTTTGGTTTCATTCCTGGATTATCTACATTTCACATAAGACGTGCTATGAGAGAAAAGTTCAGAACCTTTGTGCACTGGGACTTTGGGACATCATGTGAGTCAGAGGCACATGAACAAACCAGGGTCAGTCTGTGGCCTCCTGCATTAAACAGCTCTCACTGGTCCCAAGCCTCTTACAGTATTTCCCTCTGGACTCTGTCAAATGTGTGTCGCTCCTTCAGAAGTGTGGCCAAGGCAAACACCTGGCACAGAGCGCGACCTGCTACATTTCACCTTCTACTACACAAATACACACGGATCATAGTCCAACACGTTCGGATGCACTGCACTATATATACAGTATAAGCATGCCCGCGCAAGCTGGCTGCAGACAGCAACAAGAGGGAGCCACATTCAGCCAAAGATAATTCCAAAACATCTTTCAAAAGGTCATTCAATTAAGAGTATGCCAAACAAGCGGAAAATATGTTAACTTCCCACTTCCCAAACAGAATCATTTATGATGACATTTATGGACTTTATGAACATTTATGGACATTGGCTATATGTATTTTTTATCATTGCTTTTATTTTGATGGAACTGTTTAATTCTCTGATCTGTGTTGGCAATTTTGACAGATGTCTAAAGTCCTCTGAGATAACTACTATTGTGATTGATGGCTATGCAAAGAATGAATTGAATTGAATAGTTTCACATTGTACAGAAGTAAATGGACTTTTGGACAACATTATAATTTTGCCCTGTAGGGTTTTGGAAGATGTGTGAGATTTCATAACACTTTTAAGCAACTTTTGTTAAAGTTAAACTCATCATTCTATCAATGTGCAGAAGCCAGTACTTTTCCCTTGTTGTGTCTATCTGAAGGCCAAGCTACATGGCACTGTGGCAGCTGCTGATTGGAGGTCTCCATGCCTCCGCTCTGTATAATACACTTGCATTCTATTGTTCGTGCTGTCTCTACCATTGACAATAAAACATGTCTTCTGTCAGAATTTAAGACGCGATCCCAGACTTTGTCATCTTCTTCAGATGCATACCAGAATTTGGAGTATGTCTAATACAAAACCAATAATTGGATGAAAAAATTTAAAAAAGCATCAATTTTCTTCTGCTTCCTCTGTTGCCAGGTCGCGGAGGCAGCTGTCGAAGCAGAGAGGCCCAGACTTCGCTATCCACACACATTTCCTCCGGCTCCTTCCAGGTGACTGAACCTCCCCCTCTTTCAGTAGGGGAGCGCACATTCACTGTGTGGAGGACACTTATATTGACTGTTTGTATCCGCAATCTCATCCTTTTGGTCATTACCCAAAGCTCATGATCAGAAGTGAGGGTGGGAACGTAGATTGACGGGGTTTTTATAAAAACAGACAATAAAAGATTTCTATAACTGTTTACGCATTTGTACAATACAATAAGTTTACCGAGTCACTTTGTCCCAGACCCTCCTGCTGCTAACATGTACAAATGTAAACATACAAATATATATTACTTGCACTAGAATATACAGAACTTTGTACTTGCTCCTTTTTTTGCTAAAGTCAGGGGTTTTGTACTTCCTTCTTCATCATATCAAAGTTAGAGATTTAAAGACTTCTTTCCTTAATATGCTAAAAGATAGAGATTTTATTTTAATTTATTTTAGTAGAGAGTTGTTATTCATTTATCTTGTGCTGTGTTTTCCTCTTTCCTACTGTTCTATAACTTGTGATGCAACACTGACATTTCCCCACTGTGGGACGAATAAAGGATCTCTTAATCATAATGATAAATTGCATCATGAATGTTCTTCATATAGAAACAGTTCCGTTTTTTACATTAGCAGTTCATTGCCAAAACATTTGCGGACATTTTTGAAAACATTATAATGTAGAAAATCCGGGCTGAGAATACACATGCAGCCAGCCAACAGAGAACAGTTCGGGCTCCTCCTCCTCCTCTACTCTCCCTCCCTAGTGGCGTGTCATATTCCGGGGGATAATAGGTGTCATGGTGAGCCCCCTTTGGTGTCAGCGCTCTGGGGGACTTGGGTGACACACACACACACACACACACACACACACACACACACAGTAACGGGCCATACGAGTGCAACAGCCCATTCTCTCCACCCTGGGAACCGCAGCACACTGCCCTCTCGTCTTTCCCCAACTCTGCTGGCTCCTTTCTTTTCCTGCTCTGACTTTGTTTGCGGGCCTCTTCTGGCATCATCTGGCACGTTCAGACACTCCAGGTTTTCTGTTGGAGATGATCAAAGTAGGGCTGCTCCATGAGTCCCTTCTTATTCGGTTTCTTTTATTGTCTCCAGACGCGGCGATTAATCTAAAGCCGTGTTAAGTCAGCGCAAGTGCAGCAGTAGCAGTGGATCATAATGAAGCCACAAGCACATTACTGAATCGTACGGTCATTGCTGGAAAACTGCCAGTGACTAAATGGTTATAATATTCTGTCTAAATTTAGGAGGCGGTTATGTCTATAGAAGTTAAATTGCTTTACTTATCCATGGGTTTTGGAAGGATGAGAAATGAGGTCTGTTACCAAAGTGATTCACAATTCAAAACTGATTATTCCATCTGTTGTTTGGGAAAAGGGTTGAAACAGGATGCTAAATACAAACAATAAATAAAAATTGATTAAAGCCGCAAGCAGCGATGAATGCCCTCGCAACTCTCGCAACCGCATCCCAGACGCCAGTCCCATAAGCGGCATGCAGTGTAGTTCCAGATAAATTTGCAGCCTGATTGGATCAGAAATACGCACAGAAACGCTCATTAATGGAAAGTGGTTTTTTATAGTATTGTAGTACGGATGTAAAGATGTGACTGTGTGACC